GCGAATAATACCGCGATCGAAAGCACGTGTCTTATTGCGAACGTCTTATTTCAAACGCATTAGTACCTTGTACATATACTTGGCCCTCTTCTATCATGAAAACTAAATGAAAACTAAATGAAGTCTCGATTAATAATGTATAATATTTAACGCCCGTGAAAGGAACTAATTGGACGTTATTAACATCTCGAAAACATCTAACGCTTTTATTTATTCCCATTAAAGGAATGCTAAATCTCTGTACAAAAGTAATGTCCCTCTTAAGGGAAATCGTTAAGCGATCTATGTATCCTTTCTAGGTATCGAAACTGTACTCTAGATTTCGGAACGCATTTCGTGCAAATTTTTATTATCGTAGAAAATTATATATATTAAAGAAAAGATGAAAATTTGCCCAATAGGTGTTACTTGCGCATTGATATATAACGTTATAACGTATACGATAATATGCGCGATTCACGACGGATTGCGTCGTTTCTTCTACGTTATGCTAAATCGTTGTTAAAATCGATCAAGAAAACAGAGTGCATCGGCGTCGAAAAGACGCATATCGTATCGGGGAAAAGAAATGTAAGGAGGACGAGGTGGAAAAGAAGAAGAGGAAGAAGAAAAAAAAGTCTTTTCCATTGATTAAAGCCGAACGTCGCACACGAGCGTAGTCGACGATACGACAGGCAATGCTTCGGCGAGGACAATGGCGGCAATGAAGATAAAGAAAGGGTCGGAGCAGGCATAATTCCGAGTACGTTAAGAGATTCGACCGACTGACGGATCTGTCAGGGATGGATGGCAGTAAGGGTTACGAGCATCGCTCATCAGTAGCGGCCATATTGCCTCCCGGTACCCCATCCCATACTGAGGAGTGCGAGCCCTGATAATTCCCCAACCCCTTCTGTATGTGTGTCTGTCTCTCTCTCTCTCTCTCTCTCTCTCTCCCTCTCTCTCTCTCTCTCTCTCTCTCTCTCTTTTTCTCTTTCCTTTTCTCTTTCTCTTTCTTATTCTCCCTCGGTCCATTCCTTTCCTTCTCGTAAAGCCGGTCTTCTCGCTCGCACTTCGTGCATCCCCTAACTCACCTCCTCCGCTTTTTCCTCCTCCTCCTCCTCCTCCTCCTCCTCCTCTTACCCTGTGTCTTAGTCTTACTGCTTTCTTCTCCTTTTCTCCCTTCTTCCAGCAACGCTTCTTCTTCTTATTTGAACCCCCAGCGCGCAGTGCCCGGGCTGCTTAATGAGAACCTCCACCTCCTCGTACCGCCACTACCACCACCATCGCCACCAACGCCGCCGCCGCCGCCGCCACCACCACCACCATCACCACCACCACCACCACCACCACCACTACTACCACCTTAGACGACGCCGTTCACTCTCTTCTCCTTCGTATCACCCCCGCAAACCCTTGAGTATCCTCGCGACGACCCCTCCAACCCTCTCGCGCTTTCCTTACTTGCCTGCCTGCCTGCCTGCCTGCCTGCCTGCCTGCCTGCCTGCTTGCCTGCTTGCCTGCTTGCCTGCCTGCCTGCCTGCCTGCCTGCCTGCCTGCATGCATGCCTGCCTGCCTGCCTGCCTGCCTGCCTGCCTGCCTGCCTGCCCGTTCTCTAACTGTTCCATCTCTCTCTCTCTCTCCCTCTCTCTCTTACTCGTTCGAAGCAGTAACGCGGGGTTCAACTCCCGACGTCGAGCTACGACCCCTACACGCGCGGCCAAGCTGCCACACACGCGAGACGTTTTAGACTTTTAATATTGATTACGCTGGAAGATGAACGCTTCGTCTTTCCTGGGGTAGAAATCTTGAAATTTGGCTAAACTTCTTTGATTCTGACCGTCGCATCGAAAGTTTTTCTCTTCGATCCTTTCGATTTATCCAAAACTAGAGATAATAACCGGCATCGGGCTTATTTTTTTCGGTATTGTTATTGAATGAGAAAAGAGTATTTATTTTGTTCGAATGGATGACGCATACGTCAACTTCGCGACAACTAAATAAAAGGGATTAAAGCGGGATAACCGAGTTTTAGGACTTTCCTCTTTCGAATTTTATTAATCTTTACTCTTTTTAGAATTATATCGCGTTAAAGGGCTTTTGCGGGTAGGTGAACCACCAATCAGAGCTTCGATCTTATTCGTATATTTTGACCATTGATTTGATCAGAAAGAAAGGGCGAATTAGGTCACATGTAAATGAAAGTTATATATCTTCGAGCACCCCACGAGTTTGATTCTTTTTATATGGTATCCCCCACGAATACACTTTCGCCGCACGAAAGAGTATTCGGACGATCGTTACTCGCGTAAAACGATTATTTCGACGAATTTATACCTATGTGCATCGCGACGACCGTAAACTTTCTTTAACAACGTCTCATTGCCAAAACAAAAAGTAGACGTACAAAAGTCCAAACTTTTTGATATATCCTTTTTTCCTGGGCTCTCCCCGTTACAAAGCTATTATCTGAAAATAGACTAACGAAATCTCTGCTCATTACGCATTTACCGTGCTTGGTCTTTAATGGGTTAATGCACTGGCACATTCTGTTACGATCGATTTTCTATATAGAGTTATAACGATTCGCTTCATCGTTATTCGACGAATTTACTTGCTTACAAAATGTCTGTACTAAGAAAAACATCGTTGTACGTAAAACTTTGGGAGAATGATTTAAAAGCTTAATCCATCCGATCGGAATGTTTCAGGATCGGTTGGACGTGGCACAAAAGAAATTGTGCATTTGCAGAATATTTTTAAGAAGGAATTTTTAACGATTGAAAGCGTAATTGTTGAAGCGTTAATAACGAATAAGGGAATTGGATCGAGACGTATCCCAGTAAGTCTGACTCTTGTCGAATACACTTGAAAAAGCGAGTCTAATGTCTAACGTTTTTTGGCGAGAATAGGAGGATCGAAAGTAAGAGAAAGGCAACATGGTAAGAAAGGGGAGTAGAGGGGGAGGGGGTTAGTCGAGCTTAAAGGGCGTCAGGAAAGAAAGAAGGAGAGTGAATGAGCGAGCGGATGGGAGAAAGAAAGAAAGAAAGAAAGAAAGAAAGAGAGTAGACGAAGGAAGAAGGTGGAGAAGGTGGGAGAGGAGGATGGGGCGAAGGGAAAGTGTAAAGAAGAAGGGAGCGCGAGAGGGCGGTGGGTCGTTATTTTTGTGCCTGCTTCGTCTTTAATTTCTCCCCTCCCCTCGGCAAGCGCGGATGGCCGCGGCGCGAAAGAGCCAAGCAGAGCCGAGCCGCGCGGCTGGATGGTTGGATGGTCGGGTGGGTGGCTGGATGGTGGTGTGCGCGGTTGTCTTAGTTCGTATGCATATCTCAGTGGCTCACATATTGATTCAGGGCGTCATTACGCGTCTTAGCTCGGCCCACTCCCACTACCGCCTGCCTGCCTGCCTGCCTAAACCACCCCCGAGAGCTCCTCCACCTCCGGCAGCCTCCCGCGTGGTGGTTCGGACCACCGAGCAACTATCCACCCCGCGCGCAAACCTTTGCGCTACCCTTCGCTTGGAAGAATCTTCTTGCGGACCGCTGCTCCTCTTCCCCTTCTTCTCCCCTACGACCCTATCTCTCTCCCCCTTAAGGAATAAGACACGCGAGCTTCTCTTCTCTTCTCTTCTCTTCTCTTCTTTTTCCTTTCCTTTCCTTTTCGCTGTTGGATTCGAGGCCACCGAGAGTCTATCTAAGCTAGTGAGCTAGGCACCCTCCTCGACTCACGTGCGGCTGCACATGAGCTACATATATAACTTTCCTTCATTCTATCGGACCTTCCTTTCTTTTCAAAGTCCATACAGAGTCGAGAGAAAGTTATTTAAGAAGATCAATTTACCTATCCTACATCTTGTCATCATAGGTTCGCCAAGTCTTACTTCGAGTTGAAAAAAACTTTGATCGTTCCAATCGTTAGAAACTCAATTTATTTTATTATTATCTCGCTGCGAAGTAATCGTCGAGTATATTATATACGTATATGCGTTTTAAAATTAAAACCAATAACACTCGAAAAAGTTTTCTTTTTCTTCCAACTTACAAGTAAAAGGAACATACCATGTCTGTTTATCGAGCTTCCGATATAAAACAAAAGTAAGACAAGAGTAAGACAAAAATATCAGAGGATTATGTCTCATAACTGTTACAATCTGCTTGCTCCGCTAACATAATGACGATAGAAATTAAATAACAATAAAAGAAATTTATTTGGAATATGTCGAAGGGGTGGCGCGAAATCACTTTTGGCTCACGTTATTTACCACCTTGTATCGTCTATGTTTTTTTTTTCTTGCTTTTTTTTTAACATCTACGCATTCTTGCAATATCTATGTTTTGTATTATTTACGTAGAATCTAAATAACATTTTGTCACGTAATGCTCCCTATCAATGGCCCTTTTATCACTTATTTTGTTAAAAACGCGTGCTCAACGGTGTGCGATTTAAACGGGTATTCTCTTCTTTACGTTTTATGTTTCCTAAGATAAATTATACACCTACAGTGCCATCTTACGACCGATCATATAAAACCAATAGATAATATCTCTCAGATAATTTTATCGACTCAGGACATAACTAGTATCCTACTATGAAAGCGTTATGATGGAAAGTTCATTGAAAGATTACGACACGGGGCAGTAACAAATGATTTATTCCCCAAAGAAATATCAAAATTAGTAGTTTCGCTGAAATTACTGCATTACCAACCAGCGTTCTATTTTATCGGCAAATTGTTAAAGACAATAATGTATTACCAACGATCGGTACTGTCTGATCGGGTCCCCTTTCACCAATATATAATTTTAGGACTGACTTTTAGGAATAGTCATGAAATGAATTATAACGGAATATATTTTTAAAGAAATATATATTTCATAATTACTTATCACATATAAGTAAGCAATTATTTTGAGTAATAGAAAAGTATGGAAATATATCTTCTATTGTGTTTTATCGTTTAACCATAAACATAATAAAAAGATTTGTGGGATGGCTCATTAAGACAATAGTGATTATACAACGTATTAAAAATAAATAATAATAATAATAATAATAATAAATGGATATAACGGCCTCAAATATATAAGCCGTGTATTATTGGATTATATAGATACAGAATATGCAATCTTTAGACTAACCTAAGAATGTCGATCGATAGCTTTAGACGTCTCCTTAAAACACGTGGAAATAGAATTTTATTTATTTGGCAAAAAATTTAATATTATTATTATTATATTATACTTATAACCATTGAACGGTAAGATACGTAATCTCTACGATATTTGCATCCGTTCATATCTTCAAATTAAATACCATACCCAAAAATTGTTCGTAATGAATTGTGATGATGCCGTCAAAATCGGTATCTAATTGCCGAAAGGCTGCAGTTAAAGTCTGTAAAAAGATGATGATAATATCGCAATGATCTCGTTATTGAACTTATCCAAATCGAATTGATAAAATGTAATATTTTTAATAAATTTAACTCTTACGTGTAAGACGACGCAGCACTGTATAAAATCATCAAAGTATATAGTACCTCTGCCTGCTCTGTCGTATTTACGTATAAGATTATTAATCGTTTGATCCGACAAACGATATCCAAAGTGCGTAAGAGCAATCTTTAATTCATTGTGATCTATGTTACCGCTGTTATCGCGATCAAACGATTTAAAGCAATTTTGCCAATCGGTGACATATTTCCAAAGAGCACCGAATTCCTCGAAGCTGACCGTTCCTGTTTGATTTTTATCGAACATACCTGAAGAAGTAGGACCATTTTTGTCAATGTCAAACATACCTGTGTCAACAGAACAAATGAAAAGCTATAACGCTCTTATGACAAAGGATCATGCAAAGGGACAACAATGTAAAACATTGCATTATTGTGAGCGTGTTGGATGGGGAGGGGGACTCTCAGTGAGAGAACTCTCAAATAACGTTTTCTACTATGCTTGAGAAACGAACTGTTTTTTCATATCTACAAAATGTAAATAATTAGAAAAGAAAAAGTACGTGCCAGGAGAATACATCCAAGTCTACACTACACTTGCATGATCGTTTGTAAATACGTGCGTGTATAACAAAAGCTCTCACCGATCATCAACCGGACGGTTTCTGGATTAAATGGAGTCCAGGTACCGTTTGAGAGTGCCTGTTGCAATTCATCGGTAGTAATTGAACCAGAACCATCCTTGTCCACCCTGTAAATGAATTTGTTCGATCGTTAAATCGAAAGATACGTCAAATTGATACTTATCTATCACGACGCAAAATTTCAAACAAATTTCCAACCTATAAAAATGAGACCTTAGGTCTTAATTATTTCTTAAAGAGTATTATTATTTTTATTGACAATGATATTTTCGTTGCATACGTGACACAAGTTAATAACTACCTATTAAAGACATCCCACAAAAATTCTCTACTGGGCATCGGCGATATGAAAGACATATCTGTCGTATTAGTTTGTCAAGCTTGTCAAATTGTTGATAATAACAAGTAATAATAATAGATCCTTAATCGCGAGATCTTAACCGAGACGAGAGATAGATATATAGTCGTCGACAATTATTCTCGTAGAGAATATTAAGAAAAAAAAGTGAAATTCAACGAAATCGTTGAATTGTCGTCTACGTTGTTTCTTCACGCACGCAATGTTACGGCAAGTTTTTAATTCCACACTTCTCTCTTTCCACGTCATTCATTTTACCGATTACTCACTGGCGCGTGCGTAACAATTATCCAATCGGGAGTATTTGACGAAAGTATATGTCTCTTGCGATTGGACGATTCTATTATCTTATTTTCTCACGATATATCTCTAGGACGAAATTTTATGAATGACCATTTCATTTCCAAATTCCCCATACATTATGATATACTCGTTTACTTCGATTTTCTTCGCCATCGTTGTTTATTCTTGATCCACTTGTGTTATCGCAATACACACGTAATATCGATGAATCCCTTATAAAAGTCAATATCATGGATAGCATTATATAGCGTTAGGAAGGATAGAGACTCTTTATACGTATGAAACAATAAATTTTACAATTATTTATTAGTACACTCTCTTGTAAAAAATCGCAATGAATTAAAAGTTTCCAGTTACAGACCATTGAAAATGCACGCGCATGAATATTAGGGTGCACTCATAACCTCAAAGCATTCCTTTTGTCAGCTTTAAAATTGCGCCTTCCATTAATTTTCCTTAATATCGTCAATTTTCCATGCACCGATTTTATACCTGAGCCAAATTAAAACTAAATCTTTGCCCATTTGTAGCCAACTCCAAAATGGTACTATCTTTGATCCCTCTATTTCTGTCCAATTTACTGCAACTTCGGTCACAGGGATATTAAAATGTTTTGCGATATAAAGCATTTCAACGTCGAATGCCCAACGTTCGACGTGTAAATTTTGAAAAATGCTTCTTGCAGACTCTCTTGTTAGTAATTTGAAACCGCATTGCGTATCTCTAATACCTCTTACGCACAAGAACCAAACTAAAAAATGAAATCCGTGCATCAGAAATAGTCGAAAGAAAGAGCGTTTGGCGGTTTCCTCCTTCTCTAAGTGAGCTCTCGATCCACAAATTACGGCATGCGATAATGCTACGTCCTCTGGCTTAGACAAATAATCAACTGTAAGTTAGATTAGAAATAAAGTTTTAATTCTGTCAATATTGATGTGAAAAAGAACTCTTTTAACTTTTTCTCTGGGTTAGATGAAAAATTTCTAAATGCATCCAACTTACATCCTAATGTGTTTCTTAAACTGTCGTTTAATTTTTCTAGATCAGCAAATCTAGTAGCCCCGTCGGCATCTGCGAACAACAACGCGCTACCTCTTGAGCTCAGCATACCCTGAGTAATGAAATGACGTTTTTGCGCTATACAAGTAATACAAGCTTATAGAATATACGCGCTCGCTAAAAGGAACTACTTTATACTGACCAGCCTAACGGCACCACCCTTACCCCTATTTTTAACAAGAGCCAATACTCTGACAGTATCGTATTTGGAAGCATAACCTTGAGCAACTTCTACAGTTCTATCTGTACTTCCGTCGCTAACTATTATTACCTCGTAACTATGGCCGGATCTTTTTAATTGTTCCAAATATTTTAAACATTCGTCTAACATTGGCGACACTAAAACAATACAAATAATATGTCAATTACTAATCATAATCTATCTTTACAACCATTATCGTGTTCAATATGAACAACCATGTCGTTGAACCATTCCTTATTATTACAAATATTATAATCTTTACGTCTTTCCTCCTCGTTGTAAGCAGGTACAATAACACTTAGATTTATGCTCCAGTCATTGTATAACGAAGGAAAATCTTGATACTCCTTCCTTTTGTGATTGAAAAAGACTTTTTCCTTTTCGTCTCGCCATAATTTTGGATAAGGTTGCGTTGTTATATGCAATATTATACAGAACTACGGCATATACGATACGATGTAATTTAAGGTAATTTAGTTCGCTCATGGTTCTTATTTCCTAATTACATTAACAATTTCTAACGATTACAAAGGACGAGGATTATAACCTCTAAACGTACCACGACGACGACGAATGCGGCTATTAAGAAAATATATAAAAATAAGTTCTCAATTAATCCCATAGCAGCATCGAGGAATGACTAAAATCTACGATATAAAATTACAGAAAATAATATTTTCGATTTAAACTCTAAAGTGTCACTGTGGACGACGATCAAGTGCGCGAAAAGCCTAGATAAGAGAACAGTCGATGATGATCGGCTGGTATATAGTAAGTTTTCCTTTTTGTAACGACATCTAGACACATCTAGACGAATCACAGTCCTAATGCAATGCTAACCAATCGCCGTGCAGCGACTAAATAAATATAACCTATTTCAAGCAGCCATTGGTTAGATATTATTTTCGAAATTTATCAAAATATACAATGAAAATGTTTTCTTCGTTCTTACATATACATGGTATCTATTGTTCGGCTCTCCCTACGTGGAGGTTCCTACTTCTAGAGATCTAAAGTTAAATTAATATAAACGTATCTATTAAAATTCTCTTACTAGTAAGAATCAACGATATTGATTCGATAATTGCCCCGATCGTTCTTATTTACGTTCCCTTCGAGCGTCGATTTGGAACTTGGGGTGTTTACATTGCTCTACGGAACTCTACGCTCGATGTTTATTGTTTCATCGCTCAATGCTCTCTGTCGATTGGTCCGCGATTGAGAAAAGAACAGCGTGCAACAATGGTCTTGCGAACTTTTCATATTTCTTTTCATCCATCGGAATATTAGTTTAAAGGATTACTTAGTAATTATTATCAGCAAATTAATAATCGCTAATCGTTTATAGATCAAAAATAAAACTTTAGCAGAAAGATTTAGAGTATAATAATAATACACATATATTATATTCGTAGCCGCGTATTTACATCGTTGGCGTAACAATGTTTTAAATAAAATCTGAGTGACGTAAAGGGAAACCGCTACAAGAAAACCCCCACCACGATAGATGAATGTACGTATATAAATAAAGTATATTATACAATATATGGTTAGCGTATATGGTCCTACGGTCTAATACGCTGGGTGCGTTCTCAGAGAAATGTTAAGCGCTTTAGATCGTCACAATTTTCAAAGAAAATATCGTCCTAAAGAAAATCAAAGTGTCAAATTAATTAATTACTGACTGTGGGCATTGATCTTGTAAATATTTTCTTATAAATACGGTGCACAGTGCGAACTCTCACACACACATATTATATATAGATGTGTGTGTCAGTGAAGTAAACATGATTATATATAGTATATGAGACGGTTATGAGTTTGTAACATACAACTGGAGGCTGCCACTCCCGTACGATATTATTTATAGAATTTCTTTGCTTTTTATCGATAAAGAGAATAAAATGGAAGATATATTTCAATGGTGTCGCGAGGGAAATGCTATGCAAGTTCGCGTTTGGTTGGACGACACTGAACATGACATGAATCAAGGGTAAATATCTACTTCCATTTTTGGAAAAATCATCACCACTGTCGCGAGCGTTGTGTGGTTTCCGTATGTAGTTTCGACTTTTTATCGCTAATTTCTCTGCTTCAACTTTTATTATATTAACGCTTTCAATGGCATTCGTCGTGCGCGCGCGCGCGTGTGTGTGTGTGTGTGTGTGTGTGTATATATGTATACGCACACAGCAGACTCAGCACACGTTGGAATCTCTAACAGTCGTCTATATTAAACGATAGGAATTGTACGTGTATATGGATATATATTATTCGCAATAAGAATAGTACTAGATTATTTATTATATGATATGAATGATGATAATTAATTACCGCCAGTAGCATTACCATAAATATGATTCATCGTTCTATGTATAGCGATGACCATGGATTTAGCCCGCTTCACTGGTGCTGTAAAGAAGGCCACCTCAAATTGGCAGAGCTGCTAGTTAGTAGAGGAGCACGCATCAATGCTACTAACAGAGGAGACGACACCCCGCTTCACCTTGCCTCCGCTCATGGACATAAGGAAATTGTTCAGTTGGTAAAATAGATGGATTATAATAATAAAAACTCTTAAAAGATAAAATAGTTGCGTAGAGGCAATAATACATTTCTCCTTTTAACAGTTGTTGCGAAATAAGGCGGATGTAAATGTTACCAACGAGCATGGAAATACCGCCCTTCATTATGCGTGCTTTTGGGGGGACCAAGCTGTCTCGGAAGAATTAGTGGCTGCCGGTGCCTTGGTATCAATAGCTAATAAAGATGGCGATACTCCTCTTGATAAAGCCAGAGGACACTTGGCAAAAAGATTACACGGTAAGCCGTCTTATTATATGTACACTTGTAGTAAATTTCTAATTTAAAATTCTCTCTTTCCATTAGACATGGCGGTGGAGCACGGGCAAGACTTAAAAAAAATTCAATTTAAGGATCAAAGTTGGCTGGGATTAAAAACTAGGAGTAGTAAGATTATTATTATTATTACTATTACTATTATTACTATTATTATTATTATTATTATTATTATTATTATTATTACTTTTAAAAGGACAGACGCAGAAAATTTGACTTTGAACGCTCATATTACTTGTAGGAGATGCCACTCTATCCAGACACAAAGGTATCAACATGGCGGATCTTGCCTTGCATACTCATTTGGCGAGTACTCCAAGCGGAGAAACTTGGAGAGGACGTTGGCAAAATAACGATATCGTAGCAAAAATTTTAAATGTACGCGAGTGTACAGCGCGTATATCCAGGGATTTCAATGAAGAGTTTCCTAAACTTCGAATATTTTCTCATCCAAACGTTCTTCCCGTTCTCGGATGTGTCAATCAGCCACCACAATTAGCGACGGTTTCACAATACATGGCTAGAGGAAGTTTGCATAGGCTTTTACATGGAGGTACTGGCGTCGTCGTTGACACGGCGCGTGCTCTTAGATTAGCTCTCGACGTAGCAAGAGCTATGGCCTTTCTTCATGGATTAGAAAGACAAAATAGATGCAGGTTTCAGCTCAACAGCAAACACATTATGGTAAACGATAAATGTGACCCAATGCGCCATTTACATTAGCATTTAAATCTACGGGCGCTTTTTCTAGATCGACGAAGATTTAACCGCTCGAGTTAATATGGCAGATTCGAAATTCTCTTTCCAAGAGGTTGGACGCATATATGAACCAGCGTGGATGTCTCCGGAAGCTCTTAGCAAAAGACCCTCTGATATCAATTTGGAAGCTAGCGATATGTGGAGCTTCGCTGTTCTTTTGTGGGAACTTGCTACGAGAGAAGTGCCCTTTGCCGACCTCTCACCCATGGAATGTGGAATGAAGGTGAATGGCTTAATATTATCTATTTATCCATAAATTGTTATTATATTAACGTGTATATATTATTTGCAGATAGCGTTGGAAGAACTGCGCGTTAGCATACCACCGGGAATCTCTCCGCATCTTGCCAAATTAATAAGAATTTGCATGAACGAAGATCCAGGGAAACGTCCGTCGTTCGACATGGTCGTACCAATTCTTGATAAAATGAAACGTTAACGATGAAGAACATTAAACCTTCGAAAAAATAACATTTCTATTGTCAAAAATCATTCCTGATAAAAGCCTCTATGGAATTAAAAAAAAATTGAAGAATTTCTCTTGCTATTCTTTAAAATACTTGCAATATTGTTTCGAATAATTACAAGGATATAACATATTTTATATTATTTTATAGAAATTAAAATGCTACGAAAATGTCTCGAAAATGGAAACTATCTTAAGTGTCTTTTTTTTGTATAGCCGTATTCTTATAGAATGTATAATATGATATGTGCCACACACATGTAATTAAGATCTTTACGAACGTTGAGAAGACTACAAGCCGATATTTTAATACTTAATTACTAACATCGATGATATTTTTCTAAAACAATATTATATTCAGTTCAAGTTTGTCCTACGCATTAAACGATTAAACAACGATTAAAAACTTTTGCATGTTCTATTGGTGTAAATATTCATTTACCTTGCTTATGCGTAACCATAATGGATAATAAACTGTGCGTTCATTATTTTACACGACTTATGCGTACCGTACGAAGCAAGGTAAGAAGTTGTGTAAGAAATTAAAAAAAATAAGTTTGATACATTCAATCTAGGCATGACTTGCATTAACACATTTTCTTGTAATTATTTTTTATCAATTGGCATGCCTTTATACAATCGTATAAACATAATCAACCGAAAAACACGTATTTAATGCAATTGGATGTTATAAATTACGTAATATATTTCTATCCGAAGTTGCGTAGTTATGTCAGATAAGATAATATTCATACACAAATAAGATAGAAACACATATAAAAGATTATTTTCAGTTGTCTGTAACATCAGTTGGATGAGAATCGAGCTTATTTAACAGGTGTACGTTAAAAACGTGATTGAAAAATATGTCGGTTGTAGTAAGCGTTAAGCAGGGTAAATTGGAAGGTTCGTTATGCGAAAGCGTTTTAGGAACGTCTTATTTTAGTTTCAAGGGAATACCTTTTGCCGCACCTCCTCTTGGACCGTTACGATTCAAGGTATTTAACGAACGAAACGAGAAAATTTCTCTTTCCGTGTAAGCTATCGTAAGAATATCGTGATCGCATCATTTTTACAACTCATTACAAATCCAAGATCGATAACGTTCCTGCACATATTTAAATTAATTAGAGATTAGAATATGATTATTAGTAATGGATTCGCTAACATAATTTATCGTAAATAGATAATCGTTTTGTAGATTGCCATTTGGACATTTCTCCTTTATCGAGTATTCTTCAACGACGCGATAATAATTATATCGTTATTATAAAGTTATCCTCGATTCATTTTCGACAGCATCGTTCACACGCGCAATGTTTCTTCATTTGTAAATTTCATTTTTGATTTTGGATTAAAGGATCCTGAACCACCTGCTTCATGGACCGGACTGAGAGATGCTCGGAATATCAAGGTGAATTGTTGCGTGCAGCCGAACGAAATATCGCGTACCGATATTATCGGTAATGAGGATTCACTTTATCTTAATGTTTACACAAATTCATTGACGGGAAGTAAAGCTGTTATGGTTTATATTCATGGAGGCGGATTTATAGTCGGTTCTGGCATCGAACAAGTCATTAGACCGGATTACTTTATGAACAAGGACATCGTTCTCGTTACTACTAATTATAGACTAGGGGTTCTAGGTGAGGAACATTTTTACGAATATCTTTCTGGGTTTTATTGAAAAATAATCGTAATAGAGACAAGTTTTTAATAGAGATTAATCTTTCTAACACTTGCGTTTGCCCATTTTCAAAAGGATTTTTAAATTTGGACGACGAGGTCGCGCCTGGTAATCAAGGGTTAAAGGACCAAGTGGCAGCATTAAAGTGGGTTCAGGAAAACATAGCGAATTTCGGAGGAAATGCCAAAAATGTAACGATATTTGGTGTTAGCGCCGGTGGTGTGTCCGTTCATTGTTTAACACTGTCGCCCATGGCGAAAGGTACCAAGGATACACATTTAATGATAATAAAAAAATAAAAATATAGACGAGTACTTAAAGATTAATGATTGATCGATGAATAAATTTGCATTTTTATTATTCAATTTTAGGTCTTTTTCACAAGGCGATATATCAAAGCGGAGCGGCAACGTGTCCTTGGGCCATAGGAATGAGTAAGCCAGAAAATTGCTTTAAACTCGCATCGATCCTTGGCTTCGAGGATTCGAGGGATCCTAAAGAAGTCGTTGAATTTCTCCGAACAGTCCCAGCCTCGCAACTTATAGAGGCACAGTTCAAAATTCTTACATCCTCGGTATGTTTTAAGCGTCTCGTTTCTTCTAGGCGTCCCACTTCCACTTACTTCGAATTAATTTATTAATGAATTTAACTTAATAAAATCATCTTCACGTAGGAAACGATTATCGAAAATTTGCCGGTTGGACCTGTCATTGATGTTAAATCGAAAAATCCATTTCTACCACGTCCGATAAAGGAATGCTTGAAAGACGACACTGATATACCAATTATGCTCGGTTATACGAGTAATGAATTTATAATGTTCTTAAAAAGTAAGAAAATTTGCAAATTTTCACCTAACTTTCTTTATCCACATTCTTTTACGTCGTCTTACGAAGATTTAGAACGATGACGAAATCTATCCGGCAAAATCTTTCTCAATTCTTACGATTTTTAGACACCAGCGAGGAAGGCTTGAAAATAATCGACAAAATGCTGAAGAATTATATTGCGAAATTGGCTATTTCAAAGGAGCCCGAAAAGATTGATCGGTTGGTGAAAGACGTGAAAAATTATTACTTCGGTAACGACGAACCGTTAACCAAGGAAGCTATTCCGTCTTTGATAAGTCTTTTGAGCGATATATATTTTTGTTGTCCGATCAATATGATAGCCGACGACCGAAGAAAGAGAGAATGTGCGCCAACTTATTTATTTAAATTTTCCTATATCGGCGATGAAATGACCATTACTCATTTGTTACAAGCAATGCTACCCAAGGCAGATAATTTGGATTACTATCCAAAGGGTATGTACGGCTATGTAATTCAATGTGTATCATTGCTCCTTTCCATTCTCATTTCTACGTTGAAAGGCAAACTTGTCAGTATCGTATTGCAGTAAGTATTATGGAAATATTCTATCTTCAGGAGCTTCTCACGCCGACGAAGAATCTTATCTCTTTTATCTGCCATTATGTAAAGTTAAGAATCCTTTACCTCCAGCGGTAGGAACCAAGGATAGGAATATGATCGAACGACTTACATACTTGTGGACCAATTTTGCGAAAACTGGGTAAGGTTTTTTTATCCACGTTTCTTAACCGGCACATCTTACCTCCTCGCATATCTTCCATTTGATATCATTTGATATTTTCTTTTTTTTTTTTTCTTTTTTTTTTTTAGCGATCCAACATCGTCATTGAACGAATATGTCGATACTCCCTGGACACCTGTAAGCAAGGATAACTTTACTTGCTTTGACATAAACGATCATCTTACAAATTGTCCAATCAAGGATGATTTAACAAACATTTATCAAAAAAGTGCTTAAAGAGTGAAAAATAAAGTAACGATATGAGTACGTACTTTGAAGTGCATATGCTTTTCATTAACGTCTTTTCTTTCCCATAAGGCGTTGTAATTGTATTTCTGTCTTACTGTTTTTTATTTCATATTTTATCATTTTATCGTCGGATCGTTGTAAAATTATAATATATTTAGGTATCTCTAATTCTCTTTATACAAGAAGGCGATATATGTATATGTGTGTGTGTGTGTGTGTGTGTGTGTTTGTCTGCATGTGTATGTGTGTGCATATACACATACACACACACACACCGATTATAACAACAAATTGAATCAATTTTATTTCTCACTAAAAGTATCTACACTAATATTATAGACACGATAGCTCTTCCATTATTCGCTCTTCTCGAAGAAACTGGACTAATATCTTAAGAAAATTCTTATTCGCATAACACTTGTATTCGATTATAATTGTGTGTTTGTGCGTACGTGCGTGTGTGTATGTAAGTAGACGATGAAATGAAAAAATTAAATACAGTGCCGTCAACTGTCGAAAAAAGTTGATATATCTCATCGATAAAAAAAAAAAAGAAAAAAAAAGAGAAAAGGACACAACTAAAAAAGTCTTCTTATTTATTCCAAAAGGCAAAAACTCTTTGTATCCTCTCGTTGTGCGGTTTACCAGTGGCCATCGTTGTTGCCGGATAGGCGCGATGTACAATATGAATTTGAGAGGGTGCCGATGATTTTACAGATTCTGCCTCCTGTTCAAACATCTTTGCTGTACGACTGACGTTCCCCGTAGGAACGAATTTTTCTCGATTCCGAGCAACGATCATCCTTGCATCCTGATTTTTATTGGCATCTACCAAACGAAATGTAAATATTATAGATATTTGGTTAAAATTGAAATTCGCTTTATATCGCGTATAAATAATGTGAAGAAAAGAAAGGCGATAAAACGAAGAAAGCAATATAATTGTTAGAATAATTACACACCTTCTTGGACGGGATTAGTCTCACGCGAAGCTTTAATTTTTAGATTTTTACTTTGCGAGGTAGCTTCGATACTCCCTGTATCGTCTCTCGAAGATTTCGAACTAGTCTCGTTGTCCGTTTCCTCTTCGATGATCGAAACGATTCCCAACTCGTCTAATTGCAATGACGAAGTAGCTAAATTCGAACTGCAATCGGCGATTCCGGAATCACGTGAGTCGCCTCGAAACACTCGTCGTTGATTTTGAAATCTACTAGATACAGAATCTATATCGATTCCCGATGATTTCCTTTCTACATTCGTCAAGTCTTGTTCCCCGATATTCTCATGATATTCTTTCTCTTTCTCCACCGCCAGTTCGCTTTCTCTCGTACTTTCCAAATATATATTATCGATCGCAGATGATATTTCCTCGTCCTCGTTCTCGTCTTTATACACTTTACCGTCCGATTCTTCTTGCAATGAAATATTTACTTCTGTTTTGTAACAAAACGAGTACAGGCTAGTTTTTCGTCTCGAACTTCCCTCGAGTTCGGACGAACAATTCGAATTATCATCTTCTAGGTCGATCATCGTATCATTCTTATCGTTTTCTTCCGTACACGCCGAAGACTCGAATAATTTTTCTCCTTCATTAATAACGCACTTATCCGTATTGTTGGTCGAATCGTACGTCTCCGTCGTCCTCGTTGGACTTTTTCTACTGTTCGCCGAAAGAATCGCCATTCTTCCTAGCGCACGAATGGCATTTCCTGTTTTCTATTCGAACAAACGAAAGCGTGCACACACAGGCGCGCGCGCGCGCATACATATACGCACACTCGTTCAATTAAATAAAAAAGCGCGAGAGGAAGAAATCGAGATATATTATGAGATATATTATTTAGCTTGCTATTTTAAATCGCAACATTCAGCTTGCCTTTATGCACGCTATCATCCGTCAAATTTATTTCTCTCTACAACAATGAATCGTCAACAATCGTGTGTGTGTGTGTGTGTGTGTGTGTGTGTGTGTGTGTGTGTGTGTGCAGAAAAACAAGCTTCTTCGATTTTCAATAGAGCATGCACATGCTGGCAAATCTTTCAATATTTAACGTTAATCGATCTTCAAAGTGAAGATGTCACATAAGATCGATCGTATTATCGTATTATCGATAGTTGGAGGGTTGCGTAGTGGTGGGGGAGAGAAAGAAGAAAGAATTAGCAAAAGTCGAATGTCGAATATAAAAAATAATATTTACCTGCCACTTTCTACGTACGATAAATTTCTTTAACTTGTCCGTTGGTAATGCCACTCTGCTCATACTTTCAGCATGTTGGGCCATCCACGGATGTTCCAGACATTGCCTTGACGACATGCGCGATCTAAGAGGGGAAAAATATCAATATTATTATATTATTGGTATTACTTTTCCAATCTAAACTTTTTACATGACAGATGGTATTGTACTTTTTTATGATAGACATCGTTACTTACTCTTTTCGTTTAACGAGTAAACCAGTGATAAAGTCTTTAGCATTATTTGAAATAGCATCGAAAGCTTCATCGTCCAAATCGTAATCGGCTCTCGTTATATTCGCGAACGTCTCGGCATCGTTGTCACCCATAAAAGGCGATAGTCCCGTTAATCTGAATTTCCAAAGATATTTGACGGAGCACGCTCCATTATTCCAAATATTACGTACGTCGTTTATATCTCTCGTAGAAACTTACAGTACATAACAGATAACGCCGACGCTCCACATATCCGACTCGGTCCCAATTGGTTCGTAACTTATGATCTCAGGTGGTATGAATTCTGGCGTACCGAACAAAACTCTTATCGGTGTGTCCGGTTTAAGGGTTTGGGCTAATCCAAAATCGATTAGCTTGATTTTATGGGAAGTACGCGTTCGGCACATTATGTTTTCTGGCTGTAAAGGCAGCAAAGAAACTTTTGACAGGTAACGTTTGTTCTTCTCCCTTAAGATCGAACTCGACGAAATCATCAACGATAGAATAGTTCCATGTAATAATAATAGGAGAGTGTAAGAAAGAGAAATATTCTCTTTTCTTTTTTTTTTTTTTTTCCCCCTTACCTTCAGATCTAAATGGACGACATTGTTTTGATGCATGTACTCGACGCCCTCGCAAATCTGTCTCATAAAAAGCATGCTGTCCCGTTCGGTCAGAGTAAAATCATCTGCCACAACTCGTTCGAAAAGCTCGCCACCGGAAATGCTGTTTTGAGACGGGCAACAGATGGCGAAATGAGGAAAGATAAATGCGAAGAGAAAAACTCGATTAAAAGTAAATACTTACTATTCAGTGATCATTATAATTTCTCGGGGGCCTTCGAAAGCGGCTGCTAAAAGTAGAAGCTTCGGATGTCTGAGCATATTCATAATATTTATTTCCTCGCGAACTTGTTCGCGATCCTTGCTCTTGATCGTTCTAACGAATTTCGCGGCGAAACTTTCATTCGACGACTTTTCGACGACCCTTTTAACGACGCCATAGCGGCCTTTACCGAGCTCCTCGAAGACGTCGTATCTATCGACGAATAATTGCGAGTCCTCCGCATGAACCGTGCGAGCTTCGAAAGCCGCTACAAATTCTACGATGGTCAGACCAGATAAATAAATAAATCTCAAATAAATGATTGGACATACGTATGTAACGAATGAGAGAGAAAAAAATGAAGAAAATGTTCCATTTGTGTAATACTTTTAATTACCTTCCTCTTCCTCGTTCTGCAAAATCGTTTCTCCTTCCCGAGGTATCCTAACGAGTTCCGATTGGACACTGGGTTCACCGACCCCATGAATATTTTCCCCCCTGACCCTGAAACGGTAACTTTCACCAGGGACGATTTCAGAATTCTTTGACGATGCGAGGACCGTATGACTAAGAGAATGACAGGATTCAGCGATGACCGTCCAAGAGTTTTCTTCTCGTCTATTCATCTCGATCGTATAACCGGTTATCGTACAACCACCGTCGTAAGCCGGTGATCTCCAAGCAATCGTTACCGAATTCTTCGAACGCGTTACGCTTGGAATACCCGTCGGTGGATCCGGTGGTCCTGTCGTTCAAATAATAAAAATAATAAAAATTATTTTCAAATAGATTAAATCGCGTCGTGTCGTCTGATTAGCACTCGCGACGTTTCAAACTTCATCCAATTTAGTCGGACGCATAAAAGATTGCGATAACAGGAGCAACAGTATCACTTCGTACGCTACACATTTACTTGACAAACTTTCTATTTCGGTGCTATGTCATAACAAGAGAGAGCATCCACGTCGTATATTACCCAATTCCATGGTGGTGCCTTCGTAGATCAAAGCGATCGAACTTGAAATAACGTCGACGTTATTTCCATTTAGCCAAAGTAAAGTAAGAAAAATCGAGAAATGCGTCCCATTGTGTCAATGCGATAACTATCGACTGGCCTAGCAGATAGCGTTATAGAAGTGTTCGATGTGAATGGGTGGTATACGACGTTTCTCTCGAGGAAAAAAGAAGGATGATGGGGTGGGGATAGGGGAAGGGAGAACGAATGAAACCACGGGAGGGGGAGAGAGAGAGAGAGAGAGAGAAAGAGAGAGGAAGAAGCGGACTGGTGCGACTTCGTCTTGAAAATGGTAGAGGAATAATTGCGCGAGCCGTCATGTGAGATTGTCGTCCGCTTTGTACGCGAGAAAAGGAACTAGACCGTGTAAAGCAAAGCAAAGCGAAGCAAAAAAAAAATTGTTGCGGAACAATGTTCGCGAGTTACACGTCTCGGAACATCTAATCTTTTTCCTAATCCTCGATTCTCATATCGATTATCCTACGCTTTAACGAGCTATATCTTTCTTATCTCGTCACTTACATATGTTACTTTGATCCAACTCGTTTTTTCATTTTTATCTCAAGAAGAGAAGTACAAAGAGATATATTCGTAATGCGTGTCTGTTTTATGATAAACAAAATCTCTCGATCGAAGAAAAATTATAAAATACATCGCATCAAGAAATCTTCTCGTAGATACGTTTAAAAATACGTAGAACGTAAACGTAGAGATAAATATTTTTCTCGGGAATTAATCTAGAAAAATCTCTGACGTAATATTTGCGAGAATATTTGTAAGAAAAAGGAATCGGAGTAACGTGCACGTGTCATCTTTAACGGGCAAACGATCGATTCTTACGACTTGAAATCATAGTTTGCCCCGCATGACCTCTAAATACGATTGCTTTAAATAAACACACAGGAACTTTCCGATAATGTGTGCGTTATGTTATATCGTTACGACAGAGCAATTAGATAGGAATGATGTAAGATCGTTTCTTTCGAACTTCTGTAAACATTCGCGAGCGCGAGTGCTTACGGAAAGCTTCATATAGAGAACGAACGCCTCGCTCGATAATATTCATTGTCAAATTTCTCTGTAATATTTATACGTGCGATTGAGATTATTCTAATTTAATATGAATTTCGATCGGCAATTATTGGAAATATTTGAAAGTCTTAAGATAAGTTCGTTTGATCGGCCATTATGAAAGCCGAAAGCTCGACAGGGCACGAAAGTTTCTCGTTAATCGTTAGAAACAATTTTATTTTCCCATATCTACTATGGGCATACGTATACGTATAATGTAGCTACGTATGTATCTATTTATGCGTGAGAAAATGTAATAAAAGTTAATTACCTTCAACGGCGAGACTAAAAAATTGTCGATCCCGTGCTAATAAATTTTCCACCGACACTTCGTACTTTCCAGCATTATCCGCCGTTATATTGTCCAACGTTAAATGAGAGACACCAGCACCATAGGTAATTCCAATTTTTTCCTCGGACATTAACTCTCGACCCTTGAACGATATACAAACATTTGTTTATTGGAATATTTTGACACTTGCTTTCGATACTTGCTTTCTAATATATTGCCGTTAGAGTAAAGAATGGCTTTAACGGGAATAGCTCATTTTACAGAGAGTTTAATAGGTGCGATAAAGATCTAAAAGAATGCGTGCTCAAGGTTTAAGAGAAGACGCATGTTTTGTCAACGATCGCGAGAATACTGCTTCGTATAGTTTCGTACGTTGCGACGCGATGCGACGGAGCGAGTCAACGCGTCGCATTGGTTTCTATAACAAAATAGAGAAAGAGGGGAGATCTCTCGAATATCGCTCGTCGCAAGGTGACCGGACCTTTAATATTCATTTCGAGCACACATATAAGGCCATTGACATAGTTCCTCATAAATTCCAATTAAAATTAATAAGTCGCATTAAACGTAACGAAACTTTCTACATATCTACTATGTATGCGTACGTATAGATGTGGAATAGAAGCATTTATTTGTGCAAAATACGTAACGCGTACGTACTTGCATAAGAAATATGAAAAGAAAGTATTTAGGTATGACGATTCGACGTTCTCTCATTTATCGCGTTAAGCATCCCATCGAAATTCTGATCGAACGTCGAAGATAAGACCAGTGGAATGGACAATCGAAGGGAAATTAATTCCAATGCCAGAAAATTACATTTACAGAAATATTCATTGTAATGAATTCGGGGCATAAATGGACGTATATTTCTAAGCGTCGTCGATAAGCTACCTGTTACCTAAGCGGCGCAATGTCATAGCGAATCAAGGAAATTGCAAATATTCAAACGTCATACCAATTCATTCCTATAAATGATTACAGATATATTAGCTAGTAATGTTACTTTAAAGAACGTTCTTAAGAGCGTAGCGAATTCTTACTTACCGCGCGAAACCATTTGACCAATGGCTCGGGATGGCCACGATAGGTAATCCTGAGAACGAGCTTGTTACCTCTGAAGACTTTTACGTCGTTGGGGGCTTTAACGATCGTAGCCGCTACAAATTTGTCCAATTTGTTGGACGATTCGTCATCAGGCTCTTTAGATTCGTTATCCGTTCTTGATGTTAATAGAGATCGTTCTGTGCACATAAATGGTATTATATCTGTCTCATTCGATTTGTCTTTCTTCATCTTCGAGATATGCAGATCCGTCGGAGGAACGGCATTTTTCTTCTTCGGCAATGGAGAGAGCCGTTGGGGGCTCGACGATTTCGTTCTTAAAGGAAGCGAGGACGATCTGGTGCGTTTGAATTTTTCTTCCTTTTGACAGGAGCCATTTGTCGAAACTAAATGCTGTTCCTTCTTGGATCTTCTAAAAGAGCTCGAAAGAGTCTGAAAGAGTTTGGAATCGGGCGTACGATTAAAGAACGATGGGGACGGTGATTTTTCACGGTTATAAGATATCTTTCGTTCTTTCGTCGAATTCGAAGTGCGGCCTTCGGAGGTACACGAAATTCGGTTCAATTGCAGTTCCGTCGTACAGCAGATCGATGGACCATTTCCAAGGACAGAAGCTGTACAACGAATTTCACCCGCGTCTCGCGAGGAGACGTCGCGTATCTTCAAAATGCTGACATTTTCGTCTACCTCGATCTGCGCAATATAATAATTCTCTTGTTTAAAATATCGGGCAGCTCTCTCTCTCTCTCTCTCTCTCTCTCTCTCTCTCTCTCTCTCCCTCTCTCTTGTCCGTTAAATATTCCATAAAGTTTGGTACGTACCTTGCATCTAGCGTTATCCCTGACGTCTTTTCCATTAACGGTCCAAAAAAAGTCCATTGGCTTTTCGCACTGTACTCGTGCACAGAAACACGCGGTCTCGCCCTTCGAGATGATTTGAGTTAGCGGCGTTTTGATAAATCGTGGCGCGAGATTAGGATATATAGCCTTATAATCTGTTCAACGAATAAACATCGAATCATTAAGCTTCCCCCATCTTGGAGAATTTTTATACTCGATACAATGGACATAGGTATATAGGTATGAAAGGTAACGAATACCTTGGACAGCAAGGAGACCGCTACAGGACGTTTCTCCGAATTCATTTCGAACGACGCAAGCGTAATCTCCGGCGTCTCGTGGATGGACATCGCAGAGTCTTAGGGCGATTCCTCCATCGCCATGCGAAACGTAATTATGACGATCGTCGTCGGGTATCTCGCGTTTATCTTTCGACCAATTGATCGAGAACGGGGGAGTACCTGTGAGAATAAATCCACGCGAGTCTTATCCATCCGGAGAGAAAAAGCAGCAAAAAGTAGAAGAAGAAAGATATCAAGTTTTACCAGCAAGTCTGGCACGAAGTTCATATGAATTTCCTTCCATAACGATGGACTCTTTGGGAAGCGATTGCAAGAATGTCGGTGGTTCTTTGTCCAAAGTTGAAGAATCGTGTGGATCGAGTACGGTTATCTGTGAAAGGCGAAGGAGAGAAAGAACGAGAAGCTAATCTTTTGAGGTCATAAATATTTACCTGACAAGTGTTCCTCGCCGAGCCAAGGACGTTCGTTGCCACGCAGGCATATTCGCCCGAGTCGCTCGCTTTTACTTTCGTAATTTCGATTTTCGCGGTTTTACCGTCAAAGTGTCTCTTTATTCTATTCGAACGAGGCAAAGGTCGTCCATTCCTAAAACGCAAACAGACGTTCCGTCTCGATTCTATGAATCCATAGTCACTCGTACGTGACGTATTAAAAACATTACCTATACCAGGTTGGCGTTGGACTAGGGATCCCTCTTAGGCCACATTGCAGGCGCAAACGGCCGTCCATTCTCGTAGTCGTATCGAGAAGACTTCGAGAAAAGGAAGGATGAATCCTCGGAGAGGCACTTCTAGTTCTTATAGTTCGCCCGTAAGATCCATGCCGATCTATTCAAAATAATTGTCTTACTTATTAAATATTTTTCTTTACCTCCTTTGTTTTATTTCTCTCTTTTTCTTCTTTTACGTCCACGCTAATGAATATTATGAATATTTGAGAAGATAAATAAATATAATTATGTAAGAAGCTTTTAGAAACGGTTATCTAATCGTGGTATTACAAACGTAGCCGGGAATGCGTCAGAGTTACGCTTACTTATCACTTCGAGTCGAGCACTAGCCTCGATTCTACCAAAATCGTTTTCCAAGGTAACTCTGTAAAGGCCAGCATCCTCTTGCGTAACCTCCCCGATCTCTAGGACCTTCACGTCGTCCTTTTCTACGATGGAAATTCTTGTGGTCGGCGTGACAACGATTCCATTTTTGTCCCACTTCAGCCAGGGCGTTGGATGACCGACGACGGCACATTGGAAACGCACGGTTTCACCTTCTTCGACCACTCGATTGTGCGGCACGGAGTAAAATTTCGGTGGACTGATCTTTGGTCGTTTTATCGTTGAACCGCGTCGTGGCGGAAATTGAGGAGACCTGAGTTCGCGGCCGTCTAACACGAGAGAAAATTATTGCCGATTAATATCATCGAATGAAATCTTCGAACGAGTTTCATGCACTTAATATTTTCAATTTCTTCTCGCTGAATCGCGCGATTAATGTTAGATTTAAGGGAGGGAGAGGGGGGGGGGGAATTCAGCCCTGAAAACTCACGGGAAACTGCAGGAGATAAACTTCTTATAGGCGTAGATCGTGGAGTTGATCGAGGCGTTGATCCTGCCGATAGTAGGCCGACCGGTCGTGTTAATCTTTCGCTGAGTACGTTTTCTTTGCCCTCGGGAACTGCGGAAATTGACATTGCCAAAGAAGAAAGATTTAACGTAAACGTATATTCGTTCAACTCTTTGATCGAACAAAGAATTGATTATTATTTTGAACGCGCACACTTCTAGTATAAGTAACTTGATATTCGCGCAATTTATTAGCAAATGCAGGGGAAACGCGCTTCGACCACGAAGGCGCGTTTTGGTTACGCTTTATAACTCAACGTTACCTATAACAACTTTTTTGACGTTTCAACTTCTCTCGAAAGGAATCGTTCCTCTTTTTCTATTTATATTTTGATTTACCTTAACGATTGCGAAAATTCGTGAGGATAAAAATGTAATAAAAAAAACGAAGGTAAACTTTTTTTTAACGTTAAATTACCATCAACTACGAGACAAGCCGACGTGAATGCCTTCCCAAGTTCGTTGTAAGCGACACACGTGTACTCTCCCTCGTCCTCGGGATATACGTGTTGGATGCTTAGCCGTGCTACTTCGCCATCGAATTCACTCGTAAAATCGTTACCCATCGTTATTATCTAAAAGTGATCATTATTAATTTTGCCATTTCTGCGTCTATACGATATTTCGAGAAACGCTATATTGTAGGTAGAAAAATTACACGCGTTACCTTTCCACCCTTCTCCCAACGAACGTTGGGGGGTTGTTCGGGCGTGGCAAGAAATTTACACTCCAAAGTGACAGCGTCACCGTCGCAACATCTTATATCTCTGAGTTCCCTCGTTACCATAGGCAAGGTGAGCACCTTCCTGCGTATAATCCATAATAAAGACGTAAACGAGGTTTAATTTAATTAAATTTACATTTTCAAAATTACGAGCTGTGCAAGTAGAAACAAAAAAAGAAAGAAAAATTGGAAATTCGTCTAACGATAGAATACCAACCCGTGCGTAATCGGCGACTTCTTCATCTTCGTCGTTTCCTTACCTTGACCTGCAAAAGGATATATGAATTCATATAATTTATATAATATAATCCATTTAGTTGATCCTAAACATCGATAATAAATATGACGTATGTAGGTATATATAAATCAATATATAGAATTTCTCTCACCTTTAGCATATATTTGCAAAGAAATTATGGCTTTTGCTTCTCCATGACAATTTCGAGCGATCACCGAATACGTTCCGGTAAAGTCGAGCTTCGCGTGAGGTATTTCCAATCTGTATTGAGGACCGTTATCCACCAATCGAAAATGAGGCGCGTCCCTATAATAATCGGGCTGCAAATACGACATAGCTATTATAGTATATTAGAACGTTGTATGTATCTCGTTGTATTAGGTAATATTATTTCACAATCCATTACAATTAATATAACATACTTAAGAGAAGAAATAATAAATCGTTGTAAAAAATTATCCCCAAAGAAAAGATCGATCGTACGTATGTGTATGTATTTCGTTCGTAGATACGTATGCGCGCACGTCGTTCGAACGTTAACGAAAAAGAGAAGCGTTACGTCCAAAGACGAATACTCGCCTGACCTCGAGCATCGACCTCGACCTAGATACCAACGCGTTTCCGCGATTCCCACGCCTACGCTATATACAAAAAAAAAATGTTTTAATAGTTATTCCATTCGTATTATATAAGACATACGAGTACGTATAATTCGTGTAGATTTAGTGACGACCTTTAATTGTCAAAGGTACACGGGGTTAAAACTCAGCGTGAGATGTTTAAAGAGAGGAAAAAAAAAAAAAAAGAAGAAAAAGAGACGACAGTAGTCCTCTCGTTGGAACTCTAGTCCATATAGGGAGCGAAAGTCGATCGGATCGTTCGAGACTGATCTTGTTATGCCTATGACACAGACACAAGTGCCAACAAGTGAATATTTATTTCTTTCCCATTGCTAATCGCCTTTCTCTTAGTTTTATCCAGGGTTTATATAAATCCTTACAATTGTAATCGTAATACGTGCATAAACGCATAAAATTGTTATATACCCATAAGTATCTAAATAAACTCACCCTCTGATGACATTATAAATATAATTTGTTGAAATACGAAATGGAAATAGAATGGCATATCGATGGATTACGCGATAATACGTCTTTCGTTACGAAAAGTGTATCGATCGATCCGTATCTCATTGCGATAAATGAAGTTTTCAAGTTTTCTAAGGCGAGCTGTTTCTTGACATAATGGACCTTCCGAGACCCATCCGTCTTTCACCTGTCTATCGTGCACCAACGTGACGCGCTTCGCCTACGATGAAATTTATGCGTACGACACTTCCCGTTACGGAAGAGAGACGCCGTAAACTGGTTGGTGCAAGGACTCTCTATAGGGTATTACATGTATTATATCGGTGCGAGATTGGCGCAAGAAACTTGACTTTGTGCCCTTCCATCGGATCAAATCAATTTTTCCGGAAATTCTCTCCCATATATCGTACAATTCGTCAGGATAGAATATTTTAATACTATATCGATTAAGAAGAGCCCTGCTTTCGCCTTATATCCCTATAATAGAAATAATTCAATCCTGAACGTTACAATTTGACGATCTCAATATAAATAATTATAAGTAGTTTATAATAGTTGTTAAGAGTGGCGATTAAAAAACGAGTCGATCTTTTTCTTTTAACGTTCGCGGCGTTAACGTAGTCGTTAGCTAAAAAGGAATGCTCGCTGAACCTATGTATGTATTTGGTGGCTTGGCTCGATGCGTCGCACGTTCTTGCAGTTACTACGCGAGAGATTAACTCACGAGACTCGGCCAAGTTTTCCTCGAAGTATATAGATTCGTTCTCGAGGAATTTCCTTAAGAGAGACGATGAAAAGGCCTGAGAATGAGAATGACTCATTACGACTGGAAACTCGTACGTTAGGACGAGTTTCCTAAACGTTCACTGCTTTTCTTTTTAATCGTCACCGTTCTTGAAATAATTACATTATTTCTATAGAAAAAGAGTTAACAATGACAAAATTATTAACAAATTGCCATCAGATTTTAAGTATCACGAGAAAATTTTCTTATCCATGGATAATACCTATGAATATTATTATATATAGTATTATATTTATTTATGTACCTACGTGTTTTGGGAATAGGATACTTTGTCATTTTGAAGTCGCACATGCACATCAAGTTGAGATTTATAGCTCACATTTCTTTTCACGAAATTCCATATGGAAAAGAATCATCCTTCCGGATAAAGAAGACGATAACGTACGATAAATTTCTACTCACTTTTCTCACTTTTTCAATGACAAAGAATACGTTTTTATAATCGAGACAAATGTCAATTCGCTAAAATATTTACGAGAGAGAGAGAGAGAGAGAGAGAGAGAGAGAGAGAGGGAGAGAGAGAGAGAGAGAGAGAGACAGGGGGATAGAGGAAGAGAGAGAAAGAGAGCGACGTACATATGCGCTCGTCGTACGACGACGATCGACAGTAGGCTATTCATTGGCCAAAGTTAAACACCGACTGTTTTACCGTTCGTACTTCGCGGTACCGATCCATCGGCGAAGAAAGCCAACTTGGATGACGAAAAGTGGGGACGATGCCTTCTAGGTAACTAACTAAGTATTTACACTCTTCTCGATTATGCAGATATTCGTTTGACGTAAATACTTTGATGCTTCGACGTTTCCTTCCTTCCTTTCCCTTCGTGCCTTTTCCTTCCGGTCTTTCTCTCGAGGATGAGGATAATCGTATATCATACGACACGATTCTCGATACTTCGATCGTGTCGAAAGAATCGTCAGAACGCAACGCAACGAAGGAGAGTTCGTGTAACAAAGGGAACGACGAAAGCGCACAAACGTTAGAATGAAATTTATTGTAACCAAGTCCTACGTCACGGATAATACTTTCGATATGCCTGATTTGTATTCTCCTTGACTTTTTATTAACGTTAACGCCCACCACGTACGCCTATATCCATTTCTGTATCTCTTCGTTGAAGAAGAAATAAAAATCATTGTGGAAGGCTTTCCAATGAAAAAAAGAAAAAAAGGAAAAGAGAAAGAAAAATCTTGGATGGAACATTAGGGTTACATTGAAATTCCATTACCCATTTCATATTTCTAGACGAGGAACAAGAGGAGGAGAAATCCTTTATAATTGCCAAGGGAGCACTTTTCGGCTTCTCGGAGTTTGCATCGAGCTTGCTTCCTCTTTCGTTGAATAATAAATTTCTCTTCTTCTTCTCGTTCCATCTTTGGGCTCCTCGTTTAACCTAACGTAGCACGTACTGTTACCTTTTAAAGAGGCGACGCGAAATAAATGCCGTTTCCCCCAACGCGACGCATATAATACCTGACCCACTATGGGCATAATGCGGTATGTAACACTATCATTTCTTTCTTGCTGTCACCTTGACCTACATCCGTGATCGATGCAGCATTAGGGACACGTCATTTTCTGGGATTGCAAAATGAATTTTACAATTACTCCCCGTACTTGCATATCCAACTTGTAAGTCCAGCTCCTTTAATTAGCTATCTTGTAACGCTTTTATTGTAAAAACATTGCAATTGCAAGAACAGAGGATCCCTCTATTTACGACGTGTAAATGAAATAATTACCTTGAGAAAATCGCGCAACCAAATAACTTCCGGTTTAGGATCACCAACGACCTCGCAAAGTATAATGACCGTATCTCCTTCGAGGGCCTCGGTTGATAAAGGTTTCGTAACGAATAGCGGCTCCTTCGAGTATCTGCGAAACGTCAGGACAGAGAGATAAGTAAGTTAAGTTTTCTCCGAGACGTCAGACGTAGAGACACAATGATATTAAAATTAAATATATTTTTTACGCACGGCACATCGGGAGTAGCAATGGTCACCGTTGGCAATCCTTCGATAAGAGATTCAATTTGCTTGTCGTTCGCTTCGTCGCTTCCGACGATAACGTTGACTCTCGTTGATGTCTCAGCACGGCCAACTTCGTTGACGGCGGTACAACTGTAAACACCAGCGTCCCTGCTCGTAACTTTGGCCAAAGATAATTCGACTGTACCGTCGTGGCTCAAGGTCATGATAGTTCTTCTACTAGGTCGAAGACGCAATCCATCGCGGTGCCTGATAAGAGGGAACACGAAAAAAAGAAAGCAAACTCGTGAGTTTCTTAATAAATTCGGATTTTTCTTTGTTTTTCTAAATAAAGTGCGGCAATCGATTTTTGTTCGCTCACCATACTACACCCACGCTAGGATAAGCCTCGATCTGAGCTGACATTCTTAATTCGTCATTTAATCTTACAGCATAGACTGCGTCCAGGCCATAAAGAAATTCAGGGGCAACGTAAGCACGAATTCCTTTATCGACTACGAGGATGGATCGACAGGACACCGAACCGTGAATATTTTTTGCCGTCACCATGTAACATCCGGAATCCTCGAGCGTCGAATGAATTATCTCTAGAGTATGAAAGTTGGAATCGTCGTCCCAAAAGACGTGACGTTCTGGAAAAAAAAAAGAAAAAAATGATTATATCTATTATTCGTTATTCAATTTTCCAGCTTAGTCTCTTACCGTCTTGAATAATTTCAACGGCGTTTTTAAACCAAGTTATCTCGGGAGCAGGATAACCCATAATTTGGCACGTTAAGCGTACGGGATAGGTAACCTGAACCCGTCTATCTCGTAATCTCATGGCGAACTGCGGTGGCCTTTCTTCTCGCTCATCTCCCAAAATTCTAATGTAAGAGAAAATAATTGCCTTTCTCGTTATTCTCTTTTTCCTTATTCTAATGCGGAAATTGTTTATTAAATAAAACGAACTTGTATTAATAATACCTAGATCTAAGTTTTTCATCCGCTTCGATGATCTTCGGATCGGTAACGACGAGTACTCTAGCGAAAGATGACACTTTACCAACTTTATTCGATGCCTCGCAAATATATCTGCCTGAATCATCTTCCTTTATCGTATCTATGGTAAGAGAGGACCTTAAACCTCTCCTACCGATGGAATATCGCGAATCGTTGTTAGGATCAATCTCGGCCGTTTCACGATACCATTTGATATTTACATTTGGTTCTCCGCGAATCTATAAATTTTAATAACGATCGATATGACAATGAAATGAAACGAAAGAACGTATAGTAGATATTTTATATTTCTTAAGAAAAATCCCACCTCGCATTCCAATTTGATGGTCGAGCCCTCAAGAGCCTTCAACTGGCCAGGAAGAATTTTGATGAATTCTGGAAGATCAACGACTTCGCTGACCGTGAAGGAATTCGACGTCGTCACGGATTCGCCCCATCCATATCGATTTCGCGGGGTTACGCGAAATCTATATTCTCCGCCTGGACGAAGATTGAACGCATCTATGGCGTTTATCGGTGTGATGCCCAGCTGATATGCAAAGTGAGAAATAATAAAATAAGAGGCATCGATTAAAGTTATTATTTCAACATTAAACCATACCTCGACCCAACGAGCACCACCGTCCCCACCCATCAACCATGCGTCAACCTTATAGGCGATGACCGGAGCTGGTCCTCTCCTCTCGGCCTTGCCCCAACTCAAGGACAACCAATTTCTTCCACCATCGACGACAACTGGCTCGCTGCTGATTGGTCCAGGGACATCTGGTGGCGTGAAAATATTTGTAAATCAGCGTGCTTTTTCGAAGTACAATTCAAAGAACAATTTCTCTCTCTCTCTCTCTCTCTCTCTCTCTCTCTCTCTCTCTCTCGCTCACTCTCTCGATCTACTCTACCTCGTTGTCCGAATAAATATTCTAGAAAATCGCTGATCAAACTATCCTCGCTAGTCAAAGATCGTTTCAAACGAGAGCTCGGTAATTCGAGGTCATCGTTCAGCGCGATTTCTTTATCTTGATTCCTCATTATTCTTACTTTAATATCATCTCTAAATTTCTACGTTAAACGTAAAAATAAGGTTTTATTTCTTTTCAACTAAATACTTAGATATTTCTCTGGGTGAAATACACGATTTATACGTATTCTTTGGGAAAAAAAGTAGGGCAGAGACGAGACGATCCGCGTCTCGATGCCGACTGAATTTCGAATTTGTGGAGATACAGAGAAGTAGGAGGGGATAAGGAAATAGGTAAGGGAGGTAAACGAAAATAACCCAACGGGAGGTGTTCCTCAAATTGTGTATGTAGGTGGTCGTATCAGTTTAATATTTCTCGAAAACATTTAGTAACATCCTGAAACGTCTTCGTAAAGGTTTACATACCTGTCGTAATTTCCCTTTATCGTTGTAAAATTTTAATAACGCCATCGTTCGTGTAAATTATTTTTTAGTCAGTAACAGCTCGTTTAATCGACAGTCATGATATATTGCACTGATATATCTACACTTAAGCTCTCTGTGGTTGCTTAATCGCTGGCCTTTGCTACTCAAAGCTTATATAGCTTCTCAAAAGAGATATGTACTTTATAAAAGATTTTTCTCCCGCCGAATGTATCGAGACAACAAATGTACAATTATATTTATAAACGTAATCCTTAATCAACATTCGGATATTTTCAAAGCGTACCGTAAATGGACCATCTCCTGATCAAAGATTCTGAAGTCATTCCAACTTCCAATGTCAGTAATTCTGCTCGTCCTTCGTGATAAATCAGTCACGCCGCCGTTATTTGTCGGTGCTAGAGATATATGTAAACGCGCGCATGTAGGTACATATTTACGATATTTAATAGTTTTTATATAGTTAAAGATTTGAACAGTCGTTGCACTTGGCATCGATCCAGTGTCGTATGGAAGTATATAATAGATCTGGCTGGTCTCTACTTTTCTATTAAACACTTCTTTTCTCACTTTTTAATAGACAAACTTTAAACTAACGTATATCATTATAGTACTCGTATATTATTCGATCGATAATCTCCGGGAAAATATGTTCTTCCCTTGTAAATACCGATAATGGCATTATGCTCGTAAAGATTGTAGAGCATAAATAAAATCTCGATCTTTGTTCGTGAAACTGTAATGTTAGTTGCTTTTAAGGTAACGTTTAGGTCCCTTTTACTTCTTACTTCTTTTTCTAATCAGTTCAAAGACTGATAGTACAATATGTTGGATATATAAGCAGTCAACCTAAATATCTACGTCATTTTGCAAAACACTTTAGCCCAGGGACTACTTGGAATAAAGCCAAACGACCCTGGGCCAAGTGTACTAGCAAGTGTACTCGCTGTAATCGCTGTTAGCGTCGTCGCATCGCTCTACTCTAATTATAATTACTCGATTATTCATCGGTTTGATCATTGTTATTATCAGCCATTTTACTTTTACTATATATGCTTTTAGCGTCCGTGGGTTAAAAAAGTTAACGCAATAAAACGTATCGTATTAGCATAAGGGCATCATCAATGTGTTATTAAATTATTTTGATTTGACGGAAGTATATGTATATTTGTAAATCAGCGTATTTTGTAGTAAAAATATATATAGAACTTACCTTTAACGTAAGACAATTCATCCTCGTTTTGAATGCTTCCTGCGTCAGAGCGACTCCAGTCGCCGGGTAACGGTGTTAGAGATCTCGCTCTTTGCTTAATCTAATCATCAAGAATTTCTTAATCATCGATCATTTCCTTTATTGCCTATTTATCGCCTATTTAATTTTATTCGTAATTAAATCGCGCACGATTTACCCACCCAGATCGAGAAGAAACTCCTATCGCATCCATATCGATTCTTCACCAAAATGCAATAAGTACCTTCGTCGGATGGTATCGCTCTTTTCAAAGTCAATCTAACGTAGTCATCGATACCTTCTTTGTACGATCGCGGACCATCCGTAATATCTTTTATACCTTTCATCCATGTTACTAAGATAAGAGAACATTTATATCAAAATTTATATCATTATGATGTAAAAATAAGGAAGGGACTTTGGAACTGGACTGGGTAACATCTAAAGCCATTTGGAATAGCTATTGTTACCTCGAGGTTTCGGAACACCGGTCATCCTGAAAGATACACTGACGTCTTCCCCGATAGCCACAGCAATTGATTTTTCCGAAGGTCTAGAAACGAACATTGCCGGTTTTCCACCATCGATCGCCCCAGGAGATATTATTTCGATCGTAGCAGCTGTATCAACGTATCCGTAAGCGTTCACCGCTCTGCAGATGTAAGTACCTCTTTCGGATTCCGTCGCTTCAGGGACAATCAGAGTATGTACGCCAGATTCTGCGAAGGTCTTTGCTTTTGATATTGAAATCGGTTCTTTTCGTTCTCCGTGCAACCATCTAACTTCCGGCGCCGGCATTCCTGTCAGCAAAGAAGGAGATTCAGAAAATGAAGGTCTCTTTTCCTCGCATCAACTTTACACGCTATCCCATCCATTAGCATTGCAACGACTAAACGTTAAGACGTTAAAAATGTCTTTTAATAATTTTACCTTTGACTTCGACTTGAAGAGCAATAGTACCACCGGTAGGTACACTGTGATCGCTTAAAAAATTTGAAAAGCGAGGCCTCCTCGACGCTTCGACGTCGTCCTCCGTGATCCGGCCACGTTTACGAGCAGATCTCTGATCTCGTCCTTAAAAAATGATAAATTGTCTTTGCGTTAACATTTCCGATTTGCCAACGTAGATCAATAAAAGAGAATCTACAAAATTTCTATGGCAACCTTCAAAGTGTACAATATGCGACATTTCAGTGGATTGCATTTCGTTCGTCGCTCTGCAAACGTAACGTCCACTGTCCGAAGTATCGGGATTCGATATTTCCAATCGATGAATACCATCGTCTAAATACTTTCGAATATATCTACCATCGTCGAGTACTTTTCCATCCTTCAACCAGGAAATCGTAGGGCATGGATATCCACGGACTCGACATTCTAACACCAATTCGTGATTAGAATGCCGATATGTGTCTGAAGCGAATTAGAATACAATATTTATATATTTCTTTCGCTGGCATATGACAAAAGGGCTATTATTATTCGAAGGAAAAGGGATCGTATGTTGTACCTTTGATGGATTTCGTGAATGTCGGCGGTGATAATGGTTGCACAAAGTCTCTGTAGACTTTTAAAGTTGACTCGGTCGACGTGGATCCGTGAATATTTTCTGCGATACAGGTATATACGCCGGAGTCCTCAACGTGAGCTTCCTTCAATTCAAAATAAGCCATGCCATTGTCGAATCGTGTTTGATATTTATTCGACGTAGGAGATAATTCTTGGCCATCCTTTCTCCAGTAAACGCGTGGTTCGGGGTTTCCCAAAACGGTGCACGTTAATCTCGTTCTCATACCTTCGCCCACCGTTCTGTTCGTAAGGCGTGTACAGAACGACGGTTTCTTTCCTTTATCTCGCATGATACTCTGTCCATAACGAAATATATTATTATTATTAAAGTAAACAAGTAAATATTTGAAATAAAACGAATATAATACGTATATGATAATACTTACATCAAAACTAATCGTATCGAGATCATCATACTCGATGTGAGAAGGAATCTTTATTCTACCACATCTAGGAGGCTTACTCGATGAGCTATAAGAAACGGTAGAATCGGTGTCGCCCATGTAATACTCGTCGTATTTTAACAAGCTGATCGACCTTGCTCTGTTGATGCGTTCTTCTCTTCGTCTTCTTGTTCCATAATAAGACCCAATGTCGTACAGAGATCTGTTTAACGAGCTCTCGTGTAATTTGTAGTCCATGTAATCGTCGATGCTTCTTCTACCAGAGGAAGCAAGAGATTCTCGCCAACTGTACGATCTGGATGAGTCCGAAAGAGTCGAGTCTAATTGTAAGTCAGAATCAACGCGATAAGATCTGCTTCTTCGATCGGGAGAGATTCTCGATAATCTGCTACTCCTACTTCTTACGTCGTCTAAACTTTTCAAAAATCTATCGGATTCGTTCTCCCTTAGTCTCGACCAATTCTCATCCCTCGCCCTATCTCGTCGTCTTTTATTTATAGCGGATAATTCCTCCTCGTGTCTCCGTCTCAATCGATCCTCTTCCTCCTTGAGCAATCTCGCGCTTTCCTCGCGTCTAACTTGCCTCTCCTGTTCCCTTCTAATCGTTCTTTCTTCCTCTTCCTTTCTCATACGTCCAAAATCTTCCTTTCTCTGTCGTTCTTCGGCCCTTTTACGTTCCAAACGTTCCATCTCTTGCATCTTTAATCTTTCTTCTCGATCCTTTCTACTTTGCTCCGCTTCTTCTTTCCTTTTCCTCCGCTCCTCTTCCGATCTTAATCTATCAGCTCCTTCTATTCGTAACATCTCTTCCTCTTCGGCCCTTCTACGTTCCTTACGTTTCCGCCTTCTCTCATCTTCTTCACTTTCCATTATTTTTTCTTCCTCTTCATTCATTCCGCGTTCCAATCTCATCCGTTCGTCCTTCGACTTCATCTTTCCTTCGCCCTCTATTTGCCTTCCTATCTGCTTCATTTCCACCTTCTTCCTCTCTTCCTCCCCATGATTCAACTCATTTTCATCATCCTTCTTTTTACGTTCTACCTCCTCGTTATTCAGTTTTTTAGCTTCCTCCTTCTTCTTACGTTCCTCATCCTCGAGTTTCAGCTTCTCTGCTTCCTCCTTCTTCTTACGTTCCTCATCCTCGAGCTTCAATTTCTCAGCTTCCTCCTTCTTCTTACGCTCTTCTTCTTCGAGTTTCAATTTTTCAGCCTCCTCCTTCTTCTTACGCTCTTCTTCTCCGAGCTTCAGTTGCTCAGCCTCCTCCTTCTTTTTGCACTCCTCCTCCTCGAGTTTCAGTTTCTCAGCTTCCTCCTTCTTCTTACGTTCTTCATCCTCGTGTTTCAGCTTCTCAACTTCCTCCTTCTTCTTACGCTCTTCTTCTTCGAGTTTCAGTTTCTCAGCTTCCTCCTTCTTCTTACGTTCTTCATCCTCGTGTTTCAGCTTCTCAGCTTCCTCCTTCTTCTTACGTTCCTCATCCTCGAGCTTCAATTTCTCAGCTTCCTCCTTCTTCTTACGCTCTTCTTCTTCGAGTTTCAATTTTTCAGCCTCCTCCTTCTTTTTGCGCACCTCCTCCTCGAGCTTCAGCTTCTCAGTTTCCTCCTTCTTCTTACGTTCCTCACCCTCGAGTTTCAATTTCTCAGCTTCCTCCTTCTTCTTACGTTCTACATCCTCGTGTTTCAGCTTCTCAGCTTCCTCCTTCTTCTTACGCTCTTCTTCTTCGAGTTTCAGTTTCTCAGCTTCCTCCTTCTTCTTACGCTCTTCTTCTTCGAGCTTCAGTTGCTCAGCCTCTTCCTTCTTTTTGCGCTCCTCCTCCTCGAGCTTCAACTTCTCAGCTTCCTCCTTCTTCTTACGTTCCTCATCCTCGAGTTTCAATTTTTCAGCTTCCTCCCTCTTCTTACGCTCTTCTTCTTCGAGTTTCAATTTTTCAGCCTCCTCCTTCTTTTTGCGCTCCTCCTCCTCGAGTTTCAATTTCTCAGCTTCCTCCTCCTTCTTCTTACGTTTCTCACCCTCGAGTTTCAGCTTCTCTGCTTCCTCTTTCTTTTTCCGTTCCTCTTCTTCAAGTTTCAGTTTCTCAGCTTCCTCCTTCTTCTTACGCTCTTCTTCTTCTTCAAGTTTCAGTTTCTCACCTTCCTCTATCTTCTTAAGCTCTTCTTCTTCGAGTTTCAGTTTCTCAGCTTCCTCCTTCTTCTTACATTCCTCCTCCTCGAGCTTCAGTTTCTCATCTTCCTCCTTCTTCTTACGCTCTTCTTCTTCGAGTTTCAATTTTTCAGCCTCCTCCTTCTTTTTGCGCACCTCCTCCTCGAGCTTCAGTTTCTCAGCTTCCTCTTTCTTCTTACGCTCTTCTTCTTCGAGTTTCAGTTTCTCAGCTTCCTCCTTCTTCTTACGTTCCTCCTCCTCGAGCTTCAGTTTCTCATCTTCCTCCTTCTTCTTAAGCTCTTCTTCTTCGAGTTTCAATTTTTCAGCCTCCTCCTTCTTTTTGCGCTCCTCCTCCTCGAGCTTCAACTTCTCAGCTTCCTCTTTCTTCTTACGTTCCTCATCCTCGAGTTTCAATTTTTCAGCTTCCTCCCTCTTCTTACGCTCTTCTTCTTCGAGTTTCAATTTTTCAGCCTCCTCCTTCTTTTTGCGCTCCTCCTCCTCGAGCTTCAATTTCTCAGCTTCCTCCTTCTTCTTATGCTCTTCTTCTTCGAGTTTCAATTTTTCAGCCTCCTCTTTCTTCTTACGCTCTTCTTCTTCGAGTTTCAGTTTCTCAGCTTCCTCCTTCTTCTTACGTTCCTCCTCCTCGAGCTTCAGTTTCTCATCTTCCTCCTTCTTCTTACGTTCCTCATCCTCGAGTTTCAATTTCTCAGCTTCCTCCTTCTTCTTACGCTCTTCTTCTTCTTCAAGTTTCAGTTTCTCAGCTTCCTCTTTCTTCTTACGCTCTTCTTCTTCGAGTTTCAGTTTCTCAGCTTCCTCCTTCTTCTTACGTTCCTCCTCCTCGAGCTTCAGTTTCTCATCTTCCTCCTTCTTCTTACGCTCTTCTTCTTCGAGTTTCAATTTTTCAGCCTCCTCCTTCTTTTTGCGCTCCTCCTCCTCGAGCTTCAGTTTCTCAGCTTCCTCCTTCTTCTTACGTTCCTCATCCTCGAGTTTCAATTTCTCAGCTTCCTCCTTCTTCTTACGTTCTACATCCTCGTGTTTCAGCTTCTCAGCTTCCTCCTTCTTCTTACGCTCTTCTTCTTCGAATTTCAGTTTCTCAGTTTCCTCCTTCTTCTTACGTTCCTCATCCTCGAGTTTCAATTTTTCAGCTTCCTCCTCCTTCTTACGCTCTTCTTCTTCGAGTTTCAATTTTTCAGCCACCTCCTTCTTTTTGCGCTCCTCCTCCTCGTGCTTCAGTTTCTCAGTTTCCTCCTTCTTCTTACGTTCCTCATCCTCGAGTTTCAATTTCTCAGCTTCCTCCTTCTTCTTACGCTCTTCTTCTTCGAGTTTCAATTTTTCAGCCTCCTCCTTCTTTTTGTCCTCCTCCTCCTCGAGCTTCAGTTTATCAGCTTCCTCTTTCTTCTTACGTTCATCTTCCTCGAGTTTCAATTTCTCAGCTTCCTCCTTCTTCTTACGCTCTTCTTCTTCGAGTTTCAATTTTTCAGCTTCCTCCTTCTTCTTACGCTCTTCTTCTCCGAGTTTCAATTTTTCAGCCTCCTCCTTCTTTTTGCCCTCCTCCTCCTCGAGCTTCAGTTTATCAGCTTCCTCTTTCTTCTTACGTTCATCTTCCTCGAGTTTCAATTTCTCAGCTTCCTCCTTCTTCTTACGCTCTTCTTCTTCGAGTTTCAATTTTTCAGCTTCCTCCTTCTTCTTACGCTCTTCTTCTCCGAGTTTCATTTTTTCAGCGTCCTCCTTCTTTTTGCGCTCCTCCTCCTCGAGCTTCAGTTTCTCAGCTTCCTCCTTCTTCTGACGCTCTTCTTCTTCGAGTTTCAATTTCTCAGTCTTCTCCTTCTCTTTACGCTTGTCCTCTTCGAGCTTCAGTTTCTCAGCTTCCTCCTTCTTCTTACGCTCTTCTTCTTCGAATTTCAGTTTTTCAGCGTCCTCTTTCTTTTTACGCTCTTCTTCTTCGAGTTTAAATCTTTCAGCCTCCTCCTTCTTCTTACGTTCCTCTTCCTCGAGTTTCAGTTTGTCAGCTTCCTCCTTCTTCTTACGTTCCTCCTCCTCGAGCTTCAGTTTCTCATCTTCCTCTTTCTTTAATCGTTCCTGCTCCTCTTTGAGTTTCAGCTTCTCAGCCTCCTCCTTCTTCTTACGTTCATCTTCCTCGAGTTTCAGGTTGTCAGCTTCCTCCTTCTTCTTACGCTCTTCTTCTTCTTCAAGTTTCAGTTTCTCAGCTTCCTCTTTCTTCTTACGTTCCTCATCCTCGAGTTTCTGCTTCTCAGCTTCCTCCTTCTTCTTTCGTTCATCTTCCTCGAGTTTCAGTTTGTCAGCTTGCTCTTTCTTTTTTCGTTCCTCCTCCTCGAGTTTTAGTTTCTCATCATCTTCCTTCTTTTTACGTTCTTCTTCCTCAAGTATCCGTTTCTCAGTTTCCTCTTTCTTTAATCGTTCCTCTTCTTGGAGTTTCAGTTTTTCAGCTTCTTCCCTCTTTTTACCATCCTCTTCCGCGAGTTTCAATTTTTCATTCTCCTCTTTCCTTTTCCGCTCATCTTCCGCGACTTTCACTTTCTCAGTTTCTTCTTTGTTCGCGCGTTCTTCTTCCTCGCACATCTGTTTCTCAAATTCCTCCCTTTGTTCACGTTCTTCCTTTTGACGTTCGCATTTCTCAGTTTCGTCTTTTTTTAGATTATCTTCCGTTTCCTCTTTTTCCCGTGGTTGTTCCTCACTTTGGGTATCTTTTATTTTATCGTCTTTTTGTTCGTCCGTATCATTTTGTTGACTCGATTCTATCCTAAGATCAGTCATCCAAAGAATTTCTCCGGTTAATAATTTATCGCGCAAATCGTTGAGACTATTGCGCAGATTACGGAGGGGCTTTTCTAGTGTCTCTAAATGTTCGCTCGCCACATCTTCCGTCTTCTTTCCTTTTATGGACGCAATGGTATCGTTCAACCTATCGAAATGTTGAGATAACGGTTGAAGGATCGTCTGATGCTCGCAAATATCTGTAAATTGTGGATCTGATCGATGCTGCTTTCTAACGAAAGCAATGGATTCATGGATTTTACTTAGCGACGCCATTATCGGTCCCTTTTCGAGCGTACCTTCTTCTTGTATCTTCACCATACATTTTTTCAAATCTTGAAGAGTCTCATTGAACACTTTTAATTTTTCGCATTCAGTGCTTCTGTCGATATTAGCTCGTTCTATTTGATCTCGTATCTTATGTTCTACGCTCTCAACGGACTCGTTAATACCTACAATGGCGTCTATTAGCTTGATCGATAGTTTTGTCATTTCTACAGATGGTAATGTATGCCGATGAACTGCCGTTGTATTTTCTTGATCCGTTGATATCGTTTCTAAGGTTGCACGAAGATTTATTAATGGTTTTTCCAAGTTTCGAAGATACTCGGTCGGGCTATCCTCCACCTTTAAAATGGACCGTTTTAATTCGACTAACGGCAATCTCAAGGCACTTATAACGGTTTTATCAACTTCCGAGCCATATAATGGATCGACAAGTGGCTTATCAATCGCCTGCTCCTCCACGATAGAAATGCATCTCTCCAAATTTGAAAGAGACTCGACGATTATTTCGACGTTTGCTTCCTCTTGGCCGATATTTATGTTGGCTTCGTCTCGTAGAAGAGAAAAGCTGACGGAAACGGCTTTGAGCGGCTCGAGGAGCGTCTTCAATGCTTGATATTCGATTCGACGTTCAAGGGGCATCATTTCCTCTCGAACGTTCGATATCATAGATATGATACCTTCGACCGGTTCTATCAATTTATCAATGATAATTCGGTCCTGCGTGGTAATTTTACTCGGTTCGTTCACTTTGACCGTGTCCGCTTGAATGGCGGTGACACGTTCACAAATTTCGCCTATCGACTTTTCCATTTCTTGCAACGTCGCGACCGCCACGCATTCCTTCGTCGTCCAGTTGGGTTTAGACAATTCTTGAGGCAACGGCTCAATGTCCGGCGATATAACTCGTTCTTCCAGCACCATAATGCACCTTTGAAGATCGAGCAAAGGTTCGGCCAGTACACTCAACAATGCTAATTCATTCTCAAAGGGACGTTCCTCCTGCAAGGTTTCGATGGGCACTTGATCCTGAATGATCGCGATCGAATTGCAAACTTCTTCGAGAGGCTGTATGAGAGGATCGATCGACATCGCCGAACCTCCATCTTCGCCGAATGCGTCTTTCTCTCTCGCCGATTCGATAGCCAGTTTTTCCTCGATTACCATAGCGGCGACGTTTCTCAGTTCTAACAATGGCCTCGCAATGGACTTCATCAAGGTAGGATCCTCTTTTGGGATCATAGGCGACGTCGTCTCGGTCGTCCTTCGTTCTTCGACGATCAATGCCAAGAATTCTCGCAATTCCTCGAGCGGCTTCGCAAGAGTCCTCAGGATAGCGTCCTCTTCCTCGGAAAAGGGAGAAGCAGCCTCGGTGGGACTTTCGACGGTGCCTTGGTCTATCGTCATCGCTCGCGTTACCTTCACAGGAGAAGACTCGTCTTCCGCTACGTCCGCCCATGTTTTCAACGAAGATGCACCTTCGGACATTGCGTCGGCCGCAGTCTCGAAGATCGCTCGTTGTTCATCAATTACGGCGATTCTTTCTGCCAATTCGTACAAGGACTTTGCAAATGTCTCCAATGCATTTACGTTTTCCATATCGGATAGTTCGTGCAAATTGTGCTCGGTCGCCATCTCTTCAACTTTCTGAATGGCCGCTATGGAGGCCCTTAATTCGACCAACGGCTTGGCCATCGTTCGCACCAACTGCGATATATTTTCATCGCTCTTAGGCGTGCTCTCTGTTCCTCCTTCCAACGTTACTTGCTCTTGTATAGTCGCCAAACTTTTGTCCATTTCTTCGAGTATCGGTGAAAGGGACAATATTTCCGCTCTTTCCTCGCTTTCCGGGAGATCGACAGTTTCCTCTGTGATAGCTCGTTCTCTCTGCGTAGCAACAACGAATATCTTTTCCAATCGTTGCAACGGATCGACGAGTGTACTCAACAGACTTACGGGCTTCGTCTCTTCCGCGCCTTTTAATTCTTCGGCTTCGTAAATTTTACCTTGTTCGATCGTTGCTATAGATTCTTGCAAAAGGCGAACCGGTGTTATAACATCCTCGAGCATCGCTACGTTTTCCATTAACGGCGTCGTTTTACCGGATACTGCATCAAGCGCTGCTAAGACTTTCGGTTCGAGAAATATAACGGTACAGTCTCTCTTAACTTCCTCTACGGCCTTTGCCAAATTTTGCAAAACCGAGATCGGAACGTTTTCGATGTACGAAAGCCGTTCGTTGGCATCTTTTACGTCAATCGACGAACGACGAACTATCTCTATGGACGTTTCGAGATCTTCCAGAGATTCGACAGCCTTTCGCATTAACGCGAGACTTTTGGTATCCTCGATCGAAGACAATTTCTTTTGACCGATCGCAAGGCATTCTTGGGTACAATGTACGAACGTTTTCAAGTCTTCTAATGTCGTCGTTACGGACGATGATTCTTTAAACGGAACGTCTAATCGTTCGTCAAGAATGGAGAAAAATGTATTTTCCAATTGTTCCAACGGTTCGATCCATTTGGTTAATGCGAATGCAATTCCAGTCTCCTCCAAAGTACCCGTCTCTTCGATCTCTGACTTTGCTAAATCCATGATTGCTTCTCGCAACTCCTGAACGGGTGGCGTCGTCCGCACGTACTTCGCACATTCTACATCCTTATTATCTTTCGACGGAACATGACTTCGATCCTCTTCGATTATTTTTTGCGATTCGACGTTCCTATCGAAGACCTGTCGCAACGTCGCAGTTGAAGTTTGTAATTTTTTCAGAGATAACTCCACCGTCGCAATCTCCAAAGGAATCGAGGCGCACTTTATCCCTAGTTCGATCGTGGCTATTGATTTTTCCAATTCCTCGAAAAGCGATGTGACGTTTGCTCGTTGCGACGACCCTTCTCCTGCCCTTTCATGCCCTGTCTTCAACTGTCGCAGCGATTCTTCCAACTCTTCCAAAGGATGATGGACCAACGCGACTTGTCCTTCCTTCATTTGAGAAAGAGATCCTCGTAATTCCTGAATCGGTTCGATAACATTCTCGATGTATTTAACGTACATACTTTGGATCGAGATCGAGAGAGGTTCTTTTTGCTCGATGGTAACGGCTGCGCGTTGTTCCTGAAAATCTTGTTTAGCTTCTAGAAACATTGTTCTTTCGTTGCCTACGTCTTCGGCTTCACCGAGGATCACCGATCGTTGCACGTCCGTCGTAGCAAGCGTCGACGATTTTTCTACCTCGTCGATTGGCGTACAAGCATCTTCGTCTTCTCTGACTTTCTCCAGAGTTTCTACAGTTTCGCGTATTATCTCTTCCTTCGTTGGGGCATCATTCCGTTGAGCCTCCTCCTTCGGACTACTCGCTTGTATATTGCCAAAGAGCATTTCCGCTCTGGATGGTTCCGTTCCGTTAGCTCCTTCGATTTCGGCCGGTTTCGCGATCGTTACCGATTTCGCATCGTTATCGATAGAGCAAACGGTTTCTTTAAGAATGGAAATGATCCCGACGAGATCCCCCATTGCCATTGATAATACCTTCCTTTCCTCCGTCGTTAATCTCGATATTCCTTCGACTTGCAGTACTGCCGAAAATGATTTCTCTATCGACTCCAAAGGGTTCGCGAGATTTCTCAGGGCTAGGAGCGATTTTTCTTTGAGTTCGGGTACAAGATGTTCCTGCGTCAAAATAAGAATACTAGCCGTAGCTCGTTCCATAGTATCCACGGAATTGATTATATTTGAAAATAGATCTTCGGAGTTGGAGTATGCGGAAAATGCGGGCGAGCAACGTATGGAAACGCTCGTCGCTCGTAAATCATTCAGTATCTGTATCAAAGCCGTTAATTCTCGTATTTTTCTATTTTCTTCCTCGGACTTAACGGTCAGCGGTTCCTTCTTCGCCGAATTTATAAATTTGGTTAACTCTTTCATAGGCGTTTCTAGCGTTCTCATGGTCGTGACTATTCGTTTGATTATTTCCGCATTTCTATCGACTTGTACGCTCTCAGGCGTTTCTGCGAATTCCTTTTCTATACTTTCAATAGCTTTCACCGTTTCGGCGTCAGCGTTTATCACGTTACTCGTTTGTTCGTCCGGTTTAACGTCCTTTCGGGTTAACGCATTTTCCCCTAAAGATCGTGATTCGCTCGAATTTCGAGAAATCGATTCCTTCGTCGGCATTTCTCCGTTCGACGTATCTCGTCGGGGCGTATCCAAGCCGGCCGGTAAAGTTTCTTCAACGACCTTCATTACACTCTCTACTTCCTCTTTAGTTATTTCAACGATCTCGTCGACAACGACAGTTTCTACGACGTTTACGACAGTTTTCGGTTTCGGACTCTTCGATTTGGACTCTTCTTCGTCCTTCGACGGATGTTCGGCCGATTTCTCGGATATTTCCGAAGAAATTTCTTTGATCTCTTCGCTCGGGATTTTCTCAATCGTCCGAATTTCACCGGAATCATTTGCTTCGACTATCTCCTTAGTTTTCCCTTCCAATTTCATTTCATGACTTTCTTCTTCCCTCGGTCCTGCCGCCAATCGATTTTCATCCTTTACTTCTACCCTAATCGCTCCGTCGCGTTCTTTTTCAAACGTTTCATCGATCCGCTCTTCGAGCGTCAACTTTACCCCCGATTCATCGTTCTCTTTAATAACGCTTTTGTCGACATTAATCCCACTTGTCTCTTCTTCTTTCTCCGGTTGAACTAATTGCTGAGATTTTGCTTCTAGCTCGATTCCTTCGTCAGGCAAACTCATACGAGATATCGTTCCCGACTGCGATTCGTTTCTCTTTTTCTCTTCGTCTTTCTCAGGCCGATCTTCCGTCTTCGCTGGAATTCTTTCCCCCTCTGGCACACTCTCGTCCGCCAGTTTAAGTTCAATCGTCGTTCCGACAATTTTTTCCTCGTATTCCTTGTCCATCGTCGATTCTATTATCGGGTCCGTCTCTTTTCTATCAACCGTCATATCGCGAATGCCCTTTATGGAAGTTTTAACGTTCTCTAAAACCTCCAAGGCAGCGGAAAAAGTCTCTACGATGGAGGAACCTTCAGACGCGCCCTCGCCAATTAAGCCCGCTCGATGAGAGGACAATGAATGTGCCAGATCGGCGATCGAATCGGCCAAATTTTCAAGCAATCCTAAGGAGGCGCTTGTAAATGGCGGCATTACGCCATTCTCTATGCTCTCCTTCAGAGCACCGAGCGCCGATCGGAGCTGATTCGTCGGATATAAAAATCCTTCGACGATGACTTCTTCGTCGACGAATTGATCGGAAGTTTGAGAAAATTGAGATCGGGACAAAGATATTTGTTTCTTAAGAGGCTCCAATGATTTCGCGATAATCCCCTCAGGCAACTTTTCCGTTCCTTCCGTTTCCAGAGCATCGATCGTATCTCCCAATCGATTCAACGATCCGATGAAACAATTTTGAAAATGTATGCTCGTGCTGCTCGGTCTTGGCGTATAGTCTGCCCTTTCCACCTGATTTCGAACGGACATAATGGCATCGTTCAACGATATCAACGATACCTCGAAAAAGGCATCGTCCTCGATGGTTTTTATTTTTTCAAGAATATCGCATATCTCGAGCCGAAGTTCCTCGACGGCTTTCAAAATGACGTTTTTCCTTTCATCGAGCAACGCTGCCACCGGAACTAAACTTTTTCGGCTACTTTTGACTACCGAGAGACAACTGAGAAACTCTACCAACGGGCCGGTCATCTTCCTCATCTCCTTTATTACCTCCTTACGTTGATCGGGGATTCGAGTTTGGTGGGAGCTCGTATTAACGGCTCGTAGTAACGAATCTATCGGTTCTACGAGAATTTTCGCAACGTCTTTTTCCAATGTCTCCTCGGGTATCGCTTCGAGGCCTCTCATTTGTTCCTGAATACTTTCCAAAGGTTTCGATATGTCCCGGAGATATCCCAAAATCTCTTTCCTCGAGCTTACTTCTTTCATAGCAATGGGTATCCTAGCTTTCGTTTCTTCCAATACACGAATAAGTTGCTCGAACTTTTCCCTCGAACGATCGTTACCGCTTATTTCCATACTTGGTTGCAGAATATATAACTCCGTGTCTTCTAACGGCCGTTTAAGACGATTCAAAATCGAAAGCTCCGCGACGTCTAATTCCTCAGACGTATTAAGAGCTTCCTCGATCATAATCAAAGGTTTTAATAAATGATTGATCATCGAAAGTGGTTCACCTGTAACAATCTCGTCGCAACTGGGAAGAACTTGTTCATCGTAATTGGACAAGGCCATTCGTACCGTCGAGATCATTTTGCAAAATTCTTCAAGGGCAGTGCTCAATTTTGTTTGCGGAATCGTCATTATTCCTGTCGTAGGTTCCTCCAAATCCTCGATAATACCGGTAACTTCCAATTGAACGTTTTCAAGCATTTTAGATAGCGAAGATATAAAGTTCTTCGTAATTATGTCGTCCTTCGGTCGTACTTCCCAGGTCGCACTTCGATCACTTTTTTCTTCATCGAGCTCGGTCCTAGTCTTAACCGTCTCTTCCGTCTCGACGATACCATCGGCGGTTTCTCGAGTCACGTTCAACGTTTCCTCCTCGTTATTATCTTCCAACGTCTGGACAACCTGCCGTAGTTCCCTTTTATAAAGGGCTTCCTTGATAGAAATAGGTATCTGATTCTCTATCTCTTCGACGATATCCAAAATCAAACGAAGCGATTCCTCAGCCGCGTGATCCTCCAAAACGCGCGTTACGGTCTTCAAAAGGTATCTCATTGGTCGGCTCAACGTTTCCAGAGCTGAAAGATCTTCAGGTTCGTGGTATATTGCGATCGCATTTTTCAATCGCATCAAAGGTTCCCGAAGTTCGGCCAGCGCCTCGATCAGGCTACGATCGTTCGGTGGCTCCGAGTAAGACGTTTCTATGGCGATTCTCGTAACGTCTCGTTTAAGTTCGTCGACCGATGAGCTTAGACCGGACGCTTCTGTACTGTCCTGCTCGTAGGACGTAGACGACAGCCAACCTCTTATGGGATCTAACGAACGACCTATGGTATCGGCCAGTAACCTCGACGATGCCTTTTCCTCGCGGCTTATCGTCGATTTACCCTTTCTCTTTGAAGTTTCTTTGGCAATTAAGATTACGTCTTTTTCTATTTCCTCCAACAGCTCTAACAAGGGAATAATTTCTATCGACGACTTGGCAGCCTTTGCAATATCCTCCATCAGTTTTTTTAATCTACCGATGGGATTTATCAAATCGTTCAATATCACTTCTTCCTCGGCCTTGTGATCTTCGGTCAACAATGCCCGTTGCAAAATCAACAAAGGCTTTCCCAATCTCGTCACCTCCTTCGCTATCTTCTCGTTGTCCTTTGGTGTTTTCATGGTAGCGATTGCTACGGCAGAACTCGCAACATTCTCCTGCAATGCTTCGATGGAGTCGGCCAATAACGACGAAACCGTGATTTTCCTTTGGTTCTCCAGAACCGACGTCAGAGAATAATTAATGCTACCTAATTTTTCGTCAACTTTGAGATCTTCCAATTGGCGATCGTAAATAGTACCCATTGCGATTTCCTCGGGCACCTTCGGTATTACCACTTGAATTCCCTTCAATATCTCCAAGATATTTTTCGCTTTCGTTTTTATCGATTTAACGGTGACGTTCGATGACGAAGGATCAATTAAAATCATCGTAATAGCGTCTTGCAATCTAACAATCGACGTCGATAATCTTTCCTTCAGCATGCCCATTCCCGCGAAAGCGCTTTCGTCCTTCGACGCTAGCATAACTCGAAGATCCAACAGTGGCTCCTTGACGTCCGCCAGACAATGAAACATTTCGCTTTCGTTCGAGGACATGGCCGCGTGTGCCGCATCGGATATACATTGTCTTAGATCTGTCAAGATCGACGAAAAATCATGCGTCATGAGTATGCGTTCTTGAACGGTGCCACCGTTTACGGCCGATCTAATATCCTCCAAGTCCTGAATGGCTGCGCTCAGAGTCGTCTGTATCTCTATCAACGGATCAAGAAGTTTTTCCGACAACGTTGTCGCCCCTCGAGCCGACGACGATCGCGTCTTTTCGCTTTCTCGACTTACGTCGTGTCCTTGAACAATATCGTCGATATTCGAGCATATCGATAGGATCGGTTGCACGACGGACGAGAGACTTAATAGCGATCTCGCGGCGACGGTCAATCGACTTACGGACGGAGCTAAAAGTTTCAAGACGTTGACCGAATCTTTGATGGTCGACGCGTCCGTTAAGGCATCTCGTAGAACATTCAATTGTTCTTCCATACCGAGCAGCGTTTCGACGGCATTTACTTCCTTTCCCTTTAGACATAACTTTTCATACGTCCCCTTAATTTCATCGAAAACGGCCGCGAATCGAGGATCCAACGAGCCAGATATCGTCTCGTAAATTTCAAGAGCTTCCCGAAGAGCCAATCGCGTATCCCCAAATACGTACGCGCTTTCTTCGAGATAGCTATTGTCCGATCTTAACGCATCGTATTCCTCTGTTTTCTCTTCTATCCTTATTTTTTCTTGAAGATCGAGAATTTCCGCGAGTGCATCGTTCACGGACTCTCTTAAAGAGATTATTAATTCGGCACGATGTTCCATAATAACGTCACCCTTACTTTCATAACTTTCTAACGCGACAGTCAACGTATCCAGCTTGGCCTTTAATTCCTGAGTAGGCTGCAATAGCCGTTTGGTTAGCCGAGAAACTCCTCCGTCGTTTGGACGTCGTTCGATGCTCGATTCCGTCCGATTAATCGCTCCGACAGTCTCCTCGATGGATCTCGACAGAGACTCTACGAGGACCGTATCCACCGTCTCTATCGTACCCGTCATTGGATTTATCGAAACATCCTGCAAGAATAAGTTCAATGTGTTTACGAGCTTATCTAAAAACGATAGCAATTTAACCGGTTCTCTTTCCTCCTTGGAAAGGCTCTTCAAACTTTCGTCTAGTCGTGAAACGGCACGGGACATTCGAAGAAAAGACACCGGTTTTTCGCCTTTCGCTTTGCCAGTCAATTCGTACTCGATTTTGGTGAGACCCATTAGAATCTCGTCGACCGGATCGGTCAAGGACTCTAGAATCGCTATTACGTCCTGTCTTTGGCCTTTGAAGCTTCGCTGACGATCTATCAATTCGATTCCACGAAGAAGTTCTTCGGTTGGTCCACCGATACCTTCCAACAGAGATATCCTTATCGTTTGATCCAACGACCTGTCCTCCGTATTTTTCAAAGCTTTAGCTTCTATCGAAGATACTTCCTCGCAAAGGGTCTGAATTGGCTTTACGATTCCCTCCGAAACGATGTCTCTCGATCGTTCCTCGCTTTCGACCTCTAAAAATTTATCATAACGATCTATGTCGACTAAAGAATCGCGAATCGCGAGGACGGGTTCTGTCAATCTTTTAATTTTATTTAAAATACGTTCTTTATTGTTCTTCGACGGCAACTTGTCGGATTCTATCGTTGAGACTTTTTCGGTGTCGTTTATCTTGCCAAACGAATCCTCGACGTCGACTCGTCGTGTATCGATCGATTCGATACGCCGACTAACTTCATCCTTTTTATCCAATACCTTCTCCTCCTCCTCCTCCTCCTCCTCCTTCCTCTTCTTCTTCTTCCTCTTCTTCTTCTGCTCCCCCTCCCCCTCCTTGCCACCGTCGAGATCGGCCATGATCGATGACGCGGACTCTTCCGACGTACTTTTTTCTTTCTTTACTTTTCTCTTTAGCGAGTGCCTCCTCTCCTTTGCCTCGAGATCGTCACTGCTAAAAGGCGTTTTATCGCCGCCAATGATCTCCTCCTTTTCTCGAATCGCTGATTTATTTTGTTTATTTTGTTCGGAGATAGAAAGTCGCGCGGACGACAGGGCGTCGGCGAAGGTGGTACTGTGATCGCTGTCGTCCAATCTTTCCGAGGAGAGCGGTGATATCGGTCGATCGTCGTCTTTTCGTGCGCTGTGAAAACTCTCCGATTCGTATCTCTGACTTCTCTCCTCGCTCTTCTCTTCGCTTTTAGACGAGGACCGGCTCGTAGATTTCTTTCTTGGCGGTCTCATTGGCGGCTTCTCTTCGCCTTCCCAGGTATATCTGGCCGATCTCTTCAACGACAAAGATTCCTCGTCCGGAGAAGAGAAGACCCGAGTCTGATCGTCCATGATCGAGACATCCTCGAAATCCGCTTCCGTCCTTAGATCGTCGCCATCCTCGGCGCTGACGAAATAATCCGGTGAAACGTCGATCACTACGGCCTCCATTAAAAGATTACCGGAGGTCGAGCTCTCCTTAACGAATCTCATTGGTGGCAATTCGATAACGTTGTGCTCTAAAAATTATTCCAATCTTATCTTTTACTTTCCAACGGTTTACCGTTTGGCTTCTTATTGTCATTCATTCTTTCTTTAGGTATACATAGCGCTAAAAAATGTGAGATAACCATTGTTATGACATTATGATAAAAATTGCTTACCCGTGACGTGCTCGGACAATTGATCGGCATACATCTCGACGATCTGCAGGGCTTCTTCCTCCGTAAGATCGGGAGTTTCGTAAAGGCTCACCGAGACCTCTTTACCGTCGAAACTGAAAGAAACTTCGCCTCTGTCGTCGAAAGTGACGGAACGATCGGTTTGCGGGGTATCGTACAATTGAGACGTCCTCTCTTCGTGAATCGTCGAGAGTGACAAATTTCTTGCCAGTTCGTGACCGTTCGCCGACAATTGCACGTCTTCCTTCGTATCCTTCCGAGCACTGATCTTGTCTGAAAAAGTTACAAGCATGGCGATACTACTAGCTACTGTAATAAACCAGCTATTACTGCGATAACGTATTAATTAATAGTGTAATACGAACATGAGAAGATTTTAGGATTACCTTCGAAACCTAAAAGGGAGGCAGAACTGCTGACTTTACCCATGCAATTGATAGCTTCGCACGTGTAAGTTCCCAGACAGCAGGTCCCATCCTGGCCCGTAATTATTCTATGTATATCGCCTGGCTTCAATTCCATCCCATCTTTGTACCACTTTAGAATCGGTTGGGGCACGCCGATTACTTTGCACTCCAAATTAACGGCGCCCTCTTCGGACAGTATTGCCCGCAAACTTTCCAAGAATTTTGGCTTTTTGTAATGCTTAGGAATGATTAATTTCAGATAACAGGAAGTAACGCTGTGCCCATAATCGTTGGCAGCCACGCATTTCCATTCGGCCTAAAGAGATTACGGCGATTGATCAAAGGGTATCGTATAAATCATCGATCATCGTAAAAGTAATGAGATCGATTAAAAATTACTTGATCGGAAATTTCAAGTTGGCGAACTTCGAGATGACACGTGCCAAGATTCTCCTTAATAGTACGGAATTTGTCACCTTCGATCACCTCCACGTCGTCTCTGTACCACGATAGAGTTGGTTCCGGCGAAATGCTCACTGAAATATTACAAGTAATTGGCCACAGAGAAATTAGACGTTCGATCGTTTAATCGTACGATCGACCGTACGAGTAACACGTTAATAAAATGAAAAATTTTCCAACCCTGCACCGTAAATCGAAATAATTCTTCGTTGATCTTTGCCTCGCAACTCCTTAAACCTCTGACGAACTTTGGTGGCTTATCGGAAGTCAAAAGTTGAAGACGTTCTTCCTCATTCAGCTGATTTTGAATGTCTTCGATCGTCAACTCCGCGGTACTCTTTGCCTCGCCCATGCAATTCCTTGCGATGCAGCAATAAGAACCTGTCGCGAACATCATATACATCATATTTCCGCTTATCGTCTACGTTCGATAATCTTTGTAAGTACGTAGTACGAAATATGTAATATCAATCGAAACCTAAAGAGTTGGTCCCTGTTAATTGGTAAACGTCTCCTGGTTTTAATTCCTGTCCGTCCTTGAACCACCTCAACAAGGGAGTTGGAAAACCCACGACCTTGCATTCGAAGGACACCAATCCTTCCTCCGTAAGAACCGCCTTCAAGCTTTCCATGAAACGCGGTTTCCTGTAGTTCTTTGGAACTTTATCGCGGGGAAAAGTAAGAAAAGAAAAGTAATTTAAACGATAGAAATCGTTCTGGCCTTCGACAGATACATCATTCCAACTATATATCATTTCGATCATATACTCACTGATCACAGCGACATGACACGTCGTAAATTGTTTAACATTTTCTACGCTCGTTGCGACGCACTTCCATTCGCCCTCGTCCATGGCTTCGATCAATTTCACTTCTATCGAATAACCACCCAGACCGTCCTCCATCACGTGATACTTTTCGTTTGGTTCTATGCGACCTTCTTGATTGTACCACGTTATCGATTTTGGCCATGGCGGTACGTGAACTACGTATTCGTTGAGAAACGCATACGTAATCGTCAAGTCGCACAACTTGCACGCAAGTTAAGATATCTAAAGTAAGTGGTTTAATCTTACCTTGACACGAGAGTGTTACGGAATCGCCGATTCTACAACATTCGTCCCGGAGTATTCGTTTGAATACCGGCGGAGGACCTGTACTCGTTAACGTGTCCGCTGGCTTTAACGAACCCTCTCGGCTACCTTTACCAACGACGTGTACCTGGACCGAAAAATACCATACGTTTTATCGTACATTTATATTAGAAATATATTTCACCTTTGAAGAGGAATATGCCGTCCCCATGCAATTGTCAGCCTCGCAGGTATAAATTCCCAAAGAAGTAGGATCGTCAGGGTTTGCCGTTAAAGCGAAAACATCGCCGGCCTTGATCTCCTTGTTGTCTTTGAACCATCTCAATACCGGGGTTGGTACGCCAACGACTTTGCATTCGAGCGATACAGTTCCCGTTTCCGTTAACAGAGCTCGAAGTTCTTCCACGAATTCTGGCCTCTTGTAGGCTTTCGGCACTGCACGACAATACATGAACGAACGGTAACAAATTGCTTTGCGAATTTTATAAAAGCTTATCGTTGACGCTAATTACCAATGACGCTGAGATGCGACGTGCACGATGATCTGCCACTTTGATTTTCCGCCATGCAAGTCCAATTACCTTGATCTTCGACTTTTACCGGTGCAACATCGACGCAGTAAAAGTTACCCTCGTGTACAAAGGAAAATCTCGATCCAGCTTGAATAGGTAGATCGTTTCTGTGCCAAGTTACCTAAAGTTATCGCGTTAAACGCTATCAAACATATCTTTTCTTTCGTTCTGTTTTGTTTTTAATACAAAAAGAAAAAGAAAAAAAGAGAGAAAAAAAGAAAAAAAAGAAAAAAAGAGAAAAAGAAATCTTTATAGTATAAAAAAGTAGAAAAGTAAGTTATAAAATAGAGAGGCAGGAAGGAATGCGCGTCGGTCTTTGGCGTGGTGCAAGTACATGCGCGTAATAATATACGGTAGCGGCCGAGTAGTAGTAATACGAGGCGCGCAAGAATACGTAACAATTTTCGTCCCCTCGTCTTCTGTCGTCACTAGCTCGGGTCATGGACCTCTGCTATCCCATTCGATTCGTGTTTCCCGTTTCGTCTGCTAGTAAAAGACTAAGAAGTACGAGCCGAAATCTCGGAAACCGATGATAATTCGGTCACGTGTCAATTGCTTTACTCCTCCTTCCGGGTTGAATGTCCGGTTTTTTAAAACAATTGCGGATTTGAAATGATGACACGAAAAAAATCATCTTTGTCCGATAAGGTAAGTCGTAGTCAATTTACCTTCGGAATCGTCGAGCTTCGAATTTCTACGAGGAATCTCGTTCTGGTGCCAACTTTGACCGCGAGGTCCGTCAATCTTCGAAGAAAAATCGGTGGTTCGCCTTCCTCGTAACTGGGCTCGTCAACGCGCAGATGAATTCTCCGCGTTGATCCTTTCTCAAAGGGTTGTCCGATTCTCGTCGCTACCAAAGCATATTGGCCAGTGTCGTCCTTTTGCGACTGTTTCAACGTTAATTGCACGATATTGCCTCTCATTTGCAGTCTATACCGATTCGGTGGCATCGGTCGATCGCCGCGAATGCTACGAAATAGAGAAGAAAAAAAGTAGCGTAAATAAATAAAAACAGGTCTCACGAAGATGATTATATATATATATATATATATATATATATATATATATATATATATATTAAAAGCAATCGTTAAGAATTCCTTGAGAGTTCATTCATCGGGCCATCAGAAGAACTTTGCGCAAGATACGCGTGTAGATAGATGCATCGAACATCCCTGCCTTAGTCGTCGCGTAAGCTCGCAAACTCGTCTCTTTTCGTTTTATTGAAAATTTTTTACCGTTGCAATGATAAATCGGTCGTTAGCGAGTCGCGTCATTAGCGGATATTTAAAAATCATGAAAATCCGCCTTCCCTGCTTCCCTAACGAAGAGAAAAAGAAGAAAAAAAAGAGGAGATAGATTGGCATAGCATAGGTAAGATACGTGGTTTCTTATATCAGCGATGAAAATACTGCGGCACACTAACGTAATATTGTATCTGGTATTTAAACTTCCGCTCTGGTGCAAATGAATAAACAGTTTGGAAATGTTATGGTTCGGCTCATTCCACTGGCAATGGTTCTAATTCGAAAGCATCTCAATGCTCATACCTCAAATTCAGGCGAAAGAAAGAGATCGATTAAAAATACTCACGAGATAAATTTAAATTCGTCAATTACGTTCGAGAGGAAATATTTTTTAATTAGTCAACCGACTAAAGTTTTTCGACGGAGAGTTCGATGATCTCTGAATCGATGAAGGGTAGTAACACATACGACCTTGACATTGCAAATGGAAGCAATGGAATTTTGACGTCTTGTCAGGAAGAAAGAAAGAAAGAAAGAAAAAGAACAGTCCTGAAATTATGATCCTTTACGAATAAATAACTCGTTCGATGCGTTACTCGGCGATAATCCTTGAACGGCCCTTGTTATTGAAATCTTATAATTAGCAGCTGTCTAAAGGAGAACGGTAAATAAAGTGCATCGGTATTCGATCGAAGCAAAGCGTGCCTTTGACACGTTTCAAACGACGCCGGCCTCGAAACCGGTCGTTATTTTAAGATTAACGAATCAGTCTTGTCATCGAGCTCTTCGAAAGGAAGGATTGACGAAAGCTAGAAGAGATGAAAAACGAAAGAAAAGAAAATCGTTTATCGCTCGAAGAATCGTATATCTGTGTGCGATAAATGCTCAATAGTCTTTTGCGTCAGGGTTGCGAACTATTGCACCACATATTTTCAACGATGGTATTTCTATAATCACCGATGGATTTCACTCGGACAAAATTATCTCGCCTCGATAAATTTGAGAAAATCGATCGATACGAGTCATCGGCGATAGGTAGCAATAATCGACGATAATAATGATCGAGTTGAAGTGTTTTAAATGTACGCGTGGTTCGTTCATTTTCCGTTGTTGCTCGCTTAAAGAGATGACAAAAATAGGGCAGTAGAGCAATGCCAAGACGAGGTGCGTTGGACCGTTTATACGTTTGTAATACGTTACTCTGATGTAGACCGCTAAGAATTTTTATTTAAAAACGAATAGAATAGCGTTTTAACGATTTTATTCGATGAAAATGAACGATCAGTTCGTTATCGTGTCATATGCGCGATCGTTTAAGAATCATTACGAGACAATGTGACGAGATCTAGTGACCAAACTCTAGACGTCTAACCGACGTCATAGTCATATCATATAGTTCTCTAGAGCGAAGGAATTCCGATATTCGATCGTATAATACTTAATAGGTAGGAAGAAATACATTCCCCGTGCCGTTTGACATTTTGCGCGGGCGCATATTTATGTAAGTACTTGGCAGAACGCAAACTCAGAACGCAAAAACGATTTTACACTCGTGATCGCGTTTCGATCGTAGCCGTAATCTTTGCGTGGTAAACAACGACATAATTAAATATTTAATCTCGTGTGATTTATTAGGTGTTTATTTTGTGTCTCGTTCATGCAATAAATCATGCTATTATCATACCGGTATCCCGAGCCATCGGAGGAAGTTCCTCTGACAGGTTTGCCATTACCATCGGCGCACTTACAACAATCGCTTCCCATTATCGAACATAGATTCGATCAGTTTTTAACTGAAAGTGCACCAGATTCATCCATCGAATTTAATATATTCACGGTTTCAACTCGTAAGACGCGCAAGAAACACTAATTGACAATATAACATCGTCGATAGGATAGCTCTTCCTCGAGGCATCTCTATAGACATCCTTTTCTATTTAAAATGCGATTTCGATGATAGTCTCTAGAAAGCCTACGGGTATTCATCGATATTTCGATCGACACGACTACACTCTGCTTCGCGAGTGTCATCGACATTTATATGGAGATCGTATGTTTTCGAAAAATTTCAGATCGAACGCGTCGAAATTTACAAATTCACAAATTTATGAGCGTAATGTTACGCGTAGATCGAATAAAGAGGGAAAAAGGAGGATAATCGAAGTAAAATTGGGAGAAGGGTGAAATCGAACGGAGGAGGGAGGCGCCGATCGCCGAGCGATCGAGCTATCGAGATATTTGTCGACGTAAGTCGTTAAATATCAACGACAACGTTAATTTAGATTATCGAAGGGTGTATTAACGATTCTCCTTTTTCCGCTCGACGCTCGTCGATCGTCGCGACGCTCCCTCGAAAGACTGATAGCGAGTTGGCAGCCGCGGATAGTCTCTACCCGATTTTCCACCTCCACGATTGCTTCCTTTTTGACTATATAGACTAGGAGTAGGAGACTAGACGAATAGGTTTAGAGCGCCTCTTCCGTCATTTCGCGAAAATCTCGAGCTCGGTCGAATTTAGCTCGTGCCAAGTCGAAAGCGACATAATGGTCGGACGGTTACAATTAGAAAGGAAGAAAGAAATACAGACAAACGGATAGAAAGGGAAAAGCGAACGAATGAAGTAACAAAAATAGACGGTCACAATGAATAATAGACGGACAGAGGGGGAGACTAAATAAAAAAAAAAAAAAAAAAAAAAAAAAAGAAAAGCAAAACAAAGAAAAAAATTCGGAAAAAAAACATAAAATGACATCATCGAATCACCATTAAATTTTCCCTCCACGGAGACGCGATGCTCCGATCACGATGAGAAAGAGAGAGAGAGAGAGAGAGAGAGACGCACAGCGAGATCGCGTGCGAATGGTCAGGGATCAAGATTCTTTCCATTCAACTTTTCCGATCGTCGCCACCTAATCTTCGATGCCTAAATCGAAGGCACGCGATGCGGCGATCGTTCATCCGGTCACCCTTCTCGTCTTATTTAAGCTACGAGGCTGGATGAGATCATAACTCTGTGTTCTAGAAATAGGCGAAACGAAAAGTGAATACCGGAGTGAAATTCTTTGCCGTCTCGCAATTAGATAAAACTAGGATTTAGCGCAATTAAAGGAAAACTCGATAGCCCCGGTGTCGGAGCAAGGAGATACCGCCGAGATCTACGACCCTGGCATTGGAACGCTACCGCGAATATACGAGTATGTATAGTACCGAGATATATGTAAAAGTGTCGTTTCTAGGATCGTACGACGAATATAATTCCGTTCTTCGCGAAAATTAAACACGAGATGGACAAAAATAAACCGCGTTTGATCCTTGGCACGTTTCAAGGTTTTACATTAGAAATTAGGGCCAATAGTCCAGAATGAACGATAACGCGTAATCGCAGGCGATACCATTGGAATATAATAGACATTGGGTCTTACAATTCCAGTTGCAAATCGTCCGTATCGTCCGTAGATTTCAGTTTCATTTGAACGACGATATCCTCGCCGGCGCGACCTTGCACCGCCAGGATTCGATCTTCCTCCTCCCATCGTGGTGCTATTTGGATTCTAGATGTACCATCTGCAAAAGAAAAGAAAAAAAAAGAATGCAAATTATTGAAAAACATTTTACGCAAGAATCTTCTTGATATTTCTTGCGTTTGTCGTACGATCGGATGAATCGACCAAAGATAATGCGCTCTCGGTGTTGCTTTGAGGAAATTCATTATTCGAGAACTACCTGATATTTTAAGACTCACGTGGTCCGCAAAATAGTCTACGTGTGGCAGTATCTACGTGCAAAACTGTAGCATAAATATAGATACGTAGAGAGAAAGCACGATAAAAAGAGGAAGAGGGGGAGGGAGAGAGAGAGAGAGAGAGAGAGAATAAAGCGAGACGTTCTCCAAATTTTACGGCCGTATCTTTCGCGAGAAGACGATTTTCTTTCCCGAAATTTCACGGCTGCACGATCTTCTGTCGCGGAATTTTAGTCGTGAACACCGACGGCACGCAAACCGAGTCTGTAAATAAATACATCGAACTTTCGATAGCGATCGTCGTTCACGATTATTCGTCTTTCTCGCAAATTTTCATTAGCTACCGGTATACCGCAAGATTTAATGCAAAAAGCAGATCGCTCGCATTTATTTACAATCAGATATTCGCCTATAGATCATTGCCGGGTAAAATTAGATGCTTGAAGTGTTTTGTAAATTATTCCAAGCATTCCGGCGAAGCGTGACATCCAAGTGAATTTTTCCGACTATCTTGGCGCAAGAAGCGTCAATATTCTTGTCGCGCAATGTCAATCGACCAGAAAGAAATTTTACAGATCTTACCTGTTAGAGTCATTACGTTGAGCGTTACGAGGACCGGCTCGTCCTCGCATTGACATCACTCGTTTATCGCGGAGGAACTACCTGTCCTCGGTCTCTCGGTCGAGTCGAACCACCGGCGCACCACCACCGCCACTAGCAGCATCGGCAACGGCAGAGCAACAGCAACAGCAGTAGTCTCTCTTCTTCTCCTCTCGCACCGAACGTCTGCTGACCCGAGACACGCAGCACACCCTATGCCACGAAATTCAACGGCAGGAGACCCTGCTCCGATCTAAAATCGGAGACAGTACTCTCGGCTTCGTCGTTTTAACGAAACGCGCACATGCGCCGTACGTGGATCCCGCATTTCTCTGATGTAACTTGCCAGTGGCGGCGCGGTCGCGGCCTTTCCTCCTTTCCCTAATATCAACGCAACATTTTCCTTCTTTTTCTCTTTAAACTTTGCCTATATCCGTATCGCTTCGCTCTCCTACTCTCCGAGCTTTAGCACTTTCCCCGTTCGAAAATGCATATCACGGGACGTCCCGTTTACGTAGACGTCCTTTCAAAAATCCTTTCCATCTCGCCCATAGCTGCTATATAATTATTACACGCTAATCGCTTGAAATATTTATTATCCTTTATTTCTAACCAATTATAATATATAAAGTATTCGGTTCCGACCGAGAGATCGTTTCGGCAAAAAAAGAAAAAAAAAAGAAAAAACAACTCTCATCGCGACGAAATCCATTGGCAATCTAGGGGTTTTATTTCGGATCCCCAAATGTCCGTAGCAATTTTAGAATGTTCAGACATGCCGCTATTGGAGTTCGTTCTCAACGCGAATGACCGGCCGAATTATTGGATACCCAAAAGGAAGAAGTTACGAAGACGTGAGATTTTTATAGACTCTTGCTCGGCACAATTTTCTATCTGCTCGGCAGATAGGAAAGAGAAAAGAAAAAGTAATTTTATCGTATCAAAGATTTTCCTTCCAGGAACATACGTTTGATCGAAAAGATTGGCACTGGTTGAAAATAACGAAAGTAACGTACGTACACGTTTATTGAAATTTTAAATAGACAATAAGAATATTAAGAATAAGCAACGATGATCGTGGCATCGGCGAAAGATAAAGATATAATATCGTAATAATAAAACGACTTTTTGTTTGATAAATTACATATATTTTCTTAGGTAGTAATAATTTTTATATACTCTTACCTAGGTATTTCCTCATAAAGCATACAAATAAGATATAATTCCGTGATAAAATGACGCGTTCGTCTCTTCCGTCTGTTCCTTTAAACGAAGTCGTATTGTACGAAAGTTGGACTAGAGAGCGAAATAGGACCGATTAACGCGTATAAAATAGAGACTATCGTTCGCGCGATGTAAACTGAAAGATAATAAAGATTTGTTAGACGGACATATTAGAGAAAGAGAGAAACAATGAGTAATACGAAGGAGCTCTCCATTAGGTACGTAAAAAATACTCTTCTACCGCGCCACCTTTCATTCGATTTATAGGATAAACAATCCATCCCCTACCAAGAAATAAACGAAATGATCCTACGATCCGCGATATCGCGAACATTCTAATTGGTCAGTGCTTGCGTTTGGAGGACCACCAACGTCCCGATATACGCTCGCGAATACCTTCTTGGATACGCCTGTAAAGAAGAAGGGCGATAAAGGGTATCGCCATAGTCTCCTTCTTGAAGAGATAAACGTAAACGGCGGCCATAAGAAGCGTCAGGTCGGTTATATAATTGACCGTCGACTTCACCGTCTTTCGAGCTTGAAGCGCAAGACGTTTGTCATTGGCACGATCGGTCGAAGACGAGTCCGGATAATATTTATCGATATCCGATCGAGTTCTATTCTGAGCTCTGTATTTTTTGCTCTCCAATGCCCTTTGCAAACGTTCGATCTTAAGTTCGGCCGGTGTAGTTGCCCTTTGCCTGTCTCGCGAGCTCGATCTCGAGGTACCTTTTGTATTTCGTGAGCTTCGATCGACGGATCTCTCTTTAGCGAATCCTCGTTCCTCCGACGTTGTCCTCGATCCTGGTCGATCGTTTCTTTCTCGTGACAGATCGCGTACTCGGCTTTTCGAAGACGATCTCGAATTAGTGCCTCTTTCGACGGAAACGTTCCTCGATCTAGAACTTGGCGATCTTGTTCTCGAAGAAGCTCTGCTCTCTCTTCTCTCTTTGACCAGTGACCTCGTGTCTCTGGAAGGGGTCGTGCCACGCGATCCAACGCTATTCTTTCTTCTACCGATCGCTTCGCCACCGGACGATGCTTCTTCGTTCCCTCGAATCTGTTTGCTCGTCATAATATCGGATACTTTGTTCTTACTCGGTCCTTCGTTTCTTCGATACTCCGAGAAGGAGCCCCGTCTCGAGGTACCCTCCTCCTGAATCCTCGTACTATGGCTCGACGAATGTTCACGTACGATCTCGGTGTAATGACTGACGACTGCCATTCTTGCTTCGACGTCGGCTTCGTTCGAAGTCTCCTCTTCGGGCGTTGCCGAACGCATTTTAGCTTGTATTCTGCGATTCTTAGCCGCTTCTCCGGCCGATAAAACGCTATCGGTATCTGATTCCGACATGACGCCGGGTTTCATCGTATCGTAATACTCACTAGTATCAGCCAAATTAAGCTCCCTCGGATTCGACGCTTCCTCTTGTCTAACGGGTGGTACTTTTCTTATCGGTTTGTCAGGTGGTACGGCTTTGCCAAATTCGTTCGTTCTTAAAGTACCATCTTCCTTGGGTTTCTTCAGGATCGACTTCGGTTGAACGTTCGTAGGTGACAAGGGTGGTTGAATCCAAATCGATGGAACCGTCGAATCATTCGCGATCGAAGCCTCAAAGCCGTATTCGGTAAAATGTGGCTTGTCGAAGCTATCGAAGTGCGGGATTGGTCTTCCTCTCGGATGATACGTATCTTCCTCTTCCATAACTTGTCTCGACAAAATTCTTTGCTTCAAATTTTTCAAATCTTCGCTATCGGCGCTGCTCATTTCTTCGGACGATTCTTCCGACGTCTCGACACTTTCCTCCTCCTCCTCCTCCTCCTCCATCCGCTCCTCCTCTTCCTGCACTCGCTCGTCCTCTTGCTTATCCGACGCGACCTATATATATATATATATATATATATACACACACATATATATGTGGACACACACAGATGTTACATTAGGTTAATAAAAATATCTTGTTACTTTTTATACTATGGATGACTCTGAAAAAGCACGACGAACATTGCGAAAAGCATTCGTTCGAAAGTTCGTCGATTCGTTTCAAAGTCACACCGTATTGTTTTATCGACATTAGCGATAAAACAGACTCTGAAATCGACACACCTCTTGAAACGGAGAAATCGTCCGATTGGTGGAATCAACTCCCGAGTCGACTCCCAAGCCTATCGATTTCTCTACCAAAGTTTCCTCGAGCAAAGGCACGTTGGTTTCGTGCCATCTGCGCAGACGTTCAGCTCCCTCCTCGTCGCTGCTCCTCCTCCAAGGTCTTGCAGTTATGGTCTCTTCGACAGTAGGTAGATTAGGATCGGATCTAGCCTCGACGTCCGGTAAGAGCAACGGCGAAAGAAGCTTCATAGGTTTGTAGACCCCCTCGACCTGACCCTCGCTTAATCTTCTGCGAGTTTTCTTAGCTTGCCAAGAGGAGATCAGATTTTGTACTGTTCCATCACCAGAATTGGACAGCTTTCTTCGAAGAGCCGAGGACGTTTTCACGGTTTTCCAAGCTCCTCCCATTTCCAAATCCTGTCTCACGATGGAAGCCAATTCTCCGGTTTTTCTCTCCAATTCTTCCTTTCTCTTCGCGCCTTCCGACTCTTTCTCAGCTTCCATGGCTTTATAAAAACGTTCCATGGCACGTTCGTGTAACATTTCCGTAGAGCTTACCGCCTCGCGCATTATCTCTATCACTTCGTGTTCTCTACTGAACAATTCTGGAAGAGACAGAGACATTGGCGGCGGTACCAAATCCTTTTCGTCTTCTAACACCTCCGTTGTATCTCGTCCTAAAAGAACATGTCAATGTATATCCAATGTATATACGGGGATAAAGGGAAATCAAGTTAAACGGCTCGATAGATTAAGATTTCGATATTATTCGAATTAACAGGTTTATTCCGTTAAATGTTAACCTGTCAAACCCAATCCTTTATTATCCTCCTTATTCTCGGCTTCATCCTTCGGATACAAGACCAACATGAATTCTGAACTATCGTGCAATATGTCGTTGTTCTCTCTAGGCGATGCCGTCAATTGCATCGCATCGGCGTCATCGGTCAAACCATTTTGCTTCTTCAAAATTGATATAGGCCGGAGAAGCGGGGAGCGTGACCCATTACCCTTTTCCTCGAGATTCTCTCGAGTTAGAGACAACGAAAGAGGGGACAAACTTCTTTCTCTCGACAGTGACGAAGGACGACCGATCGAATCGATTCTAGGCGATACTGAGATCGCCGTCTCTATGTTGTCGTAGGACGTCGGTGACGTTGGTCTTTTCTTCGTTTCAACGGTAACTGAAACTGTCGGGGACGTTGCTCTTTTTTTAATCTCCGAGCCTTCCTAAATAATAATCAATAATACGATCAGACTTAGTACGAGTAATGAGACGCGATCAAATATATTTATTTATCTTGATAACAATCGTAATCGACGATACCTGCGATTCGTTGTTAATTTTCCCAGAGGTAATATCCTGTCGTATCGTACGACTCTCCGATCGATTTTCGTATTTGGAATGATCTCTCGACCTAGCCGGTGGTACAGGCGGTACGGTTCTTTCAACGTGTATCGTGGTATCTGGACCGAAGGTGACTCTACTGTCGACTCTCGATGATCTTTCCATCGACAATCTTTGTGCCGACGAGGATCGTCCTCCGAAAGGAGATTGCCCGTTTGTCCCTGCTTCTTCTCTCGTAAGGCTTCTGCTCCTCGGAGCTGGCTCGATGAAACTAACCTCGCGTTTATCGCCACGCGACCGATTGATCTCCCTTTGGCTCTGAGACTTTCCAGTTAATTGCGGCGACGTTGCCCTATTTCGCACCCGACAATTTCGTTATTTCAATTGTTTTCGTTAAACGATCCCGAACGATGATCGATTTAAAGCTGCTCGACCATCCTTTCGGATATTCGATTCGTTCGGTTCCTACCCTTTATTTAAATCTGGAATGAAGATGATGTCGCTTTCTTCGCTCGGATCGCTCACCCCATATGGATTCTCGGCTTTTACCCGAAATCTGTATTCCGAGCCTTCGAGCAATTCGGTCAGCGTTGCTGCGGTCTGACGGCTCGTGGTTGCTTTCAACCATACCTCCCAACCGATCTAAGATTGCGCGTATGTGTGTCATTGTTGAATTATTTCAAAAACGAGGAAAGAGAGAGAGAGAGAGAGAGAGAGAGAGAGAGAGAGAGAGAGAATGAGTAAATATTAAACCGCAGGCCGTTTCCTTACTCTATAATATTCGACGATGTAAGTACCGATCTTACAACCACCATCGTCCTCCGGTTCCTTCCAAGATAGCGTGACGGATCTGCCCAAAGTCATCGTGACGTTTACCTTTCCAGGTGCAGCTGGTCGATCTATGAGGAAAACAATAGGAAAACTTTTTAGAAAAGTCTTGAGAGAAGATCCAGCAACTTTTTTCATAGCGTAAACCAACCTGTGACGGTAACGAGAAAAGAGGATGAATCCTCGCCAAGTTTGTTTCTAGCCTTTACCGTGTACTCTCCTCTGTCGAATCGCTTTGCGTCTGGTATTTTTAAAACCGATTCTCCGTCCATAGTTTCGAACAGATGCCGCGTGTCCTGAGAAAGAGGTTCTCCATCGTGAAACCAAGCGACCGTAGGTGGTGGTCTTCCAGCTAAAGATACCTTCAATCTGATCGTTTCGTCCTGTTCGAAAAGGAGACCGTCCTCGTACTGCCTCGGTAGTCGTATCTTTGGAAACGCTGAGAGCATGCGAGATAAATCACGGTGCGTCCCATTTTTAATCATAAAGCGCGTCTTACACAAGCTTGATTCGTCACCCTCGATAACCCACTAACCTTCGAGAATCAGTCTGGCCTTGGTACTAACGTGACCAGCTCTATTCGTTGCGGTACACTTGATTTCACCCTCGTCGTTAAGAGCTGTCTGATGAATAAGTAATACACTTTTTCCATTTTCCGTTAAGATCCTCGTTCGTCTACTGCTAAAAATTTCAAAGCCGTCCTTGAACCAAGAAATCTTCGGCAAGGGAGTTCCCGTAAATCTCACTACGAATTCCGCCTAAAAATATATTTTACTTTCCATGGGGAGAAGTTCGTGGATATTTGTATGCCTCCAAAGGACGGAGTAACTTTTAACAGAATGCAACACACCTGTTCGTTCTCCAAGGCGATCAAATCGCTGAGTTCGAGGTCGAACAGTGGGGCTGATGCAGCGGCTCGTTGCAACGTTACCGTCAAGGGATCCGACAGTTCGCTAGGAGCCGACAGACCCACCGCGTTCTGTGCTCTGACCCTGAACTGGTAACGCCATCCTGGCTCAAGACCGCTCAACGTTAGTTCCGGAAAAGTGCAGAGCCCGGGCTTACTACGCACCCAATGAGCCGAACCCATTCGCCGATGTTCAACCAAATAACCTACGATGGCCGATCCGCCGTTACTGGGCGATCGTTCCCAACGTATTCCAACGACGTCCGGTTGCGTATCGTCCGTTCCTGGTATAAGAATTGGCTTGCCCGGAGGTGCTGGCAATCCTGACAATAAATCGTACGTGCGTTTATTCTATCATTTTCAACTGACAACTATCAAGGAATAATAAATTAACGATTAACGAACAGAAACTTTTCATGGGATCTAAACGTGCGATCCCTAAACGTGGTCGAACCCAACGCTTCATTAATGATTTATAGGGGGAAAAAAAAAAGTATGAAAATATTAGAAAATTAATGTAAAGTTTCGGAAAGAAAAGGAGGATCGTTCGCGCATGCCAGAACGATGCTTACGTGCTTGTCGCGTAGAATACCCGATCTCTAACACAGGTTTGCACGTGGCGTTCCTAAAATAAAATGTGAAACGTTTGGCAAGCCGAGGGCCGCTAGACCACCGCCTAGCTTATGCGAGAGGAGCTAAACCGATATCGGACACCAACACGTTCTGTCTACGATCGTCTCCTACAACACAGTTTTCGCGTACCGATTTCTATACTGATCTAATACTATTTTCGTTACGATTATCTGACCTCAATCGTTTGCCTCGTTATAGCGACCTTGTGTAAATCGATTCTTTTATTTCCTTCTTATCGTTTCCTGAGAATATTCCAAATTGGCATTAAATCTTGGAATTTCTAGTATGCTTGATGGCTCTTCAGAAGCTACGATTGCACAATAATCGAATACGAAGCGATACGTCAAGTCGACCTTATATTTTCGTACTCGCCCCATGCGTTAGACGGATAGCTACCCATCGTTAAAATAAACATTCTCGAATCACGCTAGTTAATTTTAGATCCTCGAAAGATTTCATGATAAATAAATAGACAATAGCCGATTGAATCTTGAGGCCCCCGAATGGGAAATTTACTTGCACGGGCACAAAAAAAAAAAGAAAAGAAAAAAAGATAAAGAAGAGAAAACAAGTTTCTTTATAACTTTCCACTCTAGTCCTGTTATATCAATTGACACGAGCAATCAGCCAGTTTGAAAAGTTGATGGAACGAACGAGTCCGTTGATCGCTTGTTGAAATGTACGGATCTACCTGGTCCATCCCAACGTGGTCTTTTGGACGAGCTCGCTAGAGAGATGCTCTTGGAATAGTGTCTCTTTGTGGTTGCGTTCCCCATGATCGTACTTCCTCTTCTTTTTCCGCGTCGAGCGTGGCTCGACGAGCGCGCTTTTTCTGGCCAGGGTTTCGAGAGCTTTTCCCGGTGTTATCGGTGCTAAAAGCTCGATGCTCAAAGATCACGATCGGAAGAGACGATAGAATTAACGCTCGCTTCCGCGTTCATCGAACGGCGAAAGAAGGAAGATAAGAGGGCGCCTACCGGAGGATTCGAAAGATGGAAAGAAAAAAAAATAAGGAGCCCGCTCCGTCCTTCGATCTTGACCGAATCGAAGATAGATAGATAGATGGAGAAAGAAAGAAACATGGAGTGAGGGACAAACACAGAGGGAGGGGAGAGAGAGAGAGAGAGAGAGAGAGAGAGAGAATGGGTGAAAGAGACTCGGCTCGATATAGCTTGAGGCTCGGTGCGGCACTGCCGGACCTCCTCGTAATCGACGATCGTGGCGACGCCAGACTCTTTCGACTTCTTCCACGTCTATCTTTATTCCGTTCCTACACCTCCCCTTCTTTTCTCTGTCTCTCTTTTTCTCTCCTTCCCTTTAATTCTTCTTTCTCCCCGATTTTCCCCGATTTTTCTCGCATCTAATACACTCGTTGATATATTTTCATCGATTAAAACTTTCATTCATATATTAAGGCCATTTTTATTTGTTATAATATATGTCTTCTTTTACAATTCATTTACATAATAAACGTACATATTATGTAAATGCTATATGTGTATATATATATATATAAAACAGAGAATATACCTGCACGTATTATGTAAATATAAAATATATGCATACGTATATGTATAAGTATATATAAAATAATAATGTTCGTAGGATATTTCTTTCTTCTTCTTCGCACGAGTAGTTTTATAAAAATAAAATATTAATAATCAATATTACAGATCCAATTCGACAAACAAGCAAGATCTATGTCTTTTTATAAAGATTCATTAGGAAAATTGGCATAGCTTGTAACTTTAACGTATAAGAATATTATCACTTTTCGTATTCTTGTAGAGATTAATGCGCATAGGAACATTAATATGCTTAAAGATACGTTTTCACGTTGATTTCAATTTTGTACAAATATTATAAATATTTGGAGAAAGCCGAAATATACTTGTGAAACTTGGTTAATTGGTAAATACGAAAAGTTTAACTAATCTATTTCCATGGAATTGGAGATTTAGGACACAAGAGCTAAGAGACATTTCTTGTAATGTCCAGAACAATCACCCTGCAACAGTAATAAAAATTAAACATTTTTATGTAAGATTACACAAAAAAAAAAAAAAAAAGATTACTAACGGATATGAAATCCTCTAGTGATTCATTATACTCTTCCTTAAAGGCTTCTTTTATTTCTCCCATGTCAACTTCGGAACGCGTGACGACCAATCTGATGAGACGGGTGTCGTCCGTTCCCAATCCTTTCATACTTTTGTACAGTTGTTCGGCAAAAAAGGCAGCTCTGTTGTTCACACATTTTACTATTTCGAATAATAATAATAATACATACATACGTTGTCATTAAAAATATGAAATATAAAGAAAAAAGAAAAGAATATTTAAGAATGATCAAATAAGTGGTTAAATACGTACCAATAGCAAGGAGACCTTTTTTAATGTCCCCTGAAAATTCATTTTCTATAGCAGTTTCTATAGTATGACCAGTTATACCTTCATACTCTCGGAAAATTTGTTTCAGTTGTGGTACATTTCTCTGAACGAGGATCGCGTTAAACATCGATTCGTCAGTTCCAAATCGGAGTTCGCCTATATGCAACGAAGGCACGTTTAAAATCTACTTTAATCATTTCAAGAACAAAAAACAATGTTTACTCTAATTCATTGATATTGGCAAAAGTTCACATACCAGCTTGTAAAAGAACTTTCGCGTCTTCCATTGCACTAGCTGGGTCTACGTCGAATGATTCATCTCTATTGGCACAGCACAATGAAACCATTAAACGTTTGAAATTTCCAGATGTATCCGATCTTAAATCATCTTCTAAATTTCTACAGTACACTAAAAATTAATATTAATATTCGATGAATACTCAACAATGAATAACAACTGAAGGTATGAAGATGACTATAAGAAATAACTTACTAGCTTCGTAAGCTTCTTTGATAACACGAATTTCATGATTCGACATTGTACATAATATTTCAATAAGCACGCATTCGTCCGTACCGATACCAGACATGGCATCGTGTAGTTCTTTGGCGTAGAATTGCGGTAGTGGCATCATCATAGCAAGAATTAATTTCTCAAAGTTTCCAGACAATTCCGATTTCAAGTCCTTTATCATATCCTAAGAAATAAGGCACGTTAAATCACCATAAACTATATTCCGATTATTTATATATTAACTTACTTTTCCATAAAGCGTTTTAAATTGAGATGCAATTTCTTGTCGCTGCAAGTTACTTCGATTGGCAAGAACATTGATAATGGCCTTTTCATCCGTACCAAATCCTTTCATAGCCTTTCTTATAACTTCCGCGTCAGCTCTGGCGTCAAAGCCGTTATAAGGTACCACCGTGGGTGACAACTGAAATACAAAGATACGCATGGATAAGAGAACTTTGTTCCATGCAACGATAAATGAAATGAGAAAGAAGAAAGAGCAAAAGCCGTTGCATTCAATGTCATTTGATCTATTATACCCTATATTTGTCACGCATATCCTGATAAACAATATCAATCTCACCTTATTCGCATTGCAGCTCCGGGGGGCTGGGGCAACACGACCGGAAGCCAAATGCGAATTAGCGCCATAAGGGGAGTATGAATTTCCTAACCCCTGCCCCCCGTGATAGCTGCCACCGGGGTATGGTGCTGAATTAGATGACAATGACATATTAGGATTCGACAAAGAAGACGAATTTCTATCTCCGAAGCAATGTGCATTTTGTTCACGCGGAAGATTAGGATAAACAGAATTTCGTTGTTGTTGCCGAAAAGAAGAAGATTCGGGCATAGAAGAAGACGGCGGATAAGACGTTGCCTGAGAAGGATATACATTTTGTTGCTGCTGAGGATTATAGGGCATTTGTTGCTGCTGAGGATTATAGGGCATTTGTTGCTGCTGAGGAGGATAGGGCATTTGTTGCTGCTGAGGAGGATAGGGCATTTGTTGCGGGAACTGAGAGGAACTCATAGCGCTTGATACATTAGCCGGACTCGAATGACTTGGTTGCACTGGATAAGGTGAAGAAGCGTATGGAGAATAGGGTTGAGGCATGCCAAATGAAACTGGAGCTGCGTTTGGAAAGCCTATGTTAGTGGTTTGCGAATATGGCGGAGCACCGGGGGCAGAGGGTGTACCAGGTGGAACCCCAAACGACGTCGGCGGTGGTCCACGTCCTGGAAACTGGATCACCGGTGGTGGTCCCTTCGATAACGGTTACAGATATATTTTATAACTGCCAGATATATTTTATAATAATAATGTCATGCATGAAATCAAGAATTATAAAGGCAGAGTGGGATTTTTTATTCTTCATGTATACTGTAAAACTGTATTATATAAATTCTTGCCCGTTGACGGAGCTGATCCGTGTTAATTTCAAAGAAAAAGAAACAAATGATACGTCTGGTGCAAAAACACAAGAGAAAATTAATTGGAAAATTCAACAAATGAATACACTCACTTGATATCCGTAGCTCATCTTATTTTCTTTCTTTTTGTCCAACTTTCCTGGATTCAAGCGGTCCACAGCGGATGATCTGTCGGGTAAAGGACAAAAAAAGATAACGGTAAATGAACGGTTAAACGGATGATCCTGTCGAAATTGATTCGACCTGTCGAAACGAACGGTATTGTACACTTGTAAAAATAATCCTGATAAGAGGCAGAAAGGGAGACGAGTCGGTCTTTCCACTAAAGTCCCCTTCCTTTGGAGAAAAACGCAGCGATGTTTGGTAACGCCCAACGATTAACCGTCACGTTTCTCCCAATGATGTTATTAAACACTCTCTAGCAAAGTAAATTTCTTCAATATACATTTATACTACGCGTAAATCACTTTTGGAAGGTCTACTGCGTTACTTCCATTGAATCGCTTTGGCACGTAAATCACAAATATGAAGGAAAATCGATTCGTACGGGAAGAAAATACCTCGAAATAATGACTAACCTACCGCGTCGAAGCAAGAAGACAACCGTTATACAATCCTACGTCAGAGGAATTCTCGGAAGGAAATGTAGTAGCTAGCGTGGAGTGGGGGAAAAGCGGAATTGCTCACAGTTGTGCAATTACTATTTCAAATTATTATTTCTAATCGTAAGTAAACGAGATACAATAAAAATTCTCTTGTTTATTTACATAGGAACGAAACTCTGAACGTTGTTGTTGCTCGTATCGATCGTCGATACGTCGATGTACCGACGCGACGTCGTGAAATTCAATTTCACATATCGATTCTACCATTCAGGTACTTAACCTTGAATGAACTATCTTAACTGAAAACATTGCTCTCTGACGCATTCGACGTATCTCGTTGGATTAACATTATAATAAAAATGAGGAGAAGGTTATGTAGCAAACGTTTGTAAATGTTTTAATTAACTTGATTCAATATTTTAGACTAGATCGAAAGAGGGAGGTTATATTTTTCTTTTTTTTTTCATATACGTCGAATTTATTCGCGGTAAGTACAAGAGCTATATAAAATAATCCTTTTCTTTTTTTCTTTCCAAAGAAGAAAAGTTGAAGATAAAACGATAACGGACGTCAGGGCGGTCAGGATAAGAGCATTTGGCAAGTGAGAGACGATAGACGCAATCTTCAAAATAATTTATTAAAAATGTCGCATATTCGATATACGAATTGGTAATTAGTAACGGTATAATTAATAACTGTGTATGCACATTGTACGTATATGCATATACGAGCACGTCTTTGGTGTATTTACTAATTTCATTATATATAACTGCTCGGTGATTGCTCAGTTAGAATTCTTTGTTATCGATAGAAGGAATGATCGTGGTACAATATGTCGTATGTAGTACGTCGAGATCAGGTGGTACGATGTCGCTTCTTTGAACAAGAAAGTCCAAGAAATATTCCTATTTTTTGGGATCATGGGGAAAATTAAATCTGTGAATCATTCGTAAGATCGAGACGGTGGCGTCATCGTCGCTGTACGATGACGATCGAACAGCGCGAGTCGTGTCACCTGATTCTCGAGCCCGTTTCTAGGTTATACATACATATGCTAAGAAACATTCGTGTGTGTGTGTGCGCGCGCGCGCGCATACGAGGAGTGCTGCTCTCTTTCTTTCTCTCTCTCTGTGTGTGTGTGTGTGTGTGTGTGCTTGCGTTTGTGGCTTTGCGATAGTATCAAGTACATGTGTGTGTGTGTATATATATATGCGTCAACCATTCGTGTCAGTTTATTGTCAGGTTTCTTGCTGACCTTGATTTTCGCCGTACTAATCGAGCGTCCATCGAAAGAGATCTTTATGCATGAGTGTTTTTATTTTGTTTTATTTTCTTTTTTGTTTTCTTTTTTTGTTTTTCTCTTTTTTTTGTTTTTTCCTTTTTCGTTTTACTTTTTTACTTTTCTAATTTTCCCTTACTGTCAGTGCACAAGCATGCACTAAAAACAATACGTTTCACTGCTAAGTGATAATAATATAAATTACTGCTGCGAAAGTTTCGAGAGTATAATTTGGTCTTTCTTAGAATAATATTTAATAATCGTCTTCGTGCCATACCGAAGAAGTTTAAGAATACGATCGAATACGCCCATCGATTATTTTCTTACTTACATTCACATGCTTTTCATTCTTTCCTTTTCTTTATTAAATGGGCATTTATATAATCGATCAAATGATTTCATTATTTTGCGATACATGTAAGTATTTATCAAACGAGACGACAAATCGTTGGATTTGGAATGGCGAGGTCATTCGCCTTCGAATCTTTTCCATAGTATCTCGTCCTAGCACGAATAGTTTATAGGATTAACATAAGCATAAACGCTCGGTAACATATACAAACGTAGAAAGCGAATTCGGTCAACGTGATAATTGAAGTTCTTGGTAAGAGAAAAAAAAACAAAAAAAAAACAAAAAAATGAAAGAGATAGGAAAAAAAAACAAAAACGATTGGACTAATCGAATTTGTGCCAAATCGTGTGTTTTGTACATCGTCGCTAACGTCGATAGAGAAATTCATAATTACGATAAGCGGACACGAAGATTCGCGTAAGATCGATGGTTCGAAATAATAAGCGTTTTTCGGCAGTCTTTGAAGACGAGCTTTGAACCCACAAAAGTTCTGTGCGACTATATAAACCTTTAATAGAGAGTCAGTCGGTGAGCTCTAAACTGAATTTACGAAATTAAATTAAGGTAGAGAGAGACGATAATATAAATCAATTTATAATTGTGAAACGCGCGTATTACTACTATTCGTCTCGGTAGCACGATGTCCATTTCATCCTCTATACATATGTACACGCTCGTACCTATATACATACATACATATACATGTATATGTATGTGTACATATAATTTCCTACTTTTGTCTTCAAAAACGAAACGACATTGCGCTAATCGTATAGCTACTCGTTCATCTTTTATTCGATTTTCTCAGGAAAGAATATCGATTAAGACATTATTTCAGACTTGAAACATCAACGAGCTAAGTGCGATCGATTATTTCCAAAAAAGTGACGTTTCATTTATATCGTTGCAAAAATCTTCTAAAACAATATCTCATTCGATTCCACTCGGCCAATTTACCGATATTACCGTAACATTCGTCGATACGCGAGACAAAAGAACATTTTCCTTCGCTGCCACATTTAAACGATCCAACAATAAACGCGTTTCTGGATATGGTTCACATCGTGATAATAACGACTATTCGTCTACGTGATTATTATTATTATTATTATTATTATTATTATTATTATTATTATTATTATTATTATTATTATTATTAGTATTATTAGTATTATCATTATTTAATATTATTATTTTTATTTCATTTTTATTTGTATTTTATTGTTGTTATTATTATTATAATAATTTAATATTTGTATTATGCGGCTTACACTCGGCTTTTCTAGAGCATTTAAAATTCTTACGAACTAGAAGAAAACTATTTACAACAGAGGAGCTTCGTGAAATCCCGAATCCTTCCGAATCTTCCCGGGATCGGGGGCGAATGAATTCGTCGAGGAGCAATGAAAAAGCGAAAGGACAGGATTACAAAAGTGATAATAGAATTGAAATTGGAAAATATTATTATCGAGTGTCGTACGTGGCATCGTTCGCGCTCGATAAGAGGTATAATCGAAATGCGTTGCAATGTGCGTTGCAGTGCATCGAAAAAGGAAGAGGGACCGAAGGCGAAAGGGTAAAAAGGACGTTCTAACGAAGTTTCCCTTGTTACCGAGTGACGAGAGCGCTCGTCGCATCAAGTTTTGCGCTCGAATGACCGTTGTTCCTCGTTGTTTCGGGTTGCTGTGCGCTCGTGTACGATCGATACACGCGAGGTTCTTCAGCGAGTTCGCGAACGACCCTCCACTTACAAGTTGACGCGTTTTCGCCTCTCTCTCTCTCTCTCTCCCCCCCTCTATTTTTTTTCTTCTTTCGTTCCACTCCAAAGAACGTTACGTTCTCGAATGAACTCGATATTATCGTTTTCGAAAAATTATCCTCCTCAACTATAATGCTTATCTTTGATCAAATCATAATCTAAATATCGTTATTCGAGTCTGTCTCGGATGATAATTTGACAAAAAAGCGAAATATCTTTCCGACAATGCGATGCTTATTCTAAACATATTTTGTGCCTTCTGTAAGTATTAACGAGTATGTAAATCATATCTCCCCCGTTGCGATTGTCGCGAATAAGAACACAAGAAGGCCGATGTTGGAATACGGTATTGGAATACCTCATCATACTCGTATATCGAACGGTTTGTGCTGCTTTCTTCGGCCGATGCGGAGCTTTTAAGCTCCTAAGTACGATAGAAAGAACAAAGGCATAATAACGCGCGCGTGCACGCAAATTATCGTGCTCGAGCGACCCTGTTTTTTCGTTAGTTAATTATGCTCGTTCGTCGCGACGTCTCGAAAAGAACATGTAAACAACGTTGGTATGCGAGTACATCGTCGGCGCACGACACACGTTTGAAATAAAATTTCTTTTTTCTTTTTAAACGATTTAAAAACATTTTTTTTTTGTTCTTCTTCCTACCGAGCAAATTTTTCGCACTCTTCGTAGGTTCGTTTCGTCGTAGGTTCGTCGTTCGGACCGGAAGAACACGTATCGCTGATTATTAAAAAAATGGATTCCATTGATTTTTCTCAGTTTGAATATCGATGGATTTTTACTAAAAAAATTTCACTGTACGTACATATATACGTGTTGAGTACGAATGGCAGTTTGGAGGATCACATTTTCGTTGATATTTCACGATAGAAAAAAAAAAAAAATGCACATTGACGTTGAAGTAAGTGTCTCGAAATACCATCAGTCTTATGTTCTCTGAATTGTTATTGATAAAATAAATAGATAGATCTGCGTAAGTTTCGTTAATTAATCTTTAGCGGGTTTAACGAATTTAGCTTAACCAAACGAAGAAGAAGAAGAAGAAGAAGAAGAAGAAGAAGCTATAAGTATATAAGATTTAAAAAATAATAGGCGCGCGCGTACCGATTTCTTTTGGCCGAAAACGATACTTACTACCCGACCAGTAGTAATGATCAATATCGTAGGATTGTCCTCTTTCAACGTGTCGTGGAGGGTCGTTTTTTTTTTCTTTTTTCTTTTTTCTTTCTTAGCGTCGTAACGCGACCCTTCGCCAATTAACTTTTACTTATAGTTAATCAAGAAAAGAATGGCGGTGATTTTGGCTAGCTGAAAATACGTATAATATATGTTGTATATTTGACGGATAATTTCGAATCGATCGCAGCCGCTATCTCATTCGCTCGAATTCGCTGTTTTGTTTTCTCTTTATCGTATTTTTTGTTTTGTTTTTTTTTTGCGCGTCTTTCCTTTTTCCCTCCCGAAGAATTCGCGTTTCTCTCTTCACCTCGAAATTCGTAGTACTTATCGATTAGTAGTGAAGCGGCACGGTGCCGTTCTCCGTTGCGTTGCGTTGCGTTGCTACAAATATCTGCCAGTGAAATAAATAAAATAATTCGCGACGCCGATGTTCGCGAACGGAGGCAAACGCGTGCACGTGTGTAGCATTTTTAACCGTTATATAAATAGGTCAATAATCAATTATTTACAATTATGAACATGGTGTACAAGCCGTGACATCGACGCCGATGCCATTTTTTTCGAATTTTCGAAAAATTCTTCATTTAGCTGTTTTCTTTTTTTTTTTTTTCCATCGACGTCGCATCATCGGACGTAACAATAATTTCGAAGCACAGCTTCGAGGAAAACAGCATCGTATATATTTATCACATCATTTCAAACTACGCGATTTCTACCAACCGCATCGTCCAGCCCCTCGAATCAAAAGTCACGTCGCTTAAAATCGATTAGTAATCGAATAAGATTAATTCGCTCTCTCTTTCTCTCTCTCTCTCTCTCACACACACACTTTTTTATAGATACTTTTTGTAGTTTGTAGTTTGGTCGATATCCCTAGACAAAGTACATTTTCATCCCCTTAAGTTTTCTTTTTTTCTCTTTGCATTTTATTCCAGAATCGACGAAGGGCCAGCTAGATTTCTTTTTCTCTTTAATTTTACGTTAAACGAGTCAAGTGCTCGATGCCTCGGATTATTCTCGAATTACTTCTTCTTCGAATATATGTATCTAGGATCGAGACGGGAGTATCGATGAACCTTTGAGGTATATATGAGGTAAATAAAGAGCGAATGGGATCGGTAATTGAATTCAGAACTGATCATTTTCTTATTTCGTTATCGTAAGAAACACCAAGGAAGGAAACAGTTGGCGATATCGAAAAGTTATCGATACTCGTAAGTTCCTAGATACGCGAAAATCTATACTACCATAACGGTGCGATATTACTAGGATTTTATTACTTATTGTCCTCGTTAAAACAGTTCGGTCATTCATCGTGGCTTGTTCTCCGTGGTGTAACGTAAACAGGATTTTAGTCTAAAGTTTGTACCTTTCTCTCTCTCTCTCTCTCTCTCTCTCTCACGTTTACTCAAGCCGGAACGACGTTGTAAAAGTTTGAGAAACCCGATGCTCTTTGAATCTCGTTCCAAGTTGACAGAGAGGGAGGTATACATTTGGTATTCTTTCCTCTTTCCTTCGAGTACATCAATTTTGTCGTATCTTTGAAGACATCTAAACGTTTACGGGACACGAGCTTTTGCGCACGGAGAAAAAAGAAATACGCGAGATCCGTTCTGTCAAAGAGTTTCGATCGCTATCCGAGCCAACGAGCAGTCGACCATCGTCGTCGTCGTCGTCGTTTACTTTTGAAAGTCAGTTCGCTCAGTTCGTTCAGTTCGTTAATCGTAAAGCAAGACAGAGTTCTGCGCGTTACGCCGCACCGAGGCAGTTCAAAGAGTCGTACGTTCAAAAGGAAAAACAGCGTATAAGCTGTTCCGAAGGAAGACTCCTTGAAAGCTTTACCGACGATGACAAAGGCATTGACATCAAACAGATTGCGGATGAGGCGGAGGCGAAAAATGATGGCGATTGTCACACGGTGGTAACGCGGTCGACCTCGACGTATCGCACAGAACTGTCGCTGTGTCAGCAGATCACTTCCTTTCCCTCGATTATCGCCGTCTCCGAGGATATGCTCTTCAATCGGTGCTGAGATATCGAGCGACTGGTCCGTTGCCGACAAATTCGCCATATAACGATGAAGATAACCACGAGGATCGTTAGAATAGCCAAAACTCCGAGGGCAAAATGTAAAGGTGGCAATCGAAGGAGCATCGAGCAATGCTTCAAAGCCTCGTCGTAGCCCGAAGGACAATGGGATACTCCGTCGCACCAAAGGGAAGCGTTTATGCACGCGTCCAATTCCGGACATCGTTGGACGCAGTCCCGGGCCATTTGTAGTCCGGCCGTAGACGTCGTCGCCGGCCTAAACCGATTAAAAACATTTTTCTCTCATCGCATACGATGCGACGCCGTAGACAGAACAGGATCAGAAAATGAAAAGTAAAATTAGATAGACAGGTTTATCGACATTATATACCTTCTGGTAAGTTCGAGCCACGTGACGCCGTAAGCTTCCGGCTCGCTGATCAAAAACTCCACGGCGATTGTTCTAACGGGATCTCGGCCAGGTACCGGGATGAAATTAGCGCTACCGACGGACCAGCCATCGCTGAAAATTTCTACGACCTGTTCCCTAGAATCTTCCATCGGTTTCGGACATACCGATGCACGAATGTTTCCTCCGGCGTGCAAAACTATACGATTTTTCGTCGCGCACTTGATACGATTCGTCATGATCGAACCGTGCGTTTTCACATAGAGATATTGTCCTGGAGCCGGGTCGATCAGCCAAGGATGCTTCTCGCAGTTTCTCTGAAAATCATTTGCATAATGATAAAGCTCAAGCGTCGATCGAACTATATAGCTCGAGTGAAACGTACGGAAAAAGTAGGTACCTCGTCCTCGTCGATGAGCGGCCATCTGTATTTGATCACCCCCGAAGGCCCTCTCACTCTGCGCTTTTGTAAACACGGCGACGTTTTGACAAACTCCCAAGTACCCTCGAAGAAGATGTTGTTGTAGTCGTCCAGGGCGTTCATAGACGTTACCGTCAGGTGTACCTCGACGATGTTCGAGCTGGACTTGATGTTCATAGGGAGAGAACGATTCGAGCAAAAGCAATCGCGTTGAACGGCCGGTGCGTTAGGCCATGGGAGATCGAGCACCTGCGAGCGTCAGATATTTATTACGTATTACGTAATATTCGTAAGATGGTTCGATTAAACGACGAAACGATAGGGGGTATAGGAAAAATCCTCTCTAATCTCTCTTTGTCTTTATCGTCTTGGCACGTGGTTACGTGGATTAACTCCCTGATCATTCGAAAATCGAGATTTCGTATGATCGAATATCAATTTTTCTTTTGAACCTATCGACGACGAGATGTCAATCGAAAAGAGATCGATTTTGTTATCGAACCTCGTACCAAAACTTCTTTGAAGCTCGCTCCGCTTTGATAACATTTATGAGATTCGGTAGTCATGCTTCTATCCATTTTACGGCCGAGAGAAGATCGGGAAACTTTGTTCGTCCGTCGATCAAGTTCGACGTTAGTTACTACGAATCTTAACCGCTTCACCGCACTCCGTATATCGAGCACGGTCCAATTCAGGATATTATTCGTCGATATAAATAGGAGAATACGATCCGTCGGGTTCTTGTCTTTTAAATATCTTCTTTTCTTCGTATTTTCTTCTATCGCGTACTCCGTCGCGTATCGATCGCGAGACGGATAGTTTTTTCTTTTCTGTTTTTTACTCTCTCTCTCTCTCTCTCTCTCTCTCTCTCTCTCAGTCAGTTCGCGAAGGTTAGGTAGCGTGCACGCGTTTGTACTTACTTTGAGGGAGAAGTTATCGGATCCGATGCAAAGAAGACGATTAAAATCGGAAGAGGAGACGCTGCGACAGGTCCGGTTTCCATTGAGAAGTCTGTTGAACCGCAGCTTGACGACCTCGTCGTGTTCACCCTCGAACCGGTACACGCAACTGCAAAATCCGTTCCAGGCTGCACTTTCAGCGACTTAATCGAATTTACATGCTTCGTCAGTTACCCAAAGGAACGGACTTTGGATCGATAACTGCAGGAAGATTACGAGAGGAGCATCGCCGACGTCATGAATGTACGTTAATAGTTAAACGAGCCAAGCGATTTTGATCGAGTCACATTTATCGATCCTTCTTATCCATTCGAATCATTATATTTCCCTAACGACGGCAATATTGACAGAGTTTCTTTAATCCGTTCTTGTTTCTCTTAAAAGAGGAAAAGCCGGTGCGCGCGTTCGCGTTCATCGAATTTGCTGCGCCGTACGAAAACGATAAGCTTTTGGTACCGTAGCTAAGCAAAGCTTAAGCTACGCAATCGGAAAAGACGGTATACGGATAGAAGTCGTTCGCGGTCCTACCTGCGATTCGTTTTACGGCCCTCATAAATCTTCAAGATCGCGATCGTAAGAGATATTTTATGAGCTTCTGGGTTAGAACCCACAGATATGTTTTTTGCAAGGGTCGATAAACCGGCTACTAGTTTTACTATACTACTACTCGTTGCCGTTAATATCGTGCTAAATCGTGTTGGCGCATTAGTTCTTCGAATTCGATTTCTTTGACCGTTGCTAATAAAAAACTTACCTAAGATTTTTCGATCCACCACGACCGTAGAGAAAGATATCGCGAGGTCCTTGAAATCTACGATCTGGATAAGTGTCTCGATTTCGGCTGTAAAAGGCACGCGAGCACGGTCCACTGCCGTAAGCTTCGCCATCCTGATGGAGATCGACGAACTCGTAGAGAGCTCGAAAGTTGACGGGTCTTGAAGAGAAACGTTGAACGCCACGTTATTATGATAAAAGACTTGGCCGATGAAATAGGGCCGGGGATGCTTTCCGGTGGAAAAGATTAACTAGACCGTGTGATGCATCCTCGTGCCTTGTTACTTTTATTCTCTCTCTTTCTCTCGCCCTCTTCCACGGAACGGTTGAGCGCACCATTTCGCGGTATTACGACGTATGAAAAATAACGTCGGTATAAAAATAATGATTATAGACTTGCCTGAGAGCCGTAGACTCGATCATGCGCATCTCTATGGTCAAGCTGTTGCCGGATGATACGAAGCTTTCTCCGAGGGAGCAAGGACGACTGACGTTTTGAAGAATCGCGTGATCGCAAGTTCTTGGAACCTTGTCCTTGCAATATCTGGCAAGGAGAGTCGTGTTGTTTGCGGGACGTGCGACAACTTGCGAAGTCGCTTCTCCGAGTCTCTCTATGTACCTTTGACGTTCCTTCTCGCTAAAGAGATTCCAATGAAGCGGACACATACGTATGTAATTTAGTGGTGTTTATTTAGAAAAGTAAGATAGACAAATACGAGTCTGTTTTGTATCTATTAAAATGGAACATAGATTTAGAGATAACGTTGAACACCTACCAAGCTTCGTTGCATTCCCCAAGGGGCATCATTTCTCCGTCCCAAACCATCAGAGTCGTCGAACAATCCTCGTCGGTGCCGGCAGAAGCGGTGATGCCAACGTGAAACTTTAAAATCGACAACCAAACGCGGAACTGCGGTTGCGGTGGAACCGGCGCCGGTCTCCGCCATACCGTACCGGGCCGTTGCTCTGGGAATTTGGGTAAAGGACGCGGAGGCGTGGGACTGGGCAAAGTGGGTCCGGCGCCGCGTAAATGATAGAGGCAGCTACTGTTTCTCGGTAGAGAATGACGGGGAGACTCCAGCACCCCTCCGCTATTACCTTTCAACCAAAACTCGCAGCGCTTGTTCTTCGCGTATGTCGGTGAATCGGCGTCGACGAATTTCACCTGAGAAATACGTACTCTCTGTCATAGGAAACGAGTACATTTTCAAAAGTTACTTTTTCTTTTTTTCTCTCTTTCTCTCTCTCTCTCTCTCTCTCTCTCTCTCTCTCTCTCTCTATCTCTCTCTCTCTCTTTTCCTACTTAATAAATCTACCTGGACTTCCAATTGGAATCCGTGAAGGGAACGTTGCGGCGTCGAATGTAGAAAGGTACCGTAAGGGGACGTTGTGAACTCCACGAGAATTTCTGGTCCGCTGCTCGTTGCCTCGGGCACTGGTTCTCCGCCACCGCAGAATTTTAGTATCACCGGATCCCTTGTGGTATAACCGTCGTAGACGGTCACGTAATCCTGCCAAATATGAAATTCTCATCTTGATACACCGTATCTTATCTGTCGATATAAGTTCTACGAGGAAAAAGAGTTTGTTTGAAAATCGAAAGGGACGTTGCAGTATCGCGCACCGTCTACGATGCGATCCCTAGAGCCGTACAATTTTTCCTTCCCCGTACCATATGTGTCTCGCACACTTTTTTTTCTTTTTTTTTTTTTTTTTCTTTTCATAAAACATTGTTTCCTCAGGAAGAAACTCTCTGTACGTTAGGCGTATAGAATGGTTTTATTTCCTCTCGGAGCGAGGTAAGAAAAAGAAATTAAGGATTTGAAAAAGTAGCCGAAGAATTCCTATGTAAAGTAGCGTTCCTTCCTTCTCCGTAGGACGGTCACGTAGTATCGTTCTCCATTTCCGCTTCCACTTTCATGTTGATTCCACGAGAGTATCAACTCCTTCCACGAATTTATAACGTTTAATCCAATTTTCGCGGCTCCGTTTTACGTACCTGTATGACGTCGCAATCTTGCCAGAGATGAAGCTCACGTGGCGGTGACTCGCCTTGCGTCGCTGGTCTAGATCTTACAGCGACCAATTGACCTCTTGGCTGTCCGACCGAAATTAACGCGTATTTCCCCGGCGGTACCTCGTGCTGCCTTACCTGCCCGACAACGAAAAACGTTCCAATGAAGCGAATGCAAATGTACCACTTGAGAATTCTAACTATTCTATCGCGTATTCTAGAACACTCGCTCTTTGATCAATGTAAAAGAGCTTTTGTCGTGGTTGCATGGGAACGTGCGACGAATCAAGAATTACATCCGCCTGGATGTACGTATGTGCGACTGGATATCGTGTGAAAAGCATTCGTTTACTTTCTAATATTACTTGAAATTGCTCGCTATTATGATACCTAACGAAAAGTTCAACAACCAAGTCGATGCCAACTTTTACGGTTTTCTATATCAAAGGACTCGGCAGATAGACACCTATCTAGGTTAGGTATATGCTACTTTCCGGTGGACACGTTTTATCCCGATAGGAATATTTCATGTCGAGCTTCTCTCGCTCGCTCTCTCGGTTGAGCTTTAGATGGACTTACCGCGTAGTAACAGGTGAGATTACGAGGATAAAGTCCAGGAAAGTTTGGGGATTGCAGTCTGCACTTCTTCTGGTCGCAGTCACTGAATATTCTCGAGCAGTAAGTTCCAGAGATGAGATCACCGAGATATTGTTCCGAGGTTGATTTCGTTGGTGTTACCGGATGTTGCTCGACCATAAGCATCGCCATCGAAGTATTAGTATATTCGACGGTCGGCTTGTCCTCGGTATTTACCGCACTCGTCGTAGTCGTCGACGTTGTCCTCGACGTCGTCGTCGTCGTCATCGTCGTCGTCGTCGTCGTCGTCGCCGTCGTCGTCGTCTTCGTCGTCGTTACCTGCGTCATTCCTGATCACATGGCATAGCCATTTTAATGTAATTCCTTTAATGTTATCCCCATTTAAAAAAGTTAGCACATTTTAATCGTTACGATCGCGATTACGAAGGCAATTTTATTAAAATAATTTCAATATTTGAAAAACAGAGTTTATTCGAAAATGAATTATCCTTTATTATCCAGATATCCAGATGGCTGAATTGGACGTAGAAAATAGGAGGAAGAGTGAAAGGGCTTACAATATTTGGAGTTTCATTTCGAAGAGGATCACGTACCTACGAAAGGATTCCCGTAGCGCACAACGGCGTCGGATTTTCTGATCATCTTGTACGCCATCCGAAAATCGAAATTGAATGCCTTCTGATCCTTGCTGAGTCGTAGAAGTTTCAGAGTTATGGAGACGCTGGACGTTTCGCTGTAGTAAATGGCTGGATCCCTCGTCGTACCACACCAAAGTCCTCCTACATCGGGACGTTCCGCTTCGGAGATTTGCAAAGATCCGTCTGGACATCCTTCCGCGGTGAACGAAACGAATTTGCCAAGGGTGAAGCTGTCAAAGTTGAGCTGCAAGAACGTAAGAGATAGGAAATTTCAATGATAACGAATACGCGATTCTACGTTATTAAAAAATTCCTTAAATTTGATTACCACCTAATATCTAAAAGCACGTTTATCCTAGCACGACGTTGCTTCATTGGTTAACGCTCAATTTCGATCGACGAAGCGAATTCGCTGACGTGAGTTATGCACCGTAGCGTACTCGAATAGTTGCGGTACTTTGATACGCTTGCTTTAACAAACGCGAAACTTTGTCCTTTCATTTAGGTATATACCTAACCTATCAGGAATTATCTTAAATCGACGCTTCGCCCTCTAACGCTCTCCATTTTCTCGTCGGTATACCACCCATGAACGAGCTGAATACGATCGATCTTACGTTTCGATATCGGTCAATTCATTACCTGTATGATATCACCTAGATCGCCGCCGGGTGCGGTAAAGGTAAGCTTGCAAATGTAAGGCACCTTGTCTTCCTTCGGCCGATGCAATTCCAAACCGTAAGTCTTTCCTACGTCGCCAAAGTACGTTTTGTTGCAGGCTGAAACAAAAAGGATCTCAACTTCAACGTCGACGTTAGATCGGCATCCATTAGGAGAAATTATATTATTATTTCGTTAATATAGAAATAAAAATTTCGTCCGGTGAGTGGCCGGTATTATTTATACGTTTAAACGATTAGAAATGAAAAAAAAAGATTGAAATTTTTGCTCTCGCTCGATAGGATTACTTGTCTCTATCGAATTGAATTGAATTTTGCATCGACTTTGTACGAAAGCTTTCGTATCGACTACCCAATGAATTTATAACGTAAGTAAACGCATTGGTAACTTTATTCCGGCACTCTGTAAGATTGGATACGGCTGTGCTCGAGGATATACTTTTCGTCCATTATACGTATATTAGAGTTTCTTTTCTTTTCCGACGGAAAGAACGAACCGATTAATCCGTCGGTTTATTCAGTTATGCCGAGCTTGAGAATTTTACTTTATCAACGATTGAAGATCGATGCGATCGATTCTAACACTAGGTGTTACCGAAAGGGATCGCCTATCGAGCACGATTAAGCTAATAGCCCTTAGAGTTGGAGAGCGTGCGCGTGGCAGCATAGCCAAGAGAATTCACGTTTTGTTCGCGATCGATGTAATCTGCGGTTCGGCTTTTCACAGGATGCCAGACGAATAGAGAAACGCACATTCTCGATGATCGAGTTGCTTTGGCTTCGGCCATCGTACTCCTACGATCGCGTCGCGTCGCGTCGTTGAGGGACTTCGCAGGCTCTTCATAGCCGGCGCGTTTTGAAAATAGACCTTTCTACGACGCATTTTGGAATACGACTTCCTTTCCTCGTCGACGAGTACACAAGAACCGATCGCTTAGATCACTCGACCTTCGAAACATCTCGTTTCAAAGAACTGATCGATTTATCAAAGAGAACATTTGAGAAAATAAAACGAGCCACGACGAGTATCAGGTAGCTCTACCAGTACTTAGGTAGTGAAAACTATGCTGGGCACGAATAGCGAGGACACGGTTTGAACGGACAGCTCACAATGGGGTATTTCTAATCAACGAGCTAATTCTGACTCCTAATTAGAAGTAGGCTTTGTTAATCAGCTACTGGCCGTTCCATCGAATCTATCGTTCCTATCTACGATCGCCTTTCCAATTTCAACTATCGATCGATCGATCGATCGATTCTGCCTCTCTAATCAACCGTAACGTTTGTTCGAGCGTCCTTCCAAGCACGCTCGGAATAATGATCCTACGGGAGTGTATGAAGTACGATACTAACGAACGATTATAACAAATTTACTTGCGATCGTGCGGTTGAGTGCATCTTCTACGATAAATCTTGAAAATTTCAAGCTCCTCATACTATTCTTAAGGGATATTTCTCAAAGGATAGACGAGAAATGCGTAATAAATCGTAAATGTCCGTCTCATTGAATCATGAGAGATATGGATCGCCGTAGACGGAGAGTTTGCGTTTCAAAAGAGACGGTTCGATGTGCTTGACTAATGGCCGGCGTCCACCACTCGCAGGTTCGTTCAAACGTTAAGATTTCGAAAAGGTAAGGAGCGATAACGCTCGGGGTATCACATTTTATTTACCTGTCCGATATTTGCATTTTCTGTCTTTTTAGAATTTAGCATAAATAAAGTCTCAATAACGTATTCGTGCTGCAGAAAGTCCATGCAATGAAGATTTTAGAGTGGATAGGCTCTTTTGTGTTGAAAGTCGTAGCGGTTGTGTCTCTGACGCGTCGCCGAGGGCGTGTAAATGTGGAAAACGAAACTCACAAAAGGGAGGGAGAAAGAGGGAGAGAGAGAGAGAGAGAGAGAGAGAGAGAGAGAGAGAAAGTTGCATTTTCGGAAAAGACAAATTCCGACGGGTGTAGTCGGTAGCATTCGAGAATTGTCGTTACTGCCGTAAGTCATGTCTTTCCTTCGTGTTGTCTCTGGGTTATTTGCTTCTTCCCTCTTTTCGACTCGCGCTCTCTCTCTCTCTCTCTCTCTCTCTCTCTCGCGCGCGCGCCGCGGCTCGAGGAACAACAGGATACGTCCGAGCGAAGGATTTTTATTGCTCGCCGCAGGCTCCTCGTCGTCGCTTGCGACTAAACGTATCGATCCTGCTTTGTCTGTATTTGGAAAAAAAGCTACGCGTCTATGCATCTACATATATTCCTATCTACGTACGAACGCGGCATGTATGCATATGTACTACGAGTGGATCGACTCGAATCGACTATTTGTAAAGGCTCGAAATGCGAAGGTTATAAAAGTATAAAAATGAAATATGGCACTCGTATAGGTATTTTACGATGCGAGAAATGGAAGCTCCACGTTATCGTTAACGTGGGGCCTGATCGATTAATTGAGACCAATTTGAAATGGACAAACGGAATGGAATATTTCTGTTCAACTTGTAGTACATTTTAGTCCATTGCCTTTTCATCTTGAAGCCCTACTATAAATAATTTTCTACGAGAGCTTTCCTCGGTAAATATTCGACGTAAAGCGACGCGCGCACTCACATACTGAAAGGGACACCATCGATAAACGCAAAAAGGTTACTCCGTATGTACGGGATAGTTAAGGGATAGGTATTTGCCAATGGAAATCGCATTCACGTGGGTTACCTTGAAGGTTTATATTTAAGAATTTACAGTGCGCGGTCGTTGGCTTTTGAAATTTATCGCAAAAACGAAGATAGAGAAGGAAGATAATGACTCAGAAACGTTACATCATCCTGTTTCCTTCTATAAAAGTACATTGACTTTTATTTCTTATCTTTTGGACAGAGCGACACTCGTTATTTACACCGTGTTTGAACGGTACCGTATACACGTTTCTTTCCTTCGTTGGAAACGTTTCGTCCGAAGCGATTAAAATGTAGTTAAAATGTCGCGCGAAACCAAGAAACTCGCGAAACATTGGGAAAACTTTTCAACTTGGATTCCTTTCTGCTTCGCATAAATGCGGATGCGATTATAACGAACGAACGAACGAACGAACGAACGAACGAACGAACGAACGAACGGACGAACGGACGAACGAACGAATTTTCGAATTGGTATCCTACAATTTAAATCATTATGTTTCCGATAAAATCGAGTAACGTAACACGATAATGGTACAGCAAAAGTACTAAAAGTACTACCGCTGTGTGTACGAGTAAATTCATCTAGCTCGATTTTAAATAGGAGCTTGGTCGTAATAGCCAAAGGTGAATGGAAGGAAAGGCATGCGTAAAACTTTTTGTTTTGGTTTTTCTTTTCGTTTCCTACCAGCGAACAACAACTGGAAATGGTAACGTTTGCTTTGGCGCAATCGCGACTCGTGCAATTTGCAGGTAGGGAGGAGGATGACAAGGACGTCGAGCTCTGCTCCTCGCCATTGCTTTTCAACGGTGCGTAGACAGCCTGACGAAGAAAGCGTCGGTGAAAGCGAACGAATATCCTTTTCAATGGGGCCGACGAGTGCCCACAGGCCTCTCTCTTTCTCTTTTTCTCCTCTTCGTTCGCCATCCCTTACATTTGCTTTTTTTCCTTTTTTACCTTTTACTTTATCCTCCATATACCCTTGCTCTTCTTTCCTCTCGTTGCTTCTCACCCACGTGACTCTCCACGATGCTCGCGAGATATTCGTTCGCCACACTTTTTCTCTATACTCTGCCCTTTTTTTCCTCCCCCTCTTTCCCCGTCTTTACCGTCAACGAGAACCATCTACAACGTATCGTTCCGTGCTCGGTATGTGGGTCATGAGGAATACGCCTATATACGCGAAAAAAAGACGATCATTCGAGAGAGAGAGAGAGAGAGAGAGAGAGAGAGGATGAGCGAATACATTTTATACGCATAAGAAATTGAAACGAATTTTCGCTGACGCTATTTTATGCGATTACGATAATTCTCGATAGTAGTAGTAAGCGCGTTCGCAGGAGAAAGAGTTTAAAGATATTGTAGAATTTTTAATGCGCCGAATAATGCGAATAATACGCTCATCCGCAAGAGATTATCTCTTGGAACTCGTACCGAAGGGAGATTACGTTTGTAGCCGGTTGCTACCCCGTACTCATCTCTCCCATTCTCCTGTGCGTACGATAAAATTGATAAAATAACTGAGAAAAGGCGAGCAAAATCTGGAGGCTTACTGCGTAATCGCCTTTACCTTTTAAATATTCCAAGTTCGAAGCTTTTATGTACTTTTTAGATTCTCCTTATAATCTCGTGTGTGCACTTTGTTAATATTATCGCACAATGATAATAGTCGAGGCGACGTTAACATTTAGGATATAAGCGTTGGAATAAAAAAATATCGATAATTGTCGCGCGTAAACAACAGTGTCGGTAAGAAATGATAGAAAACGCGTCAAAGAGAATTTCGAGATTACCGACGGAGCCGAGCGAGCGATACTACGTGTTTCAAGTTGTACTTTAAAACTTGAGATTGAAGCATCGTTTCTCATTTATTTGCACCACGCGAGAACAAAGGCGCAAAGCCAGCGTGTAAATTCAATCCAACATTTTATGCCACCGTAGTATTCTGCATTCCAAAGAAATCGCAATTTTTTCCCTAAATTCTATTTTCGTCCTGGTGGTTTTTTTTTCTTGGCAAATGGCTTAACTCGTCGTCGTCGGTCGCGTTCCGAATGACACAACTAAATACAATGGCTACAGGAAATAATCGCGATAAGGTAATGAATGAAATGTGAATTCGTACGATTCTCCTTGTTATGATACGATCCTTGAATCGAATTCGTTCGACTAGATTACAAGTACCATGGACGAGGAAGGAATACCTTACGACGATCCACGCTTCGTCGAAATTCTAGAAGCTTGCCTGCACGTGGAAATTGCCGCCTATAAAGAATCATACGGCAGTAAGAAATAATTTTACTTCATTCGAGAGAGCGCATTATCGTCCCCGATCGTCGCATAGTCAGGCGCATAAAACTGTGACGTGAAATATAACGACGATCGCAATTCTTTTCGCAGAAACTCAGGCTGAAATAAGGAAGATAAAAAGGAACGTTCTAATGAAGCTCGAGAAGAGAAAGGAGCTTAAGAAAAAGATAGAAGATGCGGAAGATGTAATATCGATGTCGAACGTTACTTTAAAAAGGTACTTGCCATTGATACTTGTTAACACTGATAAACGCGAGAGTGGAAAAAAGGACGGGTTCTTAGATGGATTTCTTACGAGTCCGTTGTCAGATTGCGGGAAGATGTGAGAGAAACGAAACAAAGGATCGACCTGATCGAAGCGAATGCCGACGATCGTTCGAAATTAATGTCGTACGAGATGCAACGATATCGAGAGATTCTAGATGAATACAAGAAAACTTGGCAATCCTATCACGTAAGTAAACAACCGATCGTATTATTGCGTACTTAATTTCATTTTCTTCCCTTTTCTCCTTTCTATCAATGACAGACCGAATACGAGGATTTTCCGTTGGCTAAGAAACGAAAGGAAAGGGAGACCGAGCTGAAGAAGGTTTGCATCGAGAAAATGGTATTGGAATTTAAGTTCAACGAGTTGAAGATAAAATGCGAGCAAAAGAAGAAGATCGATGAAATAAGGACGAGGTTAAAAATAATAGAATTAGCTAAAGCGATGGTAAATAACGAGAAATTGGAGCGAAAATTGGTTAACCTGAGGAACGAAATCGATCATTGCAAGCGACAACTGCATTCGAGGGAACTAGAGGTCTTTACACGAACCACAGCCGTTCAAATTTTCATTTTCATTCAATTCAAATTTTCATTTCGCGGCATGCGTTATTTTTTATTTCTTATGTCGTAGTTAAAATCATTGCAAAGACGAGAAGAGGAGGATAGGAAGGAACGAGCGATGAAACTGTTGGAGATGCCACCGCCGAAAATAAATTTGTCACGAGTACGATTAAATTATTCGCGCAAGTGGCAAGATTTAGAGATAAGAAAAGAAATGCCACCTGTCGATTCCGGTAATTGACTTGGCCCTAATAATATTATAATTTTCGCGACTTTCAAGTCCAAAAACTATATAAGAATAATTCATATTTTTTAGATTCGATGTCGGTTAACACGATCGCCTTGGAGGAGATGTGTATAAACGACGATATTACAGCCGAAGATACGGCCAACAAGGACCTTGCCATTTCTATTTCGATGGACGATCGAAAACGATCGACGAACCTTTTCTTCGACTATGAAATAAAGGAAAAGGGAACGCGCGATCCAAAGAGTACAGAAAATTTTACGGTAGCAACGTCTTTGCAAAAGACGCAGAGTAAAAAGTTATCGTCCTTTTCGAGCAACGCGGAATCGATCGCCAAACAGACGAGCTTCAAAGGAAAAGACGAACAGAAACGATCTACGATGGCGGTGGACGTGGAAGAAGAAGGTGCTATTAATTACGAGGAAAATCGATTTCCGACGGATCTGTACCAGCCGAAAAGGATGAAATTTGTTCGAAACGACGAAAAGGACGTTGAACATATAGATATCGAATTGTCGCAAACGTCGAAAAGGTCCACTCGCTATCCGCGAATCACGAAGATCGAGAAAGTGCAATACGGCGTGACGTCTTTGACGAAACGCAAAAACGTACTACTTGATGCCTCGAAATCGTTCCTTTCTTCGAATAATAACTTCGATTATGAGACGAACGCGAGTCGTGCGACATCTTTCATGTTAAACGAAGCGCTGATGATCAAAGGTATTCGGCTAATTTATATTTTTCTTTTGATAACTAATTGTCATTAGTTATATTCCAATATCGTGCTCGTGAAAATTAAATTATTTTCTTTAGATTTAAACGATTCGAAATCGGCCGTCCAGCCTTCCATGTACGACGACAATTCGAGGAATTTTGAATTGTCCGATTGTGCGAATGCCTCGAATATAGCCGATATAGATATAAATATGGAATCCGTCGATGTGAATTGCGAGAAAATCGATCGCCAGGAAGACGAGAAAGAAGCGTCGCCGCAAGTCACAAGTAAGTACAATGTATCATTAGGTCGTCGATCGAGCCGACACTATCGGACTACATTATACATGTGTGTGTGTGTGTGTGTGCAATTATCTTTTTGCGTAGGTTTCAACTTCTCCGATCTGCTCAAACTGAAAACCGATAATAATTTTCGTATCTTTTGAAGTACCCCGTAAGTAAGTATTCCCGTTTGAGTTCCATTAGTTTTGACAACGGTTCGAACGACATTTAACTCGTTACGTTCAATTAATGGACAAGACCAGATGTAAAAGATATAAAAGAAGAACGTTCATTAAGTACGAGCCATAGTTCTATTTTACTCGGGGAAACCTTTTATTTTACAACCATCGCGTAATATTGATATCGTTCGCAATTTTATTCGCGTATCGTTATAAAGTTAGTTAACGTGCTCGAATAACATTGGAGCAAAGCATTATGATCGCGTAGCGAGCTAACCAAAGAGTCCCTTGTGCGAGAACCGACCGTATTAAATTTCACGCATCGCACAGCACCGAGTAACGCGATATATCTTATGTAAACTTTGATATAACTCGATGTACAAACGATACGTATTTTAGGACACGTTCGCTACTCGTCCTAATATAAAGATCGTTCGAGAATCGATGTCAACTGGCGATAGATATTAATTAATGGGACCGTTTGTTTGTTTGTTTTTCCTCTTTTTTGGCTGGACTCGAAATAACGCTCCGTTGTAAGCCAAGGAACACACACAGCCGAACGAACCATTTTCCTCTTATTTCTCTTTTTTTTTTTCTTTTCCCTTCTCACAGAAGCTAGTACGACACTGACAGAGGCGAACGAGCAAGTTCTTTTGAGCGATGTTCCACGAGTCGGAAGCGATCGATTTAATCGAGTCGATGAAACCGTTGGATGCCAGTGCTATCCTTATCGAAGGGAAAACGCGAAGCGAGCCTTTTTCCTTTTTTTCTTTCTTTCTTTCTTATCTTTCCCCTATCGGCCGCAAAATCTCACGGTACTCCATTACCTCACCCTCCCTTGGCCCCTTCTATCATAACAGATACACCGTATTACGGATAGAACGAATTTCACAGCGAATTTATGCGGAAAATACATTTGTCCCGAGTGCAAGAACAACTTGCGAATCATCGCATAGTATATAGCTTTCGCATTTTCGAGTAGAGTCCCGTTCGGACATTAGCTCCCGTAACGAAAGCTGACTGACCGTGTTACACCGTCCGGTTGAGATTTCTGTTAAAGCACTGGACTAAACCGTCCGTTGGAAAGTTAGCGCGAATGCCGTGGCGATTAAAATATAGCATACGTACAGTAGTGCCGGAGGATGATATTCCAGGCAGCGTAGCATAAAGTTTGCGGCAATATCCGAAGGTTAGCCCCCGGCAATGTCTCTGGAAAACGTGACGTTATCTCTGCGCGTTGCAGCGCGTAAACAATTTCTGAACCTTTCTGAAATATTCAAATAACGTAGTCGAGCATGACGAATGCCTCTCGTAGCGAGGAAGATATTACCGCGTCGTGTAGATTTTTCGAAAAGATCGTAAACTCGATCCAATTGGATTACGCGACGTAACGTAAGATCTCTGCTATAATTTAAGTTAATTGCTGGGTACACTGCAGACGTGTATTCCCACTCGGGGAACAATCCGCTTTCGCATTCGGGTGTAACATAACGAACATCCTAGGGAAAGCCTGCGGATTAAGCCTGGTACGGGCGACGTTGTAGCGACGGCCTCTGCCGTATTCGTTGCATTCGGTGCTCGAAAGCTTGCCTCGAGTGCTATACTCGAATGTATATACTTCACCGGCACGTTTTATTGCCCGCTCCTGCTGCTTTCTATATCGCAAGCGAGCTGCTTAGGACTCTTGGTCCCTCGACTCATGAATTTTCCTTCGAAATCCTTCCTACAAGGCGTCCTCTAGCGTGCGAAAACGTTTTCTAAATGACGATCGTTACCACCGGTACCGGCACCTTCCTCGCGTTCCATTATGTTCGCCATTATCGAGAAATTACCCACCGCGCGCGCGCGCGAGAGAGAGAGAGAGCTGTCTCGGTTATATGAACTTTTTCATCGGGGAATATTGCCTCATTTCTAAAGCTACTAAACTCCCCCTTACAGGTACTATGTACTTGTTATCAGCTAACCTATTATAACCTATTATTATTAGTAAAATCTCTTTCTACGAGTTTACGCGCTTACGACGAAAAGGACGTTGATTGAGTTTAGGTCGGAGATTAAGTTTCGCAAAGTTTTAGAAATCCTTCGAACGACGGATATTGGGCGCATCGAGCATTGTTAACGATAGACATTGTTTAACGTTGCGCCTATGGCTATAAAAAGGTGAGGAGATACGAGGCAAAAGGCAAGAGACAGACGAAAAGACGATGAATAGCCTCGGTCAAACCGGGCCATTTTATCACGATCTGTCGATAACACGGGCACTCGGGCAAAGAAAACGTCCATCGTCTTTTACAAATAGGTCGATTCCGTGCTTAGGACGGTCCGGTCCAGAAAGGTGGAACGAGATTAAGAGCGTCGCGAGCGACAGAACAAAAAATTCGTCATATTTTTCTGCTGCGCGCGTTTTCTTTCCTTCGAAAAGTCCTCCAAACTATTGTAATACGATTGGCTTCATTCATTTTTCTTAATTATGGCCGTAGAAATGGCGCAAAAAATATTATTCGCTCGACGAATCGATTCTGTCCCTTCGGACAGCCAACAGTTTCTACTTCGTAGGCGAGAGCACAACAATCCCATTAGCATCGTCGGTGCATTACTATTAGGGACGCGTCGCTCGTCCAGAAACCGCGAGCGGAGGTTAAATCGCGTGGAACCTCGTTTCACAACGGCCTGCAGATTCGAATTATTTACGGTAAATGGTAGAACGATGTTAACGAACGAATTCGCTTTGTTCGATCGCATCTGTACGGAACGAGCAGGATGAGAAACGGCAAAGTTAAATGGAAAAATTCATTCGGTCAAGTTACTCGAATAAGGAAATCTTAAAGCGCGAGGCCATCATTATATCGAAATCCCTAGATCCATGCTAGTCCCGTATTTAATAAACCCGAAATTCTTCTTTCGATCGGGGAAAAGCGAGGAGGTAGGAGGAATATCGAAATGCGATACGTAAAAGCATTATTGCCGATATTAAATGCATTCGCGGCAATTGCGGCTTTGTAATAAATAGCGAATAAAAAAAGAAGGTCCTGTAAATTTCTAGAAGGTCGTCGATTTCGTTCCGTTGGAATTTATATCGGTTCAAAGCCGCGAATCATAAATGGAATTCTCATTAATTCGGGCGAAAACGGCAAATCCGGTCAGTTCCGTAGCAAAATTCACGAATTGCCATTCGTTAATAATCACTATCATTGTCATTATCGTTATCGTCGAAATTGAAACTTTGGTATCGTATAATACGCGAATTTACGAATTAACGAATTTACGGCGTAAAGTTAAGACCGATGGGAATATGATAGAATTAAAAAGATAGACCTTTTATACCTTTCGCGGAAGTATAATCTTGTTGTCTTGCCAGTGAACGTGATTAAACGAAGACGATAAATATACGTCGTCTAAATACGCAAACCGATTACTTTCGTTTGTTCGATGGTTTGCGTAAACAATGGAAAAGTTCCCGGTTTAGGCTTTAGACGACGTTCCTTCTATCTTACTCATGAAAATGAACGCTCGAACGTAATATGAAGGAACGCGAAGGGGTACTTGTGCGCCCTTGGAAAATCGATGAACGCATGAATATTAAAGCGTTCGCATTGACGTGGGCGCGTTAACATAAATCGATACCTTCGCATAATGTACCGTCTTTTTTTTTATTTTACGAAAGGACGAAGGAAAAGACGGTGGTCATATTTTCGATATTAAGCCAGGATACCGATGATCTGTCGAAAGTATTACTCACGCGAACATTGACGGACTTCGTCGCTTCCGTCTCCGCAGTCGTCGACGACATTGCAAACCTTGTTCAACGCGACGCAATGGCCGTTGTTGCATTGAAATTCGCTTCGCCGGCAGGAAAGGACCGCCGTCGCCATTAGAAAGCAGGAACAAATCAGCCGCTGCACGTCTGAAAGGAAAATACGATATGTGTGAGAATTTTTTCCAACGTAGATAAGATTTGAGTTTAGCGCCGTCGGAGTTTGACGGGATATTCTAATAGCCGACTAACTAAGCTCTTGGCTTACGCGTTCGATGCCAAAGCGTTTCGATTTCGAACGAGAGCATTACCGCATTGTTCGAATCCACAAGTGGATACTCCACCTTTTATTTCGTCCGCGACCTCGCGCGACAAGAGCCGTTCCTTTACAATCGTCGTACCAGCCTCTAGACGTTACGTTCGCAGGAAAAAAAGAAATTACACGACCTCGTTTAGACCTCGTTTCCTACTTTCTCGACTGCCCTTCGACGTCAAACTCCTCTCTCTCTCTCTCTCTCTCTCTCTCTCTCTCTCTGGGGATTATCGTTTCGGAACGGGTACTTCGTGAAAACCGTATTAAGTGTCCCTCTCGGCCGTTGCTTTTTATCAATCGTTTTGCAATTCTCGTTGGTGGCTCGGCTCGATACGATGCGATCGAGCATTGCGACGGATCTTTTCGATCGTCTATAATAATCTTCCGATTAAATAAACGGCATATAGCAGATGTAACGCGCGTTGACAGAAGAAGCGAATCAGTTGACCAGGGTCCCTTTGCCATGGATTATATCGAGCGCGTTAACGCACGGCGCCAATAAATTCGACGTAGCCGTTATTAGCATGACCGGTAATAAGTCAAGAGACGAACGGTAATAAGCGGTGTCGCGTATGCCATTCAACTCTGAAACGTCGATGCTCGTTCCGTTCTATCGGACTCTCTCTCTCTCTCTCTCTCTTTGTTGGCTCGCCATTTAGTAAGCCGGTTACATATTGAAATAAATCTGAACCCAACCGCGTTCGTTTCTCTTTCATTGTTAGTTACTCTACTCTCATTTTATTCTACGATATTCCAATATCGCGTTCCATCGACGAGGAGCGCTATCTTTTCTCTTCGCGAGGATATAGGCCTGGAACGTTGTTTAAAGCTGCCATCATAGCTGCAACGAGAAGAATCAACTTTCTCTTTTTCCCATCCTTCCTGGGCTCCCTCGTTCGTCGATCGATTAATTGCACCATCCATTAATTGCCCGTTCGTTTGCCGAACGCACCGACCATCGATACGAGATAGCGAGTACGACGAAAATCGAGTCGACCTTGTCGCAGAGGAACCGGGTTTTTTGCCAAACGCGATTTACCGTAACGCCTGATAAACAAATAGGAGGAGGAGGAAATTGGCCTTTCACGACGTACGTCTGTATCGTAGATACAGTAGTACGAAGGGAGAGAAAAAGACAAATGGGTCAGGACTCCGACCGATTCCATTTAAAGTTGCGACTCGACTCGGATATATATATATATATCCTGCTCCGATGTATTCGTACGAATGTAAGAATCGGCCGGCTACTAGCGACAACGGCCCCTCCCCCGACTCCCTTATTTCCCAGAAGACTCTGTTTGCTCTCGAAGGCGCGAGGAAGAAGGAAGGAGAAAAAATAAATACAAATATTATACGAACCGAGTACGAGCCAATATTTGTTGTTTTTTCGTTGAAAGACGAGTACTAGGAAAGTTGGCCTTTGAGAAAAATTTTTTTCGTCTCTTTTATCAAGGACACAAAAGCATATACTACAGACATAGCGTATACTACAGAAGTTTGGATTTACGACCATCGAGAAACTTGGTGTCGACTTTGCGTTCTTGACGTTTCTTCGTTCCTTTTTCTGCTTCTTTTTTCTTTCTCCGCGACTCTCTTCAATCCAGAAGAAGAGGTACCAGAAGAGGTACCAGAAGAGGTACCAGAAGAGGTACTACAAGTTTTCTATCCCCAAAGTATCGGGAATCGTCCACCGGGCCGTCACTGGTAGAAATTCCTTTTCTTCCTTTTGCGCCTCTTTCCGCTTATCCGCGACGAAGAAATATCTTTTTTGTTAAGAAAAGTATCGAGTTGCGCGTATATTCCACGAAGAAATTCGATTGAAAGCAACTCGTGAATATATCATTTGCTATATCCAGGAACGTCCTTATACATAGATACATGTGTTTCTATCATCGTTCGACGATGCAAGAGATCTTGAATAAAAAATTGCTATTGGTTGCTCGATTTGGTCTATTCAGAGAAATGAAATTTTTTCATTGTTCCCGAAATGTCAAAGATCGACTCGACACGAAACTCTAGCTAGTCAGCAGAGTTTATCGGAGAGCTACCGTAATTGCTTGGAAAGTCCGAGCATTCCGGTATCTAAGGATAAGGAGGCAAAGTAATGGAGAAAGAGAAAGATGGATGGATGGATGGATGGAAAGAGAGCAAGAGCAAATTCTCGATTGGAAAGCTCGTCGTTGGAATATCCGGAGGCGTCGGACCGAACTCGAGTACTCGCAAGTATTACGTGGATATCGATTGCAACTACGGACCGTCCTTCTCGGCTTACGATGAAATTGTTCTGTCAGCGATGTACCAGTCAAATCTCTCTCTCTCTCTCTCTCTCTCTCTCTCTCGTCTTATCCGTTATTTCTCGGGCTTTCAAACGTCGCTTATTGCTACACCGAATTACGATAAAAATATTTACCAATCTTTCGAAAAGCGTACAAGACCTTTCGTCGTAACGTTGCATTTAACTCGCCTCTTGCTTCTTTATTATTATTTTCTTTCCCTTAGCTTTTCTTCGCTTTATAGGTAACAAAAGTAAAAGAGCAAAATGTGCGCGAACAATAAAAGTCTCCGGAGCGAAAGCTCGAAAAGGTAACGGGTCTTTTAAAGTTGGGAATATTTCTTCCTCTCTCTCTCTCTCTCTCTCTCTCTCTCTCTCTCTCTCTCTCTCTCTCTCTCGTTTTCCTCTGGTTCGCAGATTTCGCTGAAGAATAATCATTTTCGCAGTTGTGGCAACCGCATCGGTTCTTCGAAAAGAAAGCTCGTGTCGAGCGATAATGACTTTCTGAAACAGCTTTCCTCCGCCTTTCGCATAGACTTTCCCATCGCAAACGAGAGGAATCCCCGTAGAGAGTTCGATATAATGAGGCACGTTCCACGTTTCTCTTCGTTTCCATTCTTCAAAGTTATCAAGTACTTTGCTGATTTATTACGAGTCAAGTGCAAAGCGATAGAAACAATGATAAGAAGAGTATCGAGTAAACCGGAGATACGATTAATGATGCATTTCATTGTTTGTTTCGCGTTCGTGAAAAATACGTCCTAGGAGAACGAGCCCGTTGATAAAATCATTTTATTAACAAGTTTGGCAAAGTAGCATGGAGGATTCTATGGAAGTCGCGCGTAATATTTCCGAGTCTCGAAATTCTTGAAATGTAAAAGCTGTTTCCCGTTCGAGGATAACGTTTAAACTTACGAGTTTGTAAGTTTGCCCGTTCTTATCGATTCTTGTTGCCTACGGATTTATCAATTCGAATTAAAAGTCCAAATTAACGTTTACTTTTAGAAAAGAAAATAGAAAGGAAAAAAAAGAAAGACAAATTAATTATATAAAACGTATATTCGAAAATGAGCTTTATTATTCGTCAGTTTCGACAGACGTTGTCAAGACTCACCATTGTTCCGAACCCTTTAGACGCAACCCTTTCGGACGATAGCTTTTATCCCCGTACTACGAGCCAAACGGTAGAGCCTATTAATTCGAAATAATCTCATTATTTTCGAAAGCCTCGCGTTATTTCGCAAGAGCATCGATGAATTTTATTACGATCGATGAACAAAATCGGCTTTTCGCTCGAAAGAGAATAGAACACAGAAGTGTGATAATAGTAAGAATTTCATTAACCAGGTATGACATTTGTAGATAAAAATAATTGTTCCGGCATCACGGTTATATCTCGTGATTTCAGTTCTGGCAGAAAGCCACGTTGTCCCTGGCGCGGCCACTAAAAATCGGTCGTGGATTAAGGTCTCGGTTAAAAAATCTACTGCACTCGGCTAATTAAAAAAAAATCTATAATTTAGCGGTCTTCATTCGTTCGCTGCCCGAAATATCGTTACTAGCTCGCCGACGTATCAAACGTTTTTCAAACTAATTTGAAGACTCTTTGAAGGTACCAAATGTTCGGCTCGAAAGTCGAAGAGTACGTACGTAGTTTCGATACGTACAAATGTAAAATTGAGAAAAAGGGGATAGAAACGAATTCCTTCTCCCTCTTTTCCCATCTATTTACCCCGCCCAGGCTAGTTTTCATTTCCTCGCGTGGTTGCGCCTAACGAAGTGGATGCAAGGATAATAAAATTCCAAGATGTCGTCGAGGTGTCATTAGAATCACCGGCGACGACGGTGCCTCGAGAGCGACAAGAGCGAACGACAAGGGTATGGCTTAGACCTGGAAAGGAAGGAAAGCGAGCGATAAAAGGGGATGAGGAGGCATCGTGAGGGGGGGAGAATGGAAAGGAAAGAGGAAGAGTCGAGAGGAGTCTCATTAATAATGCAAGTAGGGGCTCGATGTCGGCCGACGTCGAGACACATTTTGTAATTATTTTTCTCGATTTGAAAGATAAAAGAAAGCTTAAGGCTCGTTCGATCGATTTCTTGGCCAAAAGAAAATGCGAAAGGTTTGCTTTACTTCGCTACTATTAATCATTTCGATTGGAATAAGAGAGCGTAAGTTCGATTAATGAATATCTTTCGGTTCTGGCGAGAAAATCATAAGCGGCGGCGGCGAAAAAGTGAAATGCGGCTTATCGTCGAGGTTGCGTCGATGCCCCCTCGTTACGGATCGCTGCCGGTAACAAGCAATTTATTCCACGTGTCTGCCTTCGAGCCATCGCGATTCGTTTCTAGTCTCTAGAGGGGAGAGTACCCTTGCGACTACACCACGTTGCCTGTTACATTCGCATAATACGGCGACGCGCCGTTGTGATTCAATGACTGTTCGTCTCCTAACGAACTTGCAATTACCAATTCTTCTTTCTTTCTTTTCTCGCCAAAGATAAAATTGTTACACGTTGAACGAGTAATAATTAGAAAAAGATTGGATTATTGACATTGATTATATTT